TTATTTAACTCTCAGCAAATCTTAGTCCTAAAAATAATGTGACGGCATGAAATAAATTATTTCACTAATATTAAACTTCAAATATTAAAATTAATATTGACAAAAAAAAATAATATACTAATAAAAGAGTAACATTTATAATCTATAAATTTAATATTTACTTTTTGTAGGCAACAGTAAAATACATGAATTATTTTAAATTGAAAGTTAATTGACTAATTAATTTTATCATGTGGCTATATATTTACATTTTAGATTTTAAATTTGCTAGACGTGTTGCTGTGTTGATAGAATTAATACAAATAAATACCTATTAGTATTGTTTATTATTTGTTATAGATATCTGTGTTAATCATTAGATATATTTAATTATTTATATTGTAGATGCATTAAGGGGGGGGACTAAGTCCCCCACGGTTTTTTTTTTAGATTAATTTGCTTTGGAACGCTAATTGTTCAGCTACATTTAGAGTCCACCTTTATTTTTTTTTTCCAATTCAACCACTGTTAACGATTGAAACATAGTTATTTTTAAAAAATTGAATTAAATTAGTAGGTAATCTAAATAAAATACATATAAAAAGGATATTTAAAACAGCTATAAATTTATCAACTTTTAATATATAAATAAACATTACCAATTATAATTTATAAATATGCTTTCTGAAAATTCATCGGATATTGGCGCGGAATCCGTATGGCTTATCAAAAATAATTTCGGTGAACATTCATGAAACATTAGTAGTATTACCACAGAATAGATTTATCTATTCTACAGTAATACACCATACATAAGTTATAAATTGACAATAATTACATATTTTACGTCGTATATGCATTTTATTGTTGTTATACAATAAATATGATTGCTTTATTTATAAGTTATGAGTTATGAGATTTACAAAAAAGAAAACATCGTTAAAGGCAGGGGCTATTGGTACGTATTCGAGAGTATATGGCGAATACACATCAACAGATTTTCGATTTTCGGCGTATACCTAATGTAAAATATTATTTTACAGGTATACGCTTCTAAAATAACTAGAAAACAAAAAAAAAAATAATAATAATAATTTAATAGTTCATCGAAAAACATTATGAAGTATGAAATTGATTCAAATATTTATTTGTTAAAGATAACAATGTACACTGTGTTAAATGTATTTTTTTAACTGTAGTGAATAACATTGAATAAAATAGTATGGAGTGTGAACATTTCAGCCCATGGTTATTAAATTTGTACCGTGCGATTTATGACGCGGTGCAAATATTTATATTGTGATGTTATATTTTATAGTCTTAATAGAAGTTATAAACATGTAGTTATAAAGGATTAGTTAAATTTTTTCGAACGTATCGAGAAAAAACAATTGTCGAGTGAAGCAAGAAAATTTATTTTAGGATTAATATCCATATATTTTTAGTGTGCATACCCACAAATATATTTACTAATACACCACTGGTTAAAGGTAATATATATAATATAATATTTAAAATATGTAATGTTATTTTATATAGTATTGATTGCTAAATATTTCATTTGAATACGTTTCAAATTTTACAATAATTTAAATAACGCAAAACGCTAAATTGCTCATAAAATCTTGTAACATTTCTAATTTACGGGATACTCAAAAAAATTTTTATTTTTTTTATTTTTTTATTTGCGTTTCACAATCTATACAATTTGATTACAATAAGTGTAAATGATAAAATAGAAAAAACAGACATTGAATTTGATTTGAAGAAGCAACTCATCGACGTCACTCCTTAGGGTGTTATATTATACAAGCATGGGATTAATTAAGAGAAGGTCATGGCACCATTTTCTTTTCATTCTTTTGAGAGGGTTTCCAGGGATAGGTAAAGTCAAATATGTTGTGAGGATGTTCGGATAATTTTTTAAAGAGTTGTGGTATCGAGAGTAATAATTTGTAGCAGTTTGTTCGATTTTTTTCATTTTTAGGTCGGAATGTAATGTTTGATTTGTTACATAGAATGGAGCATTAGTAATTAGACGGAAGATTTTATTTTGAGATATTTGGATTTTATTCAAGTTTGATTTTTTAGCAAATACTCAAATCTGAATGCCATATGTCCATATATGTTTTAGGAGGATCTTATAGAGAAAGAAGAAGTTTTGTGTGAAGAGTAAGTTTCGACTTTGAATGCAGGATTTATCTAAGTAAGCGTAGACGGGCGTTTACTTTAAATTGTGTACAGTGGATATGGTGTGACCAGTTCAGATTTTATCAAAGTGTACTCCAAGGTATTTTGTTGTATTCGAGGTTGGTATTATAATATTATTTAATGTTATTGGTGGGCAGATTCCATGTTTGAGTGTAAAGGTAATATGCCATGATTTTATTTCGTTAATTTTAACTTTCCAGTTTTTGTACCAAGATCCTAGTTCATAAAGGTGGGATTGGAGATTTTCAGAAGCCATGAGAGGATTTTCGTGAACGGAAAGAATGGCTTTGTCGTCAGCGTATTCAGCTACTAAGGTGTTTAATGAGGTCGGTTGGTCAGCAATGAATATGTTAAAAAGAAGAGGGGCAGCTATCTCTCCTTGTGGAACTCCAGCGTTGATTGTGGATAAGTATGATAAACTTGTGCGATATCGAACAGCGAATTGACGTTCAGTGAGGTACGATTGGAAAATTAAGTAAAACGAAGGTAGTAAAATCTTTTTAAGTTTATAGAGAAGGTCGGCATGTCACATCCGGTCGAATGAATGCGCGACGTCAAGAAAGACTGCGGTACAATATTGTTTTTTTTATTTCCAGCGAAGCTGTGATTGTGTCCGTTATGCAATTGATTTGGTGGATAGTGGAATGAAAATTACGGAACCCAAATTGTGTATTTGGAATAATTCTTGAATTAAATATTATTAGAGTTAATCTTTTGAGGATTAGTTTTTCCAGAACTTTTGAAAAAAAAAGGAAAAAGACTTATAGGTCTGTAAGAAGTTGAGGAATCTGGGGGTTTTCCAGGTTTTGGAATTACTACTATAATAGAAAATTTCGACTGAAGTGGGAAGTGTGAGAGATAGAATATGGCATTTAAAATATATGTAAGAAGAACTAGAGTTTTCCTCGGTAGGTGTCTTTCGACCTCATATGTTATGAGATCGAAGCCAGGAGATTTTTTTTTTTTTGAGAAAGGTTGATATGCAATGTTTGACTTTGGCTGGTGAAAAGGCTTTTGGTGGTAGGGACATTTGTAGCGGTGATAGAAAGTAGTTTGTAACGTCATTAGATATAAGTTGATTTTCTATATTGGTGTGTGGTTTAAAAACTTCGGTTAAATGGTTTTGGAAGAGTTCGCCTTTTTTTTGAATCATTAATGGCCCATGAGCTATCAGGATTTTTAAGATGAGGGAAACAAGGTTTGTCTCTAAGCACTTTTTTTTTTGTAGTTTTCCAGATTGAGCTGTCCTGGATAGAGAGAGATTCTTAAGTTTGTAATGAGTCCTTTCTAAATTTAGCTAGTAACCTCTTTAAATGTTCTGTTAGCGTATTAAGACGTGTTTTATCTGATGAATATATTGGCTTGCCATAGCGATCTAACGTCGTTTTTCAGTTATTAGTTAACGTATATATGTGGGTGAGTTTAATTGAAAGGGTTTTTGGATGTTTGTAGTTGGGGTGGTAGAATTCCATGCAGCAAACTGAATAGACGTTGTTAGATTTGTTATGACGTCTTCGATATCGTCTGGAGATTTTAATTGTATATCAAATTTAGTGGTTTTTAGGAGAAAATCGTTGAACTTCACCCAGTCAGTGGTTTTATTTACTAAATAAGGGTTGTTGGAGCTGATCGGAGGTGAGGAATTGGTGGTTAGTACAACTGAGTGGTTGGAGTGTAAATCATTGAAGTTTTCTACGTGGTGAAAAAGGTGATTTGGAGCTTTTGAAATCAAGTATATCTGGACATTTGTTTGGAGATGTAGGCCAGTAAGTTGGGAGTGAAGGAGAGTACACTTGGTATTGTTCGGGAGAGATGAGCAATAATAGTTTATTACCACGGGGGGGTGCTTGTTCGGCAACCATAATGAGGATGTTTCGCATTACAATCTCCGCAACAATGAAGTTGTAGCCAAGCGAAGTGAGAAACTGTTTGAACTGCTGTGTTGTTATGTTGTGTCTAGGAGGGCAATAGACCGCGGCTATTGTTATTGGAATGTGGTTTAAGTTTATAGAGATTGTGCAAGTTTGTAAATAGTTTTCGGTTGTATTTGGAATAGAGTTGAAGTGTATAGAAGTTCGAACTAGTATTGCAGAGCCAGCATGTGCAATACCATCTGGGTGATGAGATGTGGTTAGGTGATAGCTAGGTATGTTTAATTTGGAGCGTTCGGTAAGATGGGATTCGGATTAAGGAGCTATGTCTATTCTTTTCTCGTGTAACTCGACTATTAATTCATTTACGTGATTTAGAATGACATTGGAGTTTCAAAAGAGAATAATATGAGAGTTTGATGTGAAAGAGTTATTTACCATTTGTTACCTATAGATATCGATTGTGTTCCGCGTCGTTATCATTACCGGCCTAACCGGTCTAGTGTACCGACGGGCCTTTGATTTTATTATATTCAGTCGGGAAAAGTATTCTAAATTGTAAAGGTGCCGACTCCGCACTTAAAATAAAAGACTTATTAATAAACATCAAATTAATTATTTATATTTTATATTTTATTCCTTAATTTCATACAGTCCATTAACGATAAAATTTATAACTGATGTAAATTTATCAGATCAACACCATTGTTATTTTCAAGACGTGTAATAACAGTAGTAAGGAGAGATACGAGGTCTGACAATAAAGTAATGAGACTGATTTTTTCGCCGTGTTTGTGGCAGCACTGCGAATCTGAAACTTCGGGTCCTTAATCTCTAAATTTAAATCTATTTATAAATGTATTTGGAATATCTGTATAGTTATTATTTCACCGTTAGTATCGTTTCATTTATGTTAGTGTACGGGTGAGTGTCACGAAAATGGAACGACGTAATATCGAGCACCGGTATGCGATAAAATTTTGTGTTAAACTCGGCAAATCTGCAAAGGAAACATTTGATAAAATAGTTAAAGTTTTCGGTGATGAAGCCATGAGTCGTGTACAGGTATTTCGGTGGCACAAAGAATTTAAAAATGGTCGTGAAAGCGTCGGAGATGAGCCGCGAAGTGGAAGGGCAGTTGAAGTTCGAACTGACAACAACGTTCAACGGGTGCGGGCACTTGTGAGTCAAGTTGGGTGGTTGACTATTCGAATGTTGTCTAATGAGTTAAACATTAACCGTGAAACAGTTAGAAAGATTTTGATTGAAGATTTGAGCATGAAAAAGCTTTGTGCAAAAATGGTTCCAAAAAATCTTTCAGAGGAACAAAAACATGTGCGAATGACTGTCGCTTAGGTCTGTCTTGAACAGCTAGAAAATGATTCAAAACTTTTGGAACGTGTAGTTACTGGAAACAAGAGTTGGTTCTTTCAGTATGATCCAGAAACAAAGCGACAGAGCCAACAATGGCTGTCTCCTGGCTCAGCAAGACCAAAAAAAGCAAGAATGAGCAAATCAAAAGTCAAAATAATGATGATTTCCTTTTGGCAGCAATGGGTTGGTGCATAAGGAATTTTTGCCACCTGGTCAGACCGTTAATCAACAGTTCTATATCGAAGTACTCGAATGGTTGCGAAAAAAGAATCGTTAGAGTCCGTCCAGACATCACAAACAGATGGATCCTTCACCATGACAATGCGCCTTGTCATCGTGCTTTCAGTGTGACGCAATTTTTTACCTCAAAAAATATTATAGTATTGCCCCAGCCACCATATTCCCCGGATATGTCTCCGTGTGAGTTTTTTCTGTTCCCCGAATCAAATAAGTCGTAAAAGGAACACATTTTGATTCGGTAAAAGACATACAAACGTCTGTGACGAGGGTACTACAGGAGCTTCCAGTTAATGACTTCTAGAAATCTTATGAAAACTGGAAAAATCGTTGGACTCAATGTGTAGCTGTCCAAGGAGAATATATTGAAGGGGACCATATCGATGTGCCCTCATTTTTAAGTATATGTGATTTTTTCAATTAGTCTCATTACTTTATTGTCAGACCTCGTATAAGTGGGGTTATTAGGGACCTAAATTCTGATATGAAGTTGTAAGTAAAAATTGAGTTAATATGGGTTTGTTGATTTATATTAGGGTGTGAGGAGTCTTGTTTTATGCCAGAGGTTGCTTGAGAGTAAGATCTTTGTGGGTGAGGGCCTAAGGGTGGAGAGGGTCGGAGTGTCGTCTGAGTGCTAGCTTGTGTTTCGGAGGGGCTTACATTTTGAGGGGAGGTAGATATGTTGGTTTGTAGCGTTGTTTTTGCAGTTGCTTATGAATCTGACATCCTCTGTAGTTGGACGGATGGTTACATCTATTGAATTATAGGTGAGTATTTAAAGTACGTAAAGTCACTCGCTGTAAGATCATCCGAAAATTAATTTTGTGTACCTTCTTGTCTGTTTAAAATATTTTCCAAAAATGAACGTAACTTAAAATTATCGAGCTTACTTAACGGAATATTACATGAAAGAAAGGCACGAGTTAAATCTAAAAAGTATTCTAACCTATTTGTATGACATGATGTATTGGCAATAAAACTATGTGACATATTTTTTTTTTTTGTTCTTCAATTAATTAAATTAAAATTAATTTAATTAACTCTTTGTTGAACTCCATTTATATGTGTGTTTCTTAATATATGTTGTTGTATGAAAACGTTTTTCAGTAGCAATTTTTTCATTGCACACCTTATACAATAACGCTAATCCGTCGAAAGAAAAAATCTAAAATCTATAACCTTTAATTTTAAATTCAAAAATACCAAAAATGACTTCTAAACCCTTAAAATTCCCTAGAAAATGAGGAAAATGACATTAAAATCAAAAATTGTGAAAAAAATGGAAAATAAAATTTCTTATTCTTATTTAAAAATACGTAAAACATATTTGTAACAAAGCGAGCATCGTACAGAAAGCTTCAGAAAAAAAATGCAAAGTGCAACGAAATCTCAGCTCTACTCATAACGGTTAAATATCTCATAACGGTTAACAATATATATTATTTTGATTTAAGCCCTGGTCCATACTTAGTGAAAAAATCAAATAAAACATAAACGAAACTTTCAAAACACAGATAGGTATTAAAAAAGAACTACACAGTCCATTCTAAGTGGATTCGGCATTAGATTGAAAAAACTACAAATATTAAGGATTCACCTGCTTTAAATATTACCAACAATTTTACTTGTTAATTTCGAGTCTGAATTAAAGAAAAAATTTAAGTCGCCCTCCCCTCCTAGAAGTAAGTCTAAATACGCCTCTGGCCAGTGGCGTATCCAGGAGGGGTTAGAGGGGTTATTGTCTATTGATTATAATAAAAATACAAAATTCAAAAAAAAATTAATGTCACATTTTTTATAACCCCCCAAAAAAAAAATTCTAGATACGCTACTGCCCATGGCAAAGACTCCCAAAAACGTTTAAATTTTAAACGTTTTGGTATTTAAGAATTTTTTATCTATGATTGAGGGTTTGTTATCTTATTGATAACTATGGTTTATAATTCATGGTAGCTATATTTTATATGTTTACTGTGATAATTATCATAATAAATAATATTGTTTTGAAGGTTTTGAATTTTTTTCATTTTATTCCTCCAGTTATCCGTTATCCAAATAATTAGAATTTTATAAATTCACTGTACGAAAGTTGTAGAGTGTTTGTATTTTTTGCTCCGTTGATCATAAATTAAAGGTATTAAGTTACAAAGTACAGACAACAAACAGTTCTCATTTTTAAATAAAATAAGTAAGGGCATATTAACAGTAATAATATAATTATTTTTATCTAATCAAAATCTCATGTACTGCGCAAATTATTAAACCAGATGAACTTTTCAATGTTTTTCAGTTTGAACTTGGAAGGCAAATATATATGTTAAATATGTATATGTAAATAAAAGTGTTTATTATATAGTGAAATTTTATTTTACAACAATCATTGCCTCAAAATGAAACTGAAATATAAATGTGATATAAAGTCAAATGTGAAAACTCCAATTTTGCATAAAAATACAGTACTAAAATCAACAAAATGTATGAATATAATTTTTTTGCTGCTAAGTATTATTTTGTTGGTAGCTACTTTATTATGTCTATTTTTGAAATATAATAAGAACAACTCATCATACATTGAAATTTTAAATTATCGTCCAAAAGAGCAAATTTATATTTACAATAGTTCATTTATTAATTACTGCTCAGTTGTATCAGATGATTATAAATTTGATTGTTTTCCAAGAGGCAAGGTTAATCAAAATAGTTGTGAAGAAAGAAATTGTTGTTGGTCGCCCAGTACTCCAAATTCTCAAATACCGTGGTGTTATTATCCTTCTAATTATACTAATTACAAAGTTATTAATGTTACCAAATCGAGAAATGAAATAGTATCATATTTCAATTTAACATCAAATACTAATTATATAAATGATATAAAAGTATTATGCATGAAAGTTTTTTTCCAAACAGCTCAACGATTACGCATTAAGGTAATATATAAATATAATTTTTAGCATATTATTTTTTAAAATTTATTTTAATTTTATTTGTTTAGATTTACGATCCTGTAAATAAACGCTATGAGCCACCATTCCCAGAAGTACCAGTATTGAAATTAGATAAATCAAATATTAATGTACCTTTAGTATCAGATTATATCATTGAATTAGCTGAAAATAAAGTTGGATTTGCAATTATAAGAAAAAGTGATAATGTAACTATGTATGTAAATTGAAAATTTTACTCATTATATAATTATTTAAAAAATAAATTAATAAAATGTTTATATTTTAGATTCGATAGTCGAAATATTGGAGGTTTTATTTACTCTGATCAATTTATACAACTATCAGCATTATTGCCGACCAAATATATGTATGGTTTAGGTGAGCATAGATCTAATCTTATGCTTGACATGAATTGGAAAACATATACCTTCTTTAATCATGATAATCCTCCAGCAAATGGTGTAAGCTTATTATTGTTTAGTTTAAAATTTAATTTAATAATTTATATTATTTATTCAGATTAATGGATATGGTTCACATCCATTTTATTTAATATTAGAAAAATCAGGAAAAAGCCATGGAGTGTTTTTATTCAATAGTAATGCAATGGGTATGAAATAATTAAAATACATAAATGTACCATGTTTGATTGTAAACCGTAAAATGTAAAATAATAATATTTGATTTATGGGTTAAATATTTTTATATTTATCCGTAGTTCTAAATATTTGGTATTGGACCAAAATTACATAATTTGTATAAGTATGAAATATTAAAATACCAAAATAGTTTTCTAAATATTAAGTATGTATTTTAAACCTGGAGTGAACTTTAAATTCTTAATCACTGATTAATCGTTGGAATGGTACTGGATATATCAGTACTTTATAACACATAGCCCTTACATATTTTATTTAGGTCACACATTAGTTTATTCAAAACAGTATGATAATTATGTTAATACTGTAATATTTGTTGTATAGTTTTTTTTTTTTTAAATTTAATTCTAGTTTTTACTTTTGTAATTTAGTATATTTTATAAAAAATAAATTTAAATGTTTATAATATTCTAAGTTATTTAATGGCTACTGCTTTTTATTTCAGTTTGTTAATAGATAAATTATATACCCATATACTATTTAATTATATCTAAAAAATTGACAAAAACAAGTAATTGTTTTGCTATTTTTATATTTTATAATTATATACATTTTTATTGTAGTCTCTCTATTCAATATTTTGTTATTTATTATTTAAACCTATTATATTTTTATAATTTTATGTTTATTTTTAGATATTATATTACAACCAATGCCAGCCATCACTTATCGAACCATTGGTGGTATATTAGATTTATATTACTTTATGGGACCAACTCCTTCTGATGTTGTATCTCAATATACAGAAATAATTGGTAATCCATTTTTACCTTCTTATTGGACATTAGGCTTCCATTTATGTCGGTAGGTATTTTTTTAATAATTTAAAAAATTGAAATTAAGTGATTAATTGATTTTTTAGATTCGGACAAACGTTAAAAGAACTTCTTCATGTATATAATAGAACTGTTAGTGCAGGAATCCCTTGGGTAAGTTTTAATATTGAATTTTTACTTCCTAACATATACTTTTAATGTTTTTTTATTTGTAGGATACTCATTGGAATGATATTGATTATATGAAAAATAGAAATGATTTTACTTTAAGTGATGATTTTATAGAACTTCCTAAATATATAAACTTTTTACATGAGGTAGTAATATTTCTTTTATTAATTTGGTTTAGTTATTTACTCTCTTTCTATTTTTAAAGATTGGTATGCATCATGTAGTTATATTGGATCCAGGAATATCATCTCGTGAACCTAAAGGAACTTATCCACCTTATGATGATGGTTTAAAAAAAGGACTTTTCATTAAAAATTCCTCTGGTCTTCCACTTGAAGGCCAAGTAAGATATTTTATTTTAATAAATTTGTTGTAACATACAATATTTTTTACAATTATACTTTCTAGGTTTGGAACCTGAATGGGGGTACTGTGTTTCCAGATTTTACTAATCCTATGTCAATTGATTACTGGATAGATCAAGTATCCTTCTATCATAAAATTCTTCCTTTTGATGGTTTATGGATTGTAAGTAAAATTGTATTTTGTTTTAAATTATTCATTTAAAATTATAGTTCTTTATTTTTACGCTATTCTACATTCTCTCGAGTATGCCTATCACAAGGTTGAACGAGGCAACCATCTACATTCTTGTTTTATTCAGTTGTCGAGACTTTTTTTTTCCTGAAGTATCCACATCACCATGATGGAATTTTTTTATTTTTTAGTTCATCAATTGGTTTCTTTAATATATTACTAATTGTGTTCCAAGCATCGTTCACTTTGACTTGATCCTTATGCCAACAATGCTTTAGATCCCATAAATCAGGTTGAGACTGATAAAGCTCCATAAATTCTATTGATTCTTCGTTATTCCAGTCAGACATTTTAATTATTAATTTATTATTAAAACAAAAAAAAATCATGTAAAGACCAAAACATGAAAAAGACAAAACGGTTGTTGGATCGACAATATCATCATACTGGTCATTGAGTCAGAGTGAGAATGTAGTTAGTAAGCCCCGCCTCATGTCTTGTGGTCTTTGACTTTAGATCAAAAAGCAGACACCGAAAAGAGCGTGCACAAGGCAAGGCGAGACGAGACAAGATGACAGAAATGAGCTGACTACACTCTCGTGCTTGTGCTGCCTCATGTTGCCTTGGCGAGAGTGTAGAGCTACTAGCATTATATTTCCAAACAAATATTTAAATCACATGTTGATAATTGTTGATATTAATATTTTAAACTATTATTATATTAGCCAATATTAAAAATAGGTACTAAAATATAATAATAATTTATTTACAAATTAATATTTCTTTATATTAATTTATAATTTTGTATATAAACATACGCAAGTTACCTAATTATATTTTATATGAATATAGAATTATGGTTTATTAATGAACCATAATTCCATATTTTATTTTAGTATTTTAAACAATTGATTAAAATATGTTTGAAAACCAGAAATTAGGAATACTCACAAATGCCCTTTCTTAACTTATTTTTTTGTTACAATTCTAGGACATGAACGAACCATCAAATTTTGTAAATGGTGATTGGGAAGGCTGCAAGTTTAATCATTCTAATAATTGGGAAAATCCCCAATATATTCCCAATGTTGATGGAGGAAAGTTAAATTATAAAACTATTTGCATGTCTGCTGAGCAGTATGCTGGAGTTCATTATAACATACATAATATTTATGGATTTTCTGAAGCAATAACAACTCAATTGTAAGATTTAATAAAGAATTTATTTTTATTACAAAAAATAATTGCTGAGTATAATTTTAGTGCATTGTCAGTTATTCAAAATGCAAGACCTTTTGTGATATCAAGATCAAGTTTTGCTGGTTTAGGACACTTTGCTGGCCATTGGACTGGTGATATATATTCAACTTGGGATGATATGAAACAATCAATTACTGGTAATAAACAATATTTTAGTTTCTTGTTGAATTATTGTATTCGATTTGATTCCAGATATTATTGTCTTCAATATGTTTGGTATTCCACTTGTTGGTGCTGATATATGCGGTTTTAATAAAAATACCACTGTTGAACTTTGTTCACGTTGGAGTCAATTAGGTGCATTTTATCCATTTTCAAGAAATCATAATTCAAATGAGAATTTTGTGAGTTTTATTTTTAATAAATATGCACTTTATCTCATTTCATTACAATTGTTTATGACAGGATCAAGATCCAGTTGCTTTAGGACCACTTGTTACAGAATCAGCTAAAAAAGCATTGTTAATTCGGTATTCCTTACTTCCATACTTGTATTCACTATTTTGGAGATCACATATTTATGGCGAAACAGTTGCACGTTCTCTATTTTTTGAGTGTGTATATATTTGCTATCAAATTAATGATTGTCGAATAATGTAAATATTAACTTCAATTTATTTAGATACCCATCTGATATCAGTACTTATGCTATTGATACACAGTTTTTATGGGGATCTGCTCTACTAATTTCACCAGTTTTGAAAGAGGTAAGTTAATAAAAATTGAACTTCAAAATGATATACATAATATTTTTCAATACTGTTGATATTTACAGTTTTTTTTATGAACAAAATTCTGCTTAATGTGATCACGTTGGTTTAAGATAATTTTATTATATTAATTGGTTGATTCCATTTTTCATTTTAACAATTTTAATAAGTTTATTATGAGAATGATTAAATAATATTCCTATTTTAACTTTTATAAAATTAGAATCAAGTGGATTTAGATTTATATTTACCAAATGATATATGGTATGATTACTATTCTAAATATATGACAGTAAGTAATGGATCCATTTTTACTGTCAATGCCCCTAAAGATACAATTCCACTTGCAATACGTGGCGGTTATATTTTACCAATTCAAGATCCAGCTACTACTACTACATCAAGGTATCCTTTTATTACTTAAATTGCAAAGTCTTAGTTAATTTATGCAAGTTCAATTTTAAGTTTTGGTTAGCATAAAAATATATTAATCCTAGTTTGTTATAACTATTATTTAAATTATAGCCGTAAAAATCCATTTGGCTTGCTGGTAGCTCCTGATAAAAATAAAGAAGCATTTGGGTATTTGTTTTGGGATGATGGCAATTCATTAAGTAAATAATTAATGTGTTACATCTCTTATTTTATATTTTAATAATAATTTTGTGTTCAAGATGTATGGGAAAATGGGTTTTACAACGAAATCCATTTTAAGCTTTATAATACAACATTATCAAATAAAATTATCACAAATAATTATTCAGATGAAACAATTATTCTACAGCATATTACAATCATGGGTATTCAAAATGAACCTAACAATATTTTAGTGAATGGTAACATACACAATAATTTTTTTTATAATACAACTGAAAAAGTAAGTTTTCATAATTCTAATAATTAAAAAATAATAATTAGTATTTTACATATTGTTTAATTCTCAAATTCAAATTAAATATGATTAATTTACTAATATTTTAACAACGCTTAAAATTAGGGTTGTGTGTTACAATATTAGTATACAGTTATTAATATACCATTCTGTATATATTTGTGTTTATGTATTTATATTATGTAATTAAGAATATTAAAATATTATTAAATTATATTCATAATAGTTTTATTACATTTTTTTTTCTAAAGTTTAATTATAATTTATATAAATAAGATTGTTGTGATAAAAGTTTTTAAATTCGTAGGGTTGCCATACTTAGTTTAAATCAATTGTAATGATAATAAATATTTAATACGATTGATGTTATTAATATTTTTTATTTTTACAGGCCCTATACTTTTCAGCTTTAGACTTGGACTTGAACATGTTTTTCAATATATCATGGACTGAAATTTCAAATAATTAAATTTTTATTTGTATTTATCAAATGTTGTCATTATTTTTTTAAAAATGTTCTTATTCTTGGATTTATTTAAATTATTGCTATTTTAAATAAAATTTTAAAATCTATCAATCTATTTGTTGTTAATATTGAGTGTGGTTATAATAATTTATTACATTTTGAAGTACATCTGTGTGTATAATTGATGACATTTTATTATACCCTGAAAATCATAGGCACAGTAGGAGATGGTATTAGCTCCCTAGTTTTCACCCATAACTTTATCAATTTTTAAATGTATTTTACTTAGCTTAAAAAAATTATTTGAACCATTTAATTACCAATTTTACGTTTCATAACCACATTTTTTGTATTCTATATTATACGTAAAACAATTTTATTAAAAAGAAAAGAACTTTGTTACATTACTACACACTTATTTTTTTATCTTTTTTTTTTAAAAATCTAGATATTCTGAAGTTTTAAAAATGATTATGAAAAAAAAAAAATTTGACTGAAATCATTAGTTTTTGAGTTATACAATTTTGAAAATTGGTTGTAGAAAATCGAGTGGCTTGAAGGTCAAAGTTGAGGGTTGTGCTGAAATATACAATTAATATCAGTATGCATACATTGTTAGCACACGGGTGTACATAACAATATATTATATATCATAGTTTAACTATCGTAATGAGAAGCAATACTTATTAATGCCACGCACACAAAGGGTTGATAATATGTTAACGGCCCGAATTTACTGGCGCTGATCCAAGGGGGGGGGTTAGGTCATTACCTCTCCAAAAATATCAAGATTAGGTTCTTAGTATTTATTTAAAAATTAAACTATGTATAAATTGCGTTTTTAATTTTTTTTCAATTAATTTTTTCTTGTAACAAAAATTTAATACAACATATTATATTTATTTACATTTAAACTACATCATCACTTATTCATAAATCATAATTTCCATTCAACATATTAATAGCGATCATTAGCAAAACTTTCTGATATAATGTTGTTGGCGAGTATAAATATAATAATGGTATAATATAAATATAATGGTAAATCTGCGGAAATGTTCGACTTTCGACGAAAAGATAACTTATTTTATAAATGATTATTGGGGTAACACCATAGCCAAGAAAAGTTATTTCTTCGAATATAGTACTACCCCGAATAAATTAGGTACTACAAATTTCATTTGCTCCGAATATGACTGATGAAAATTATGATGCCACGAACAATCATTATTCCAATAACGATATTCCGATATTTTAGTGTGATAAGAAATTATTACTCCATAAATATGGCGGCTGAATTTTGTTTACATTAAGAAGTAACCATTCTGATTTCATTTATTCTGTGGTGCCGTGATGACGGATTATGCAACGAATGATTGCAACCAATGCGTGGAAGAGGAAAAATGGGCGGCCAGTACAAGCACATACATTGTGGAATTGTCGAAAAAAATAGCATTTTTTTTAATAATTATACCAATACTTTAGCATATAATTAAGGCAATAATACTCCGATAAACTTGAAATTTTCACAGAATCATCTACACACCAAACTGAGCTATTCGTAAAAGTTTCGAGTCAATTGGCTTATTAGTTCAAGCTATAGGGTAGCCGACATGATTTTCGTAAAATAACATAGGTTAAATACAAGTTAGTTCTCTTGTATAATATACAGTCGTCGCGCGCTGGTTTCTTTTTTTTTTTACTTAGTTCTGCGCCGCAAATGCGGTGTTAGATAATAAAATACCACACTAAAAGGCTATGATTAGCGCAAAAGATTTTGGTGGGGGATCTAGGGTATAAATATGTTTTGTTAACTAGCGAACTTAAAATTTAAAATGTTATAGGCATCTGAATTTATTCGATTTTATTGCAAGAAAAAATGTAGAGGGTTCTGATCCCTAGCCCCCCTGGCTACGGCCTTGTGGTATTCGCTTTTAACATTGTCACACTATCATATAAGAAATTGTCTGGATTTTATCCCTTTTAGGTTCCAATCCAATATTGCAATAACAAAATGTTGTACGTTGTACTATTGATTATAAAAATTATTTATAATCAATGGTTATAACTCCTTGCTTATCTATAAATAATTCAATAATATTTAAAACAAAGTGAAAATGTAATTATAAAACCTCGGTTAAAGTTCATAAAATTATTTCATTTGAAATGTATATTATTTATTATATCTATAGTATTTTTGTGGCTTTTAAACCGGCATTTTATAACTAATAGGTACTAAGTCTGCTCAGGGTTCTATAATATATATTTACTAAATTATTAAAATATTTTAAATTGTATTTCGTTCATTAATCAATAGATATACTTTATATTATCAAGTTAACATGTATTTGCAAAATGATTGTATTAGCAAGTTGTTTGTGTTATTTATACATATATTATTCATATTGCACGCATTATTTGTACTACAAATTACTATGTTTTCTTGTAATTCATTGCCGAATGAATTGAAGTTTGATTGCTTGCCGAAAAATAAGTCTGATCAAATCATTTGCGAACAAATTAACTGTTGCTGGACACCTGAAAACCAAACGGATACGCAATGGCCATGGTGTTATTACTCAGAATGTTACAATAATTACAATGTAATCAATGTATCGGAAACCAATACAGGGAAAATAGCATTTTATAATTTAACTGCAATGACTTATAATAATTATAAGAAAAATATTAAAATGTTGCGTTTAGATATTGTTTTCGAAACTCCACAACGATTACGAATTACAGTAAGTATAGTTTAAATAGTATAGTATAATTAGTAACAGTTAGTTTTTAGCATAGTTGACATTTCTAATTCTGGAACGGTATATATATGGTTCCAGAATTTGAAATGTATAAAATATTATTAAAATATAAACACATTATTTTTTTTTTTTAATAGATATAATATTGCTGAATAATTTAAAAGATATAACAAATTATTGTAAGAACTTAAATTCTAATCGATATTGAACTCTCTCTACTATTAATTACATATTTGTCGCACACTATTTTTTTTTATTTATGTGTTAACGATATAGACCAGAAGAATTTCTCCATTTACCTCTATTGCAAGAGACTTCTGATTGAAAATGTTTTCTAGTATGTATTTTCAAAGAAATAACTTTACGGATTTTCCAATAGTTTTCTTAAAATAGACGAAAAACTATATATTAAATTTTTGTTTAAAAGTATAGTGATCATAACGATTTGAAATGTTCATTGAATTCTCATAAACTTATATACTATATATGTATATCATTTGTTATAGAATATATAATTTTCAAAAGATTTTTTTTTTTTTGAGGCCGTTTTTAGGAAATTTAAATGTTCATGTTTTCTTAGTTTTTTTCGTAAATGTAGATAAAATTACTTTGGTTTGACAAAAAGTCTTTAAAATTCTATACAAGGTTCTTCATATATATCTACTACTGATACTACAACTTTTTATAGAAAAATTGAAATTAAATTAAAAAAAAAATTCTTATAATCGTTGACATGAAACTTTGACAAAACGATAAGAATTTCGAAAATCCGATACAATTTTGTAAAAAACAATTCATAAAATTTTCGATGAATTTTCTATGTGTAAATGTTAGAACATTAAAAGTTCAAACTACTTTATAAAGAAATTTGGTTCTTCTACTACACCAAACATATTTAAATATCTAAGCTGAACTTCCCGACCGCTCTCACTCAGAATCGTATTTTTGGGGGTTATAGTACAATGCATTGTTTTCAAAGAATAATATAGTAATACTATCAAATCATCCCCGTATCTCACTCAATCGTGCATTCTTACCATTTTTTTATTTTTGTTTGTATTTTTAAAATATAGTTTACAGTTTATTACTGAAATAATGTAATAAAATCTTAAAATACCTCAAATAAAATATTTACTATTTATGCAAAATATGTTTTTAACATTTCACATTTTCTTATTTAATTGTTTCACAATGTTAAATAAATGTAATTATATAAATATATGACCATATATTTTTCTAATCAAAACGGGACAGTAAAATCTTTATAATTTTGATTATAAGCAGATTTTTTTTATTTAATAATTATTAAAATAATTACGTACTATTGGGGTTTCAAAAAAAGAAAAACAATTTAAATATTTAATTATACTTATTGATAAGTTATTCATTTTTATTATAAACAATTTTTTTATCTAAGAAAAAGCTTCTAAATAAAAAAAAACTGTTATAGTGTAATAATAAACTACGAAAAATAATTTTATGTTAACACTGATATTGCGTTGTTTATATATTATAATACATTAGGTTAATACATTCGTGTATACATATATACTCATTTATCGTTCAGTGCAATAGGTGTTTTTATATTTTATTAGTAAAAATACAGATGTAGCTCAGGGGGGGGGGCAAAAAAATTGTAAGTACCTAAATACTTATAGGAAGGTTTACTGCTACATATTTCATCTACTCATATTTTGTATTACTATCATTAATAATTTTTTAAAAATCAAAACTCATTTAAGTTTATATAAAATTACATTATTAGTTATTAGTTTTAATATTTATAAGAAAAAATATAATAAAGTTTAAACAAAAAACAACTTTATTTGATTGAATTCGCATCATATTTTATTATTTTATTCAAAAAGTAATGACAATCTCCTTTTGTTTGAAGCAAATAAATTAATTGAATCATCATTTGTTGATTAAAAAAAATGTTAGATACTTGTTAGATACTAGGATTGTCGAATAGTCACTGAATACCCAAGATCAGCTTTATGTAAAATAACTTCCAATTTTGTAAGGGACGCGAAAATCTCAGGGGGGGGGGGCAATGGCCCCCACTGGCCCCACCATCCGGGCGTCCCTGATGTATATAGATGTATGAATAAACCAAAAAGTTTCGATGCCGTTCAACGTCAACCATTCAGTAATACAGTATCACATGCACACATAATAGTTAAATATAATAGAAACAATAATTCATTAACAAGTTTAAATGTACTATCTTTATATTTTACTACTTTCTGAAAACGAGATATTTTAGTGTCCCGAAAATTTCCTAGGGGTAATGGGACAAAAATACGAAAACAGGACGTATGTTCACTTTAAGTATTAATAATGTACACAATTTGGACTATCAAAAATTGCACATTAAATTATTATTTAAGATTTAAACCAACGGTTCTTAATCTTTTGTAGCTCACGAATCCTTAATGAAAGATTTTTAGAAATCGCCTTTAACAATTCTTTCTCGAAAACATTTTTTTTACAAATTATCTTATGTTATCAAAACCAAAATTATAATTATTTTTATTACACTTAATTATTAATTTAATTTAAATTTTATTGTTTTAGTTATCATTTTTTTTTAAATATTCTTAAAATTTGATTTTTATTTATTTAATGTGATGGTTGGCATTTCACTTGAGACACAAGTTTTTAAATATCGTAATAAAGATAAAATCTATCACTTTAATAATAAAATATATTATTCATGAAAGAAAATAGTAGTAATCCATTAATATTGTAATAATGCAATAATGTCACGAATTGACGTATGTATGTTATGTGTTTAGGCTGCCATGGACCCCTAGGGAGCCGTGGACTACTGGTTAAGAATCGCTAGTATAAATAATATTGATATCTGTATTTTTAATTTAAGATTCAGATTAAATAAAAAATTATAATGGGTTTCATTATTTTCTGCATTTAATATTATTATACTATTTATTTATATTTGTTAAAAATGATAAGTAATGCCGAGAAAATAAATGTAAAATTTTGAAAAATTACTAAATATTTATAAATTGTTGCAATATTACTATAACATAAGTTATATAACTATACTATAAGTGTATAACTATTTTTCGAGATAATTTTGTTTATTTAACCAAATGTACGGAAATTAAAATAATTTATTACATTTATATACATTATTACATATTTATATACATTAATAGTAAATTAATAATAAATTAAGTATTAAAATTTGGTAGAACTTAATTATTTTATTTAGCGAATTCTTTATTTAGTTTCTATTTATCTAACTTTGGGTTTAGCGAATGATAACGCATAGGTCATAGTTGTCGGTAAACTGTTTTTTAAAAATATAACTATCTGAACGGGAACGACTTAATCGTGTTTTATCTTTTAATATGGGTGTGACTGATTGCTATATATCGCCAGAGCCGAACAACTATAACTATGTTGACTAATACATTACAGTATAAAGTTCAATCCACATTATCGGTCACAGACAATCAAATCTTGTTAGTTCCATAGTTACTACCAGGCGTTGTTGTTCTAATGAGATACGCAGCGTTTTCAACACGTACTTTAATGATAATTGCATTAATTCTTGACGAAGATGAGGAATTAATAGAAATTAAACGAAGAAGACGGTTTTTGGTACACCTATTGGTCCGGATTTGTCAGGTGGAAAAATAATATCGAACACTATATTACCAGTAAATAAACAATGACACTACATTTTATAAATACTATCATAAAGTTCATAACCATGGGGTTCTTGATCGCATCGGCCGGTCGTGACATAATCGCGACCAATAGTATACCAAAACATTGGATTACATGACTGATGTTGGCCGGATTGTGACCGGACCGAATCTAAATCGCTGATGGGAATAGATGTAAAAAAAACTTAACTATAGAGATAAAATTTATTAAAACTGATGATATGCAGAATTCATGATTAACTATTTTAAATGGGTCTTATTATAAAATTCTAATTAAAATTCTCAAATACTTAAAAATGTAATAAGTAATACAAAAAAATTAAAAATATGATTTCAAACCTAAATCCTAATTATTATGGATTATGTAAAATATTATAGATTGATGATGTGCATCACAAACGTTACAAGCCACCATATCCAAAAATCCATGAATTCAAAGAAAAATCGAAACAAAATAATAATAATACCATTAAACTATCAGATTTTAATGTAAGACTTGCCAAAACTGGTGTTGGGTTTGCAGTTATTCGTAAATCAGATGATACAATTTTGTGAGTAACTATTTTATTTAACATTTGTATTTATAATATAAGATAATTAATAGTATTTATTTAGTAATTAAATGTGTGGGGCTCAACATATATGAAACCTATAACATAAGTATCAATCATTTTATTTATAAATATATATCAATAGTTGGTACCAGTGGCGTGGTGAAGGACGTTTACCTAATGCAATTGCTTAGCCCTAGAAATGTTCTGGGGGTTACCCCTTGGCTCTTTGAAATTGTACTTTTATTTAGGTCCTTAATCTCTGCGGACTGCTGTGGTAGCTAGCTATAGAGTACTATAACTATATAGTGCCACGATTATAGTTAGTTTGTTTAAGCTAGAGCAATTGGCATTTGTTGTTAAATTTGTAACTTATTATGGAACTATTCAAGAGCATTTAGTTGCATTAGAAGTAGCTAGAGATGCTTCAGGCAAAATTTTATTTAATTTATTTTCTGATATACGTGCAAAAGTTTTATTTAATTTATTTTCTGATATATGTGCAAAATACCAATTAGAATGGAAAAAAGAACTCATCGCTCGCATATTATGGTACAAGTACAATGCAAGGGGAATACCAAGGTTTAAGATTCCATATTCAATTACAGAATCAACAGGCTGTATATATTTGCTGTTTTGCGCATATATTCTAGTAATCTAGTGGTTGTCGATGTTTGTGAATCTAACGTAGTTATTAAAATTTTTATTTCTAATATCTAAGCTTTGACTACATTCATATCGGCTAGGAAACGAACAGCAGACTTTGTTGAAGCTCAGCTATTTTTGTACCTTAATAGAGTACAAAGAATGAAAAATTTGTCCACCACTCGTTGGATCTTACACGATCATAGAGTTAATAGAGTTTATCTTAAACACTTGGCTGTTTTAGAAACTTTAGAAAACCTGTCTAAGTCACCTGATACTAGCACAGCATTCCAAGCAAAGGGTCTTTTTCCAAACATTGCTTCATTCAAATTTATTGCTATAATTATATTTATGAAAAAAGTATTTGATATTACCACTCCACTCTCAAATTACCTACAATCATCAACCATGGACTTTGTAGAAGTATTACATTTAGTTGATAGTGCACAAGATCGAATGAAAAAATTAAGAACTGAAGATATGTTTAATAACATAAGGGATAAAGCCAAATCATTTTCTACATTGCATAAGTTAGAAGAAACTAGTTTAAAAGAAGAACGATTTAAGGAGGAAAACAAAATTGTTTGGTGAAAATTGCAGAGATGAAGCCCCCACTAATATTCTTAACAAATTTAAAATAAATGTATATTTCTATACTCTGGATAAAATAATTGGTACATTAGACAGTCGTTTTCAATCCAGTCGAGGTATATTAATAGATCTCGGTTGACTATCATATGCTCGTATTAAAGATGCCGCAAAAGACTCATTTCTTCCTCCAAACACATTTTTAGAACTTCATAAATGGCTTCCTGAGATAAATGTAAGCAATTTACAATCTGAATATTTGGCAAATTTTGAATCTTTGGAAGTTGGTGTTACTAATCCGGAATTATCTAAAATCTTTGCTCAATAGTCAAACAATATTAATGAGAATATTGAGATTGGTAATGAAAGTGTAGATATAGAAGTTTTTCATACAAATAATAAACAATTTGATTTTGCTTCTCGAATGGTCCAAATGATGAGTGGTTATAGTTTAATGGTTTCGTTTCCTAATGTATATTTAGCTTTTAAAGCTATATGTACCATTTCTGCATCTTCTGCTTCTGCGGAACGAGTGTTTTTTGAGGTAAGATAGAACTAAATTGTATATATTCAATTATTGTTTGTATCTTTTAAAATAAATATTAACCTATTTTTAACATTATAATATATGTTATTTTAATTATTGATTTTATATAAATCATAATTATACATATTACACTTTAGTACACAATATTATAGTATTATATCATTATTATTATATTGGTATTTACTAGTTATAAATCATTATATCAAAATAACTCTTAATCATCATTATATATTTGTTATAATATATGTATATTATTACTCAGGTACCTAATAGTTAATTATTTTAAAGTAATATTTACACTCTTAAAATACTTGATTTTTTTTTTATTTACTGAGGTAAAGATAATAAAGAATAGACTAAGAACAATCATCGGTCGAAACAGATTGAAATCATTAATGCTTTTATCTTGCGAAAAAGATATTTTATATTTAATTTTTATATTAATTATTTATATTTTATATTTCACTTAATTTAGAAGAAACATTGAATAGAATGGGTAAATCTTCTCAAATGCTAGAAAGAGCTCTTTTATTTAAATAAATAAATAAATCAATTTATATTTATGTGATACTGCAAAATAATTAATGATATTACTATAAACCTATATTAGTTTTTATGTGTTGAATTTTAAATATAATTAATGCATTATAAAATCTAATTTCTAATTGTACATTTACATATAAGGAAATCTTCTTATAACAAAAATTCAAGATTAGCATACAGAAAATTATATATAGTTTGGTGGGTTGATGGTTGGGGAGGGGATAGTAGATGGGTCATTGTATAAATAATTTGCATAGGGTTTGAAAGATGTTCACCACGCCACTGGTTGGTACGAATTAGAGATGGGCAAAATTATTTAAACATCAATTTTCGATGAATCCATACATCGACTTTTACAACATGGATGTGACTATGTTTTTTTCAGTGTTAAAAAACTTTGAAAAAATATGTTCTTATTAATGCTACTTACCATCTGCTGTATCTTTAACATAATATTAAATTAATTTAATTCAATATGAATAATGTAGTATATTTTATTTTAAAGTTTGTTTATTATAATATAATAGATAAATATTATCAATTATTGACCAGTAAACAAAAAAGACTGGACTGGACCACATCAGTGATAATATAAAACATTTGTCATTGGGCAGAACCCAACCCATCACATAATTACCCCGGACCCGAATATGTATTATTTGTTTAAATGCTGAGTTAAAATAATTTACCAAAAAAATTATGCATATAAATAATAGGTAAATGCATATTCTTAAGTTTACGGTTGATTTTCAAGTTTGATTATATTTATTATTTATAACATGAGGTGCAATTTAATAGTAAATGTAAATTATGAAATTTAATATAGGACAATTCATAATTATTATTTTAACTTGTGTACAAATCTATAAACTATTTAATTTAAAAAAAATCATATTTTTAGCATATTTTACATATGTAAAGAATATTTAGAGAATAGCCGCTAGACTTTATGCAGAACGATATCCTGAACGATATCACCCTCCTCACAATTACCTGGTCCGAATTGAATCGTCTTTCAGAAATAGTAGTGAGCTACCTACAAGACAAGGTAATAATCAACAAAAAACAAAGACGTTCTAAATAAAACGATAGAAGTTGATTGGAGAGGTAAACGAACACGACAAATTGCAGGTATAAGCATACGTTCAATTAAATCCTCGATCTTCAGAAAGGCATTTAAGTAACGAAATTGGAATTTCTTATAAAAAAGTTAATATAATTTTGAAAAAAAATAAATTACACCAATATAAGCCTGATTTAGTACAAAATTTGGTACCAGGTGATTTTAATCGTAGACTTACATTTATTGCATGATTTATGGTGCAATTACATGACGAACCCGGTTTTATACGATTTATCTATCTATCGACGAATCAAAGTTTACCAATAACGGTATAACTAATAAACAAAATAACCGGTATTGAGCTGATGACAATCCATATTAGACCACTGATACAAAACACCAAACAGTTTGGGGAAGTAATGTTTGGTATGAGTTACTTAATGGGAAACTTCTCGGCCCATATTTTTACGATGGTACGCTTACTGGGATAAGATACTTAAAGTTTCTAACTGATGTTTTACTTACATACATGGATGACATACTATTAGAGACTAGAAATAATGTATTTTTCAACATGATGGAGCACCTGCACACAATGCAATTGTTGTAAGAGTGCATTTAAAAATGTTCTGGCAGCAACGAAAATAATACCCACGAGACAAAAAACAAATTTCCTATGATTTTTTGTAGATTAAGAATCAGCAATTATTAATAAGGACATATTTACCTTAACACTACTTATTCATACAAAAGTTAAAATAGAAGGACCTCACAAATGCAAAGACATTTTATAGTATTTAAACTGTCAAAACTACGGTCACGCAAAAAAAATACTGCTCATGTCCACCAAAAATGCATTCGCTATGAAGAAAACTATCTATCCACCAATTACAACAAATTCAATACATCATCCGCCAATTATGCGCTTTACAATGATTGTCAAGTATACAAGTGACCTATTTTCGATTTACTCCTTAGTTTTCATAACTCTAAACACTCTACCTGCTTTCCGGTCCGATAGAAACCGATCATTTTATGAATGCCATTGTGAACTGGAACAAATTTAGAAGAATATTGACCAGAATATAATTTCAAACACTCACTTAAAACTCCAAATAATTTCGAAAATGCTATTTAAAACCAAGGCATTACATCAGGGTCATTTTTTCGGTTATTGAGTGAAAATTCGAGTTATTGAACTTGGATTTTCTAGGTTAATGAACTTTTCTGTTTACGGTTAAAATATAAATTTATTTGGATTTATTATGGTCAATGCTGATGTTAAAAATCCAAATTTCATGTCAGATAACATGATATTTTCAATGCAAATTGGATTTAGTAATCTGAATATATTTTTTAAGCAGCTATTATGAAAAAAATATCATATTAAATTAATACGTAACATTAATCAGTCATATTAAAGTTTGAGTTTTGGGTTAATCCATATATTTCATTAAGGTTTCGGGTTGATTCAGGTATTTATTTTTTCAATCGGTTTTGAATAAACGGGTTTTGGGTTCCGGTTACATAAAGGTTCAAAGCCTTGTTCAAAACCTAACCGACTTTAGCCAATCAACAGCATGGGAATCATCACTTGTAACTCATAAACACTAAAGAAACCCCAATAATTCTCGATCACATTCGTGAACTAATCACACAAAATACGCGAAGGCTCTCTGATAATGCACCACTCGTCTCTCAGATCAGTGGTGACTCGTGAAATTAACATAAGGTGGTGCACAAAAAATTTGTAAGATACTATGTAGAGGTGGGTAAAAATATATTAATATTGTTATGGATACAGAGGTATATATAACATACATATCATCACTTAATTTTCTGAACCTTTCTAAGCTCTTGCTACAGTAAAATTGAAATATATTAGAAAAAAATTAGTGCTATTCTTGTTTACGGATTCCCGTTATGTTCCTATTTTATAATGCAGTCTACAGTATATGATTGTAGACCCAATGTATTTGTAGTTCATATATTAATAAAATATACTAATAAATAAATAATTTCGAACTATTCATCCTTCATCCCTTAAATGGACCTAACACCAAGTTAACAACGATTCTCATAAAGACTGTATCTTGTCATTTGCCATAAAAATGGCTCTCTATGGAGCCTTAAACAAAATTTATAAGCCCCACTTAATAACAACAATAAAAATTGGTGCAAATTTGAAAAAAGCAAGCAGAAATTTTTCATTTTTATTTCTCGGGAGTCTTCTAACCTCACCAAAATATCGGTTATCATACTTTCATCGAACTTATTGAAAACTCACTTGTTTTTTCTTTCCCACTTTATCTTTCCTCAAAATTATTTTCTACAAGTGAAGTCCTACACCTTATAAAATAATTTCCTTTCAAAAAACCAGCAGGAATAGACTAAATCACTAAAAAAGTTGATCGACAAATATAAAAAAAAGCATTAATTCACTAAACCCGAATTTTAAATTATATTCTAAGACACTCCTACTTTCTCCTCCAATGAAAAATATCAGTAATGATATAAATTTCAAAACTAGGTAAAACTCCCAATATTCCATTTTTCTATCGTCTTATAATTATATTACTATTATTTATAATGATAACTTTAAACTTCTTCTATTATTTTCGAACAATTAATCCTCAAACATGTATCCAAAGTTATTAGTGAAAAAGTAAGTAATACCTCATAATCAATTCGGGTTTTGTAACATATTCCATGATCCAACAAAAAATATTTTCTGTTCCTCATGTTTTATAAGACATAGCTCAAGTTTTTGACAAGATCTGGCACACTGGACTCCTATTTAAATTAAAAACACTTCTCCCACCCCCTTTTTTCTTATTCCTTAAATCATACCGTTACTTTGTTACCAAAGTAGGCTCTGAATTCTCCAAATTATCCTCTATTCGAGATGTTTTCCACTAAAATGCTATTTTATCTCCAATCCTGTACCTGTATGCCGCAGACCAGCCATCATCAAACCACATTTCCATAGCTGAGTTTGCAGCTGACAAAATAATTTTTATTTCCTGCAATGATCCACTTACTGCCAGTCAATTCCAATATAACCACCTTAACAACATGGAAGTATGGTAATAAAAATAGAAAATTAAATGAAAAATGCTCACACATTACTTTTACACTAAAAAAAGGCACTGTCCCTCTGATCACTATCCAAAAATTATACCACTGAAATTTAAAGTCCGTTATTTAGGATTATTATTAGTTAAACGTCTAACTTGGGCCTAAAATGTCCAGTAAAAAAGCCTTTTGTGAATTCCATACATAAATCATTTCATTTTCTTCTAGGCAAACACTTCAATCGTTTGCTAAAAAATAAATTACTGTTGTACAAAACTCTACTAAACCAATATAGTCGTATAGAGACTAAGTATGGGGTATTGCTAAAAATTCAAATACCTATAAAATTCAATAATTTCAATCTATTTCGTTACAAATCATTACCATAGCTCACTTCTACGTCACAAACCTTAGCCTACATACTGATTTGAACATATCTACTGTCATGGAAGTAGCCACTTCATCCTACAAAATCTTTCGTGTACGTTTTGCAAATCACAGTAATCTCCAAATATTAGATATTAATTTTAATGACATCCCAAGTAATTCCCAAGAGGACTAAATAAGAACTGTAATCGAGATTACGCTTAAATTAAAAAAAAAAAAAACTTAAATAATAAAAATAAATATATAATCATATTATATTGTTTTTATTTATTAATGGTTCCTTAGGTCTAACAAAAAATATCTTCCTTAACTATGTTATATGATACAACATAAAACATATTTTGTGAAAACCTCGAAGAATGAATACTGTTCTATATATCCGTGTATATGATATATTGAGGCATTAAGCATTTTTGTTTTTACTCTATAATATAGAGTCTATATGAAGTAATTCTAATACATAAAATAATAAAGAAAAATAATTTTTTTTATAAAGTTTGAAGTTAATCGTAATTAAAAAAAAAAATTCTTATTTAAGCATGGATACAATTTTTATAATTCCAACCTAACAGCTATTATATATTTGTATAACAATACTATAGCCGTGATTCAAATATCCTACAGTACATTGTACATCTGACGAGCGTCTAGAGACAGCCCACGAGCAAATTTCTTATCAATTATAATATAATGTTTCTTATCAAAATTAATAACATAATGACAAAATGTTATCAACATGAACATACAAAAAAATAATTATAATGTAAATTATGTTTTTAAAATAATAGTCATAATCATAAAATAAAATATAAAATTGTCATAAAAATATAGTTTTCAAAATAATATTAATAATAATAATAATGTTGTTTTCAGTATAATATAGTTATAAAATAAAATATAAAATTGTTATAAAAATATTGTTTTTGTAGCATAATATTATTTGTCTTATTTTCCATATGCATGGTCAAATTGTGAATCAATATGAATATAAGGAGACTCGTCTTTTTCATTCAAATCATTTATTATTTGTTTTCTTACATTTTCTTACATTTTCATTTAATAAAACAGCAACATTCGATTCTTGTTCATATAGCATTTTTAAATTTGAGTCTAAGGATAAATTAATTTTATGAAGCTGTTTATCATTTAATTTACCTGCTTGTGACACAAATATGCTATGTTCATGTTGATACAATTTTGTCATTATGTTATTAATTTTGATATGAAATATTATATTATAATTGATAAGGAATTTGCACGTGGACTGTCTCTAAACGCTCGTGTACATCTGTAACCCGTTTAAAAAAAATTAGTTGATTCTGCACATAAAAAAAGGCAACAATAATAATAATAATAATAACAACATATAATTATTCCCTAAAAGTAATTATTGGATACCACTGATTTGTTGTCCAGTTGTTAGTCTAGCGGCCATTAAAAAATATATATATATTAATATATAATTATATACAAGTATATATATTTTTACAATAATCACTAAATATTGAAGTAATGGTTTATATTTGTGTATATGGACTTTATAAAGTCACGGCAGGGCCATGTTAAGGGGGTGTCAAAGGGGGCAATTGTCCCCGGGCGCCGTAATTTTTTGAAAGTAAGGAGGCGCCCTTATCTGCACTTAATATTCTACCTGTACCCAGTGGTCCTGTAAAAAAATTTTTGCCCCTGAGCGCTGAAATGTTTGACGCGGCTCTGCTCACGAGTATTAACTCACGATAAGTGTTCACTCTTAATTATAATCTGTTATATTATTTAGATTTGATAGTCGAAATATTGGAGGTTTTATATTTTCTGATCAGTTCATTCAATTATCAGCTTTACTACCTTCTAAGTATATTTATGGATTAGGAGAACATAAAACTAATTTATTATTAAGTTCAAATTGGAAAATGTATACAATGTTTAACCATGATAGTACTCCAAAACCTGGCGTAAGTTTATTTAGCTTAAAAAGTATATTTTTCTAAATAGAACTATTTAATTTTTTTTATATTTTAAATATCAATGCTTAATTTTAGATAAACGGTTATGGCTCACATCCATTTTATCTACTAATAGAAAAATCAGGAAAAAGTCATGGAGTTTTTTTATTCAACAGTAATGCCATGGGTAATAAATAATAAATATTATATATTAAACCGCAAAACATTTAATGAATATTCAATATAATTAATTTTTTAAACGCAAGATATTCTATTACAACCAGCACCCGCTATAACATACCGGGTAATTGGTGGTATTTTGGATTTTTATTTCTTTTCTGGACCAACACCTTCTGATGTTATTTCTCAATACACTAAAATTATCGGTAGACCATTTCTACCACCATACTGGTCTTTGGGTTATCATATGTGTCGGTAAACTTTACGAAAAACGATCTTCTAATATCAATATAATTATTTAATTTATTCAATTTTATAATTATAGATATGGACAGACTTTTGAGGATCTGATCAAAGTTTATAATAGGACAACAAAAGCTGGCATTCCATGGGTAATAAATAACTAAAAATAATTATGTAATTTATATGAATGTTGTTTTTTGATTCTTCATAGTCAATAACAAAAATATTATTAATATTTAAATACTTACATTCAGAAAATATATAGTTAATCATACCGTAGCATGTACAATTATACAAACACAAAACCTAAAGACTTGATAACTATAGTGTTAATTCGTTTCAACCACGATGTACCAAAACCATTCTATTTTTATACTTAGACTATATTTTTCAAATTATGAATTTTAATTAATAGTAAAAAAAATTTTAACTAATAATTGCCTGAGATACAAAAAATGTATTTGAAATTAAATTTTCTTTTATAAAACTTACATATGTATATAAAAATTGTCAAATATTCATTTAAAAATGAAAAATTAACAAATAGGCAAAATACGCAATTACAAATGTAAGTATAAACTTGTATGGTCATGAAACAAATTTCTTAATTACTTGGCTATGTTTTGAATGATTATTGAAAAACGTGCAAACTCCTAGAAGTTCCTTGCCCTAGAATAATAGTGAACTAAAATAACTTAATAAATAAAAAATAGTAATTATTAATACTTAACTATAAATAACTAAATAATAATTAAATTATTTTAGTGACATTTTTTACACTTTTGCCCCCTCCCAAAAAAAAAAATTACAACAAATTAAGCACTGGATACACTACTATTATTTCATTGATTATAGAATAAATATTTATTCTATAATCAATGTTTATACTCAACATAGCACTGTTCTAATATATCTTATATTTTTATAACATTTGTAACTAAGCACACATAAAAATATATATTATATATTTATGGGTCATAATTATGAGTTCATTATTTTATTTTAGGACACTCATTGGAATGATATTGATTATATGGATCATAAGGATGATTTTACTCTGTCTAATAATTTTAATCAACTTCCTGAGTATGTGAATAGTTTACACAAGGTACAAAATAATCTTCAAAAAATATTTATTTTAAAATTAGTATAAATTTCAATTAAGTATAATATGCATGCAGTGCCGGATTACCCATTAGGTGGAGTACGCGCCCGTCTTAGAGTCTCATTCATTTAAGGGGCCCTGTGAAAACGGACAATTTTTTTTTATTTATTTAATAATACCTGTATTTTAATTACGAAATTACGGGACAAAAGTCATTATGAAATATAATATAATTAAGTTGTAGGTATTAGATACAGTAATAATAATAAAATTATTTTGAAAAAAAATAAAAATAATATAATAATTAATTAATTTTTCGTGCAAATAAAAAAATGTAATAAACCTGTAATCAGTGGCGAAGTATCCTAGAAGACAATGAGACAATGTCTACCCACTTTTAACATAATTTGGTTTTATTATATTTTATTTATTTATATACTTCAATATTTATCATCGTTTTACCTTTGTACCATAACGTATTAATATTCTTAAAATAGATTAGTTGCGGATCGTGCACGCGAACTGTCGTCCGTTGTGACGTAATTCTATAAACATCCAAATACAAATATAAAAATTAAAAATTATAAAGGTACGGTGTATTTTAAAAATATTCTAACGGTGTCCAATGCGCGACCTGTCGCCGCGACAGGTTGCCGCGTCAGCCCCGTGCAGTAAGATTTTATGGACACTACTTGGCATGTAGTACCATGGGTATAGCTTAACAAAGAGTCTTGCTGTCTCTATTCCATAATTTTCAAACGCATCCACATCTATTTCTTTTCCACTTGCCATAACTACTAAAATGGTTGAAAATCTTTTTATTAAGTTTATGTCAATCCCGGTGATATCTGATGATTTCTCTGGTTCCCTAAAAAATCTTCGAGATGTATTCCCATCATTTGTTGTACCGTGACCTTAAACAAATAAAGTAGGTACCTTTAATTTATATATTTTTTGTTTATTTATACAAATGGTCAAAATGTTACCTTGTAGTACAATATCAACTAATAAATCCATTTCGGATTTAAATCGGCCCTGAATTTCTTTTTTTCGGTGTTCCATCACAGTTTTATTTGAATCCGACCTTACCTGAAGATTACAAATTATTTAAAATAAAATTGTATTATACATTTATGAATATATATTTTTTTATAATTACCTGCCATGTTTTAAATGGTAACCGGTAGGATATGTGTAAAATACATTCTAAAAATCTTATCCATGCGTGAAGAGTGGACAATCCAAACTTAAAATTATCTGGGTTTGTCGGTATCTTTATCACTTTATCGATGTCATTAAAGTTTTTAGGTTTACATCCACATATGTAACACGATTGGCTAGATGTACTCGTATTGAATTACATACCTAAAAAAAAATCATTAAAACTTTAAAAATCTAAATTAATTTTGTATCTATGTAAAATTTTTACCTTTCCATCAACCATCGAAAATATCAGAGTATGTTTTATTTTGAGTAAATTATTGTCTTCTAATAAAATATCTGTTGGAAATATATTTTTCAATTCTGATTCGATGGCATTTACTTCTCTCTTCGTACTTTCTATTGTTTCCTTTTCATACAAAAATTTTATTGGACGACAAAAATGTGTAGACGAATAATGAGAATTGATTTTACACTTGTGGGACGAAATATTTTATCACCACGAATCAAACTTACAAGATCATTGTGTGAAAAATTATTCCGCTTAACACTACTACTTCCTGCTATTTAAAAATATACAATATTATTATAAAACTACCTATCCACCCACATAAGGTACAATGTGTATGAGTATACCAAAATGCAATTGATTAAGATATTTTTTTTCCTACGATTATGTATAAAATGTATAGTCCGTAATATTACACTTAGTTTAAAATTAATTTAACTAAATTTATTTTAACATTTCAGTAGTTTTTTGATACATAAATTTGTCGTTTCTCAAATAAAAATTATGGCCCAAGATATATAATATAACATTGTACACTAATGAATCTACGCCAATGATATAGTAGTGTTTTTTCGAATAAATCTCTCAATCTAGCTATTGAAACTCTAAATCTCGCTCTTAGTGAGTTAAATTTTATCCTCAACAGCCATTTTTTTCAAAATTGCAAATGAAAAATTAAATCCTTTATTTTTACCAGACGCCGATACTTAAATTCCCAGAACATTTATCTTGATGATACTTGATGAATCACACTAGATTCTAAATTACATTGGATACTATATATTACGTCGCTCACTTCGTACTGCTCGAAATGGGCTAATTTCCTCAGATCGATTTCTGATACATGGTAGGGATCTGACCCTCTCTCATTACTATCCATTTACAAATCAATCATACGCTATAAAATTGATTACGGTAGTTTTCTGTTTGGCTCATCCTCTTTCTCCAACTGGGCTAAACTCAATAAACTCCAAAGCAATTGCCTAAGAAGCATTTTGGGTATTTAAAATTAACCCCTTTTTCTGCTATCGAGGTAGAAACAATCTGCCCTCCTTTCAACATATGATGTCACTGGCTTGCCAGTAAATTTCTCCTGAAATCTTTATTACACTCTAACTCTCCTATCTTTGATACTTTTTATTCCCTGTTTCTCACTTGGCGTTATGTCCCTAAATATCTTCCAATCATTTCCCTGGCTGCAAATTCCATCTCCTCATTTCATCAATACATTATTACTCATATCAAACCACCTCTGTATTTACAAACATACGACTACTTTCTTAACATCCCTGTTATATACATCTCATGAACTTTCATCGTGAATCTCCCTCTATAGACCTTAAATTGTCCTCTCCTATTGTAATAAACAACGCCTTTTTTGATTTCCTTAATTCCATTTTTCCCGACTTCATAGCAGTGTATACCGATGGATCTGTTTCTCCTCTCTCTGCTGGTTACTCTTTTTATATTCCTGAGCTGCATATATCCTTTACTAATAATTTACCACCTTCGGCTTCTTCTTTCACTGCTGAGTGCTTCGCCATTGTCAAAACGCTCACGTTGATTTCCTCTTTCCTACCAGATAAGTTCTTAATTGCAACAGACTCAATGTCATGTCTTCAATCCTTTACCTCTAACCCTTTCAACTTTCAGATTTCCCCTCTAATTCTCTAAATTAAGTATATTCTGTATCTATTACATCAAAAAAATTTTATTATTCAGTTTCTCTGGGTTCTCAGCTATGTGGGTATCCGTGGAAATCATCCTCAAACTTAATATGCCCTTCTCTTTCCTTAATACCCTGGTCCGATTTCACCCCGACTCTTCGACGCCATATTTTTACACTCTGATCTACCTATTGGAATAACTTGCCAGCAAATTTTACCTCTAGTTTTAAATCAATTGTCCCTATCATACAAAAAAAGTACAGTTCAATGATCTTACTTTATCCAGACCCCTCATTATAAAATTTTACCGTCTTCGTAGTGCACATCATCTCCTACCTTCCCATGATTATAAACTAAATCTTAATGATTCCTCCTTCTGTACGCTTTATCTAGATGAAAGTATTTGCGATTTAAATCATATTCTTTTTGATTGTCCTTCCTTATCTTCCAAACGTCTTGTTCTATTTTACTCTCTGAAGTCTCTCAATATTCCTTTCAATATTTATGACATCCCTAATTCAAACTCTGTATCCGTTATTATCCTTATTATCTCTTTCACCCATGAGGTGGCTTTCGTGTTTAAAAATTTGTAAATATTTATTTTAAATGTATTATGTATATTTTATTTATGTTTAATCTTCGAGCTTAATAGTTTACTAAAACCCCAAATAAAAAAAAAAAAAACCCCAATAATATGTCCAACACCCTGAATAGAACAGATGTGTAGTATTATCAAACACCAATATTATATCTAAATACTGTATCTTACCAGGTTCTGTATTTTGATCGCATCATTTTCTCATTTTTCCATTCATGTTGGTTTTTATATACAGAGGGATAGGATATATAGAGGGATAGGATCCCTCTCAAACTAAAAATACCATCGTTAAAAATTGTTAATTTTTACATGGATATGTCTTAAGGCTGAGGGTTATTTCGAAAATATATCGCGACATTGAGAATGTTTTTTATGCGATATTTTAAAATTTTATATTTATAAAATATGTTAATTCGTTTAAAAAAATATGTGTGAATTTTGAGTGACTAGTGAAAAAATTGTTTATTACAATGTAATTTTTTTTTTTTTTTTTTTTTTTATTATTGTTTAAGCATCAACTACAAGGTTATTAGCTTAACTGTTATTACATTTTTACATTTTACGGAGTTATAAGTTAATGGACAATTCGATTATAAACAATTATAAACAAGTATTACAAATAAACAACTTGTTATATGCTGTTATACAATTCAATTTCTTTAAGGTATAAAATTGTGTTTCGCCAGTTAGAAAAAGGACCAATAGCATCATACAAGTTATCAGGGATGTTGAAGTTTCTTCTGGCTGCATCAAAGTTTGGGCAGTGGACAATTATGTGTTTAATAGAGTAGTCTATGTTGCATGTTGGGCATAGGGGTGGATCTGTTTTAGCCATGAGATGTCCGTGTGTGAATTTGGTATGGCCGATTCTTAAGCGATTAAGAATTACCTCATTTTTCCTATTTAGGTCGGTGAATTTTGGCCAGAGTTCAACAGAGTGTTTAATTTCTCTAAGTTTGTTTTCCGTGGTATTGTGCCATTTTGAGTTCCACCATTCAACGCACTAATTATTTATATTCCTCTTTATGTCAACAAGTGAGGAAAAGGGGATTAATTCACTGTTTGGACTCATAATTGCATTTCTAGCTGCTTCATCAGCCTTTTCATTTCCCTTTATGTTGCAATGACCAGGGATCCATATGAATTGAATATCTTTGCTTGATTTTGAAAGAAGGTTGCTTATTAGTATAGCCAATGGCTCTGAAAGTGTTATTGATTGCAGATTAGCTAAGGCACTGAGTGAGTCGGAACATATATCTATTTTAGTATCTTGAATCTGTAGAGCTAATTGGACTCCTTTATATAAAGCAAGATATTCAGCTGTATAAATGCTGTTGTAAATGTTAAGTTTGAACTGTTAAGTTTCGTTGAGGTGAACTATTGCAAGTCCTATTCCCATTTCTGTTTTAGAAGCATCGGTGTAGATCTGAGTACTGGTACTGGAACTATGTATAAGTTCGTTGAATAAATTGTTGTAGATAATATTTGAAGTTTCTTTTTTCGAGTGAACTGTTAGGCTTGTATCAACTCGGAAATTAGGTTGTTTCCAAGTAGGTATCTGGCAGTTTTCACGTTGGCATATTTCATTGGCTACAATATTAATTTCCATCATCTCTTGCTGTAGTCTAAGTCCTAATGGTTTTCTTAATTTAGGATTATGTTGGTATATATTGGAGAAACGATTTTTATTTAGAAAATGAATGGTTGAATTATTTGGTGTAGATAAGATACGAGCTATATAATTAAGAGATAACTTAAGTCTACGGAAATGAAGTGGAGGTTCTCCAGTCAGGGAAAGCAAACTTATTATCGGGCTACTTTTAAAAGCTCCAATTGACAATCTCAGTCCTGCGTTGTGGATTGTGTCAACTATTTTTAAGATTTTTGAGTCTGAGTTGCCATAACAAATTGAACCATAATCAAGTTTGGATCTTACCAGCGATCTATATACATTTAATAGTATAGTGCCTTCGGCACCCCATTCATAGTGACTTAAGGTTTTAATGACATTAAGGCTTTTGTATGTATTTTTTTTTAGTGCCATAATATGAGATTTCCAAGTAAGCTTTGTGTCAAACTTTAGACCTAGTATTGAAATGTCATCTACAAATGTTAAACGAGTAGTACCAAGAAACAATTTCGGTTTGGTTAATTTCCTTTTGTTAGAAAAAAGAATGCATTTAGTTTTTTGAGGCGAGAAAATAAAGCCGGCTTTGAAGCACCATTCGGAAAGGTCGTTTAGGCATTTTTGGAGTATTCTAGTCATTACAGAAATTTGCGTACCTCGAATGTATAAGTGGGTATCATCAGCAAAAATGATTGATTTTACAGGATTTGAAATAATATTGGGAAGGTTATTGATTGCCGTCTGAAATAAAAAAATGCTGAGAAGGGAGCCCTGCGGTACTCCATTTTCTAACATAAAAGTATTAGAAGTTATATCACTAATTTTTACTTGGAAGGATCGTTGGTTTAAGAAGTTAGTTAGAAATATTATCATGTTTCCATGTATGTTCCAATTTTTAAGTAGATTAATAACTCTGTATCGCCAAACAGTATCATATGCCTTTTGCAAATCGAGGCTTATTAAGATCATTGATTGTTTGTTTGCTAATGTTTCTATGACTTCAGTATCGATTTTTACATGACAATCAGTGGTTGAATGGTGTTTTCTAAAACCGTGTTGACTAGGAGAAAGGAATTTATGTTGAGTTGCATACCAATTAAGTCGGTTATAGATTATTTTTTCTAACAGTTTGCTCATACTGCAGAGGACTGATATTGGTCGATACCCTGTAGGTTTAAATCTATTTTGATTCTTTTTAGGAATAGGGGTGATGATGGCATTTTTCCATTTGATTGGGATTATGCCCGTTTCCCAAATTTGGTTATAGAGATGAAGTAATAACATTTTGCCACTTGAAGGTAGGTTTTGTAAGAAAATAAAAGGAATTTTATCAGACCCACAGCTTTTACTTTTTTTACCACGAAGACAATGTTCAATTTCAGGCAACGTAATCGGTTCATTCAGGATGCTGCCTTGGCCATGGTTGGGATGTAAGCTTGTTGAGGTATTTATATATTTTTCTTTTTCTTGTTTGTACTTAAGGAAGTCGTTGGTTAATGAAGCGTCACTACTGTTGGAGTAGAAGTATTGGCCTATTGATTGAGCTATTTCCTGAGGTTCAGTATGTATGACATTTTCGGATAGAATAGTTTTAATTTGGATCATAGGAATACCTTTAATGGTTTTAATTTTTTTCCAAATATTGGTAGTTGACTCTTTGCTATTGAGGCCTGTCGTGAATTTTACCCAAGCTTTTTTTTTTTCGTTTTTTATTAAATATCTGACTAACGCTTTTTTCTTTTTAAATTCAATGAAGTCGTGGAAATCGTGTGTACGTTTAAATTTATTGAAAGTTGTTTTTTTATTTCTTATTGCAAGTTTGATGGTTTTATTCCACCATGGTACTGGAGGTCGTTTACCAGAATAACTATTTTGCTCGAAAATGTTGGAAGCCGTATTATAAATTAAATTACTAAGTTTCTCCGTATTGTCTTCCACATTATTGTTATTTAAGAAGGAAAAATCATAATTTAATAAATTTTTTTCTATTTCAGTTTGATAGGTATCCCAGTTGATATTGGTCAGTTTCCATTTGAGACTGCGAGTGTGTTTGTCCCCAGAGTCGGTATACTTAAGTTTTAATTTAATTGGAAAATGGTCGCTACTCGAGAGCTCTGGCATAGTGCCCCATTCAATATGGGGTGATATAGTTGATGACGAAAGAGAGAGATCAATTGCTGAGAGATTACCGGTGCTAGCACTTATTCTTGTTGCTTGACCATTGTTGAGAATATTTATGTTATTGTTATTATCGAGTATTTGTTGTACGATTGTGCCTCTTTGATCTGTGTCATTGCAACCCCACAAGATATTATGGCTATTGAAATCTCCAAGAAGTATAAAAGGAGTAGGTAGTTGGTCGATAATGTTTTGAATATCTGTGTAATTGAGGATTTGTGAGTTGGGTATATAAATATTACAAATAGTTAATTTGTATTTGAGAGAAATTCTTACGGCAACTGCTTCTAGATTTGTGGATAAAGGGATTTCTTCCGAAGGGTACTGAGAACTAACAAAGGTGGCCACTCCACCGCTAGCCCTATTATGATTGTTTCTGTTTTTAAAAAAAATTACATAATTTTTTAAAGACCCAGTTTTATTGATAGTGAAGTTGGTTTCTTGTATACTAAGAGCTACTGGTGAGAACTTGTTAATTAATAATTTTATTTCATCAATTTTTGAATAGAATCCATTTGGATTCCATTGGAGGATTTGAAAGGTGTTATTAATCATGGTAAATTATAGTTGTTAGCGTATTTTGTTTATATAGAGGTTTGGATTTTAACTAAAAGGTTTCGTAATCTTCACAGTCGATCATGTAAGTCTGACTGTTAGTGAAGTTTTGAATTTTTTTTAATGCATTGGATAACCTGGTTAGACGATTTTTGGCGCTTTTCACTGTTACATTGGGGTAAATTGTAGAAATGATTTCTATAATATTATCTGGACTACTTAAGTATTTGATACATAAATTCCCGAGTTCGGAGCAACCTTTTGAACATTCAAGAAAATCTTTAAATTGGTTATAGGTTAAGGAAAAATCAGGGTGTGTGTTAAAGAGTTCATGAGTAGATTCTAACCATTCATCGATGTTTGTAAGAACTTCATCATTAGAGCTGGAACTAGGCCCGGTTTTTAGTTTTTTGCTTGTAATTCCTTTGGTTATTTTTGCTGATTGAGTTTGGCCGTCTTGTGTATTAGGGGGCCTCACGATTGGAGGTGAGCTGGATGGGAGAGACGAGCTTGATGATGTAGGTGAAGGCGGCTGAGAATTAGTTACAGTAGAAGGAGCTGGGCGTTTTCCTGTCTGAAGAGACTTTACTTTAGTATTTAAGTTAGCTGACGATATTAGTTTGTCAGCTAGTGTAGGTTTTATAGACTGCTCCAAAGAAGTGACATTGGTACTTTCAACGGATAGGTTTATAAATGAAGTGTCTCTATCCTGGGAGGAATTAACTTTTTGAGCATTGGTGATAGGTAAAGGGCAAGATACATTTATTATATTGTTGGCTGTTGATGATAGGTCTATAAGGGTTTCCATTTCAGTTTCTGTTTGTTCAGTAACATTAATTGAATTGGGTTTATTTGTACATTGGCTTGAGAAGTGACCAGTTTGGTGACATTGAAAACATGTTACCGTGTCATCAGTGATAAATATTCTGAACGTTGTGTTCTCTATTGTAACAGTGATGGAGCTAGGTAGTTTGGACATGCTATCTTGACTAATATAAATTTGTCTTCTAAAGCTTAATATGTGAGAAAATTGTTCAGTGGCGAATCCGGCTCTCATGTGAGAAATTTGCGAAACAGTTTTGATTCCTAGCTCATGAAGAGCGTCTATTATGAGTTGATTTGGGATAGTCGGGTAAACATTTGATAAAATAATTCTCTTAGAGGTGTTAATAAGTCTACGAATTGAGATTTCTATTCCATTAACTTGAATTGATGACTGAATCTTAAGTAAATTTTCCATAACGGTTTGGCTATTGAAGAAGACGCAAAATCTGTTATTGGAAATACGCGAAACAAATTGTATATTCTTTGCGGGAATAGTTTTGCTGATTGCGGTGACATAATCGATTTGTTTGATATTATTTATGGAGTTAAATACGATAGCTTGATTCATTTTAGGTAAACTAGTATTTGAAGTTATTTCAGCGAATGTCTTATTACTGTGTGTAGGTTGTGAAGAACTGTTGGAATTATTCATATCGGTTGTTAAAATAGGCTTATCACCCATTGGGTTTGAGATATTATTTAATTGGTATAGTTAACGTAAAAACGATAATCATATTACCTGCACGTTGAATCGAATGATGCGTGTTACTGCTATCGATAGCTATAAATGCGGTAATGAGCGACACAAACGTGTTGCACGGTCGGGCGCTGAACACGAACTGAATGTAATTTTTATATTTTTTTAAAATTATAAATCATTAAAATATTAAAGTTTCTAATTTTTATGATGGTGTAGAGACAGTATAGAATTCTTATAGTGTTCACCTAATTTTTTTCGTAATAGTGTGCTTCCTCCTTCCTTTCCCCCAAAAATCAAATACATGATCAGCCCCTCCGAAATAAAAATCAATATATGCCACTGATACATAGACGCCACCAGGAATTTCGTCTAGAGTGTGCATCATGCATAGTATATACGCTGATTTTTTAATAATGCTTAAATTATATAAATTAAATATGTTTTCAAATTGTATGATAATACAAAATTTTTTTTATTTTTTTTCGACAAGGTATTAAGTAATGCTACTTGAAAATCCGATAATGCACCCTTTTGCACCCCTCTCGTGTCGACCATGCTTATATAATATAGCTTTAAATTATGACTTCGATATTTAAACTTACTTTAGAACAATGTTTATGATAAATTATATTAAATTGTTATTAGGTCGGAATGCACCACGTGATAATTTTAGATCCAGGCATTCCTTCACGCCATTTTAATGAAAACTTTTTTGTCCCTTTAAAAGATGGTCTTAAAGATGATATATTTATAAAAAACTTTACTGGCCAGCCATTGGAAGGAAAAGTATATAATTTTAATTAATGTTTTGGATTTTTTTTTATATATTCGTATAAATATGTGATTTTATTTTATTTGTAAGGTTTGGAATAATGGTGGTAAAACAGCATTCATTGATTTTACTCATCCTAAAGCCACTGAATTCTGGAAAATCCAAATTTCGAATTTTCTTAAAGTTGTAAACTTTGATGGTTTATGGTTGGTAAGTATACAAATATAACACAAGAATTATTTTTCTTATGTTTTTCTTGCGAAGGATATGAATGAACCAGCTAATTTTGTTGATGGTGATTTAAATGGTTGTTTATCATTTGAATCTGATCATTGGGAAAATCCACAATATCTCCCTAATATAGTTGGTAACCATTTGAATTATAAAACAATATGCATGTCTGCACGCCATTACGCTGGTGTTCACTATAATCTACATAATGTATATGGACTAGTTGAAACCATAGCTACTTATGAGTAATCATTTATGATTTTTTCACGTAATAAACATAATTTATTTTGATTTACTTTTAATTTTCTTAGTGCATTGTCAAAATTGAAGAATACTAGACCCTTTGTAATTTCTCGATCTTCTTTCCCTGGTTTTGGACATTATGCTGGTCATTGGACCGGAGATATTAATTCTTCGTGGGATGATATGAAACAATCTATAACAGGTATTTGATGCATTTATTTAATTTATAAATAAATGCATAAACATTCTGACTTAATTTTGCAAACTAAATGATTCTCAGAAATGTGAACTTTTTCTATTTGAAAGAAATTTAAATGTTATGGCATATAAGGTTATAATACAACATTATCTATGAATAATAACAATTATAATATTTCTGTTAATTAGAAAACAATAATTTTAATAAAAAAAAAACTTATTTACTTAGTCCTTATAACGTATAAATTTTTTAATTATAAAATTAGTTAACAAATTAACTAGAAAATCTAAATTTGTTATAGATATTATAAATTTTAATTTATTCGGCATACCACTAGTCGGAGCAGATATATGTGGTTTTCATCACAACACAACTGTTGAATTATGTTCAAGGTGGATTCAACTAGGAGCATTTTATCCTTTTGCAAGGAATCATAATGACCAGTTTATGAAAGTAATTTAATATTCACTATTGCAAAATTGTTTTATAGTAAGGGATAATTTTGAATTTATTTCCTTATATTTCTTTAAGGATCAAGATCCAGCAGCCTTAGGAACTGAAGTTATATTATCTACAAAGAAATCATTGTTGACTCGTTATTCATTATTACCATATTTATATTCATTGTTTTGGAAAGCCCACATTGAGGGAGAAACTGTTGTGCGACCTTTGTTTTTTGAGTAAATGCTTAAAAATGGTATAGTATTACCCTTTATTGAAATTTAAATTTTATTAGGTATCCATTTGATGATAATACATATGCCATTGATACTCAGTTCTTATGGGGTGCTGCTTTACTGATTTTACCTGTTTTAAAAGAGGTTAGTATACTTAATTACTTATGTTGAATTTATTACATTTGTTAAAAATTAATTATTAGAAAAGTCATCATGTAGATGTCTATCTTCCAAGAGACACGTGGTATGAATTTTATAATAAAAATATAATATTAAGTAACGGAAGTTTTTTTGTCATTGAAGCACCAATAGACACAATTCCCTTAATGGTACGTGGTGGATTTATATTACCAACACAAATGCCATCTATAACTACAACATTGAGGTATACCATTATATTATTTGTTAAATAATTGCATTACTCTATTTTTTTGTATGCTCATGTTTAAGTCGTCAAAATTACTATGAATTATTAGTAGCAACTAAACGCAACCAAGCAGCCGGTTTTCTATTTTTAGATGATGGAGAATCTTTAGGTACTCATCAATATTAATAAATGTTTTAACAAGTAAAATATTTGCATTAATTACCTATTAAAAATATTTGTAACCAACATTTAATATTAAAACTATTGACCATGTACTTTTAAGTATAATATAATTATACGAGTAATTGTATTCATTATGTATTATTTTGTAGATTCATGGACAAATAATGCATATAATAAAATACAATTTCGCCTAATGAACACTACATTATTCAGTATAGTAGAAATGAATAATTATAATGATAATAATTGTATACTACAAAATATTACCATACTTGGTGTTGTACGAGAACCATTAAACGCAACAATTAATGAATACCCTTTCAACCACTATTTCTACAATAAAACTGAAAAAGTAATTTAATTGTAATATACATATTAGTGATGGACAAAAAACATCGATTTTTTAGGTCGATATATAGATGTTTTAACATCGATGATTTGTTATCGATTAATCGATTGAATATCGATGTTAATGTTCGAATTTTTTTTTTGTATTATTTTAGTATGTAGTATATAAAAATCATATAATTAAACTAAACATAAATTATACAGTTATAATCAGGGCTCGTAAGTCCATGAACTAAAAAGTTTTTAGTAAAAACGCATAAATAAGTAAACAATAATGCACTAACATTTGATCAAATATGCATTATAAATCCTTAATTATGTAGGTAAAAAACGTTTAAGAATTTTTTTAAATAATAAGAATAATCCATTTATACTTTTAAAAGTTATATTTTTTCTTCGGTTACATTTTATTAAAATTATAATTAATGAAGACAAGTGGCAACGAAAATAGATAGAATGCAATGGACACGTTAATAAGAGGAGATTGGTAGTAGTGCACAATGACACTGTTTCTGTGGTACTGCTTTTGATTTATAAAATGTAATGTCGTTAAAAAATAAAAATATTGATAAATTACTAAGATTTTATAAACAAGTTCAGAAAAGGAAATAAGAATGAATTCAAACATTTATTGATCTAATTTTTTTTTTGACTTCCACATAAACGATTTCGCTGAATTTACATAAAATAATATGTGCTAATAACTCAAAAAAAATCAGCTATATGCCAGATATGTCAATACACACAAAATATGCAAAAACATGCTCTATTAAACTTAAGATTTTCAGTACCATTGTTATGTATCGGATTTTTATCTCAATTAGCATATTTTCCGATGTAGCAAAGAAAGCATGTAAATGCATGAACCTACGAGTTCTGATTATAAGTATTTAATATGTATTTAAAAAATATAAGTTAAATAATAGTATTTTAACTCTTGAATTTATTATTTAATCAAGAAAATAGTACACTGCACAGATATAAGATGTGCAACAGATGGCAGCTCTAGAGGGGAAAAATTTTTTTTCGTTGTTCTTAAACATCGATGGTTTTTCACCGATACATCGAACACATCGATATTTTAAAAATCAATGTATCAATACATCCAATATCGATGATCAAACAATTTTGCCCATCCCTAATACATATTTTATTTACTGTACCTACAAATATTTATAGTACTTATATTTAATTTATTACAGGTTTTATACTTCAAAATGTTAAACTTAAATTTAACAAATTCGTTCAACATAACGTGGTAAATTTTGAATTCAACTTCTGACTAAACAATACAATTTTAAAATTAGAGGAAATTCTCCAACAAAATATATATACTATACTATACTACTATACTATATTATACTATATACTATAATATATCTATCTTTTTTTAAAACTTATCTGTATTCATCAGTGGCAGACGCAGGAAAATTTTTCAGGGAGAGGGGGTTAAAAATGCAAAAAATTAATAAACAACAATGTTTTATTACTCATTATATAATACAGTGAAACTTTGATAATTCGAATCGGTTCCAGGCAAATAAAAATTCGAATTATTGAAAATTCAACTCACAGAATGTTTTGATAACTCGATCAGGGGGAAAAAAATTCGATAAATTTAGATTTAGATTCAATTTTTTGACATTAAAATATGATAATAAAATGTTTTGTTTTTATTAAAAAATTTCAGCCCTGGTAAAAACTTATATGATATTTATTGAAGTTAAAAATGTTAGTATAATTAAGTAAAATTCTTAGGTATTATGGCACTGGTAAAAACCTGTATGGTGTATAAATTTAAATTTTCAATTTGGTTTTCTACTAACCATTTCATAGCATTTCTAATAAATGCTTATTTTTCAATTATATTTGTTCTGCGAGTATGTAATTGAGTGCTTCTTAATTTTATATAGGTATCCTTCTGTACATTTTTTAGAACATCAATGAAAACAAAAATATTAGGATGACATTGTAGTAATAATTAGGATGCACCGTAGAAACAAAGCGTTGAATTTCGAATGAAAAGCTTCACAAAATATTTTATCAGTCAAGATTAAATAATCTAGAGTTAGAAAAAACAGGTCGCAACTCGTCTGCATCCAAATTAATTCAGGACGCAATTCGGATTAGACTTTTTTACTATGATATCTTTGGAACGCAACTAATATGCAGCCGATGGAACTGTCCCAAAGGATCCGCCATTTTAATCTCAAATAAAATCAAACATTACCCACTTCAAAGTCTTCAACTACCATCAATACGAGCAACCAATATTGTATAATCCAATAAACTCAAGATGGGACCATATGAAAAACCACCAAAAATATTCTAAAAATAAAAGACCAACTTTACATTACGATTAAAAAGAGAAGACGGTACATTTGCCTTTTCAGATATTGACAAAACCAGTAGCATGACGAACTCAACAATTTTCAGAGGCAAGTACATTTTGTAGATACCCACCCACAAGGCCGTATCCTGGGGAGTCCAGGGTGTCTGGACCCCCTCCCGAAATTTCTTCAATATTTTACGAATGTTTAAAATACTTATTAATTTTTAATACCAACATAAATATATTTTCAGTCAAAAATGACTTGAGCTTCAATTAATCATTGACTGCTTTAAATTTTATATAATAATATCATATGAAAATAATTTTAATAAAAGAAGATTAAATCTTTTTCTATCTGATTTTTATCCAAATATCAAAAGTTAAAATCTTAATTCAATAAAATTACAATATACATGTTTTGGACCCCTCCCGAAGAAAATTTTTAGATTCGGTCATACCTACCCACCCACTAAAAACTGAGAGGCGACGGCCTCTCGATTACCCATATCGCCACGCCACTGGACAAAACCAATATCTTTGGAAGACATCTATTTGAAATATTCACCCTTCATTACGATATGACTCCTGAAAAAAGCCACCTAAATAAAATTACAAATTTCTTAAGTAACCCACCTATGTCACTCCCTACCAAACATATCCCATAACGAATTAAAAACTATACATAAACTAAAAATAAAAAAATCACCTGGACACGATCAAATAACAAACAAGATCCTCAAATATTAACCTGAAAAATCAATCATACTTCTCACCAGGCACATACACTTGGGGGATTGTAGGGGTTCAAACCTTCTCGAAATTCAGGAAAATGATTAAATATGTTTTTATATAGTAAAATTAATATATAGATTATATAATTATGAAAATATACAACAATACCCCTCCCAAAGTATTTTTTTGTGTACGCGCCTGCTTCTCACATACAGGGGCGTATTTGGGGGGAGGTGATATGGGTGTTAGAACACCCCCCCCCATCGACCGTATTTTATGGTTAGGTTTCACCAAATTGCAAACTTACTTACAGTATAATTTGAATAAACGTTGTATACAACTTGTAGTTTTTACATATACTGTCTTAATTTAATCATTTATATAAATACATGGTATTTATTAATGTAATACGGGGGGAGGGGGGCGCAAAGCCATTGCCGAGTTGATTAAATTTTAAAACACCTCCGTTAAATGAATCCTGGATACGCCATTGCTCACATATATTTATAATTCCATGTTAAGACTGTCAAATTTCCATTTATTATGGAAACTATCTATAATGATCCTTATATACCATCCTAACAAACCAAAAGATGAACCCTCTTCATACAGACCAGTAAATCTACCACCGGTATTAGGGAAATTATTTTGAAAAAGTTTTACTTAAACGAATCAGCCCCATTCTTAAATCCCAAAAAATGATACCAAATACACAATTTGGATTTAGAGAAAATCACTGCTCAACACTCCACTAGATCCATCGAATCGTCGACAAAATAGCCTCAACGTTTGAAAACAAAAACTTCTTTCCGAGAGTATTCTTAGACATTTCACAAGCTATTGACCGTGTGTCGCACAGTGGCCTGTTCTTTAAATTTAAAAAGTTTCTCTGAACTCCATTTTACTTGTTGACCAAATCGTATCTACAAAATCGATTATTCTTCATCCGTCAAGGAGATTCCCACTCATCACAATTTCAAATCAAAGCAGATACCCCAAGAAAGTGACCTATCACTAGACCTGTATAACGTTTACACAGCTGACATTCCTTAATCAGATAATACACTGATTTTTCAAAATAGGCTTCCAAGTAGAGAATCAAAATAAATTCGAACAAATCCTTTCATATCCCTTTCGCCATAAGAAAAGGTGACCCACCAACAATTGATTTTCAAAACAACCAAATCCCAACTACAACTCAAACGAAATATTTAGGTCTAATCCTAGACAAGCGTCTAACTTGGGTCTACAATTAAAAACTAAAAGAAAGGTTTTTAATACCAGACTTCGCCTTTTACGCCCTATTCTTAAGTTCAAGTTTTCGTTCAACAATAAATTATTAATATACAAATAAATGCTAAAACCTATCTGGGCCTATGATATTCAACTATAGATTTGTGCCAAAACTTCACAATACGTACCATCCATGCCTTTCAATCAATAATTGGTGCAAATGTTATTTGGGGAAGAGATATTATTTCTCTTCGTCAAATAATATCTGCACTATGGTACGTTTCCAATCTCTCATTACACAAAGATTTAAAAATTGAATCAGTTTCTACCGCACATAAAAACTACTACAAAAAATTCCAAACTAAATCGATTGACCAAACAAATCCACTAATATCTAACTTAGTCAGCAAATTCATACCAGACAAAACTACACGTCGATTAAAAAGATATTGGAGTCGATATCTCTTGAATCTCGATTTACATTAAACAAGCATAATTAAACAAGCAAACCTCTCTCTTCTCCAAGAGGGTTTTCACGCTAGTGAGCCTCCCTCGTTACGTCTTTTCAAGTTGCTGTATACTAGTTTGTTATAAAATTTACTTATTGTATATATATATACATAAAAAATTAGTTTGTAAATAAACTATTATAAATACTAGTATGTTAAAAAAAAAAAAGTTTGAGAAGCACTGCTGTAACTGATTAGATTGTTATTTTATTAGGCTCGGCGACTCGGTGGTGTTCACTAGTGATGAGCATAATCGAATAATTTCAATAATCGAATTATTAGTATTCGAGACATTTTTATAATTGAGAGATGTCTCGAAATAATCATTCGAAATATTAATAATTGAGATACATGATTAGTGATGGACATAATCGAATGATTTTGATAATCGAAATATTAGTAATCGAGACATTTTTATAATCACGAGATATCTCGAAATAATCATACGAAATGTTCAATTGAAATATAAATATAATATAATTTTATTTATAAACGTTCTGAGAATTTTTTGTTGTTTTGTGGTGGAGTAATTAAAAAATTATAGCTATAGGTAATATAAATCAACGGTCGCCATCTTTTTGGTCCTCACGGACCACTAAATGCGTACTCTAAATTCTACGGACCACTCTTAGCTTAAAATAGCTTTTTACATAAATACTGTTAAATAAATCGGTGAGGTATTTTTTTTCGGTCATATTTGACTTGTTATTTTCATTGTTTGCTGCAATGGAACTATTATCCACAAAATACCATGTCTAGGGTGTTATTTTTTTGGGAAATAACGACAAAAAGATTCTGTAAGTACTTAAAGTTCAAATTTTTCTGCGGACCACTTAAATTTTCTCGCGGACCACCGGATGGCGACCGCTGATATAAATAACTAAGAATAACCACCGTATAACCGTATACTCATCAATATTTGTCTAACAACCAGTCCCACGAGTAGCACGAGTCGAAAATACAAAGACTTAAAGTAAACAACTAGTATTTACTTATTCGTAATATTTTTTCATTCGATATAGATTTCCGAGATCAAGAATTCATTGTTTTTTAAATAAACGAGATATCACTCGAAATAATCTCTTGTGTATATAATCGAATTATTATTTTGATAATCGAGATATCTCGGTTACGCCCATCACTAGCATCACCACTAATAGCACAGATTATATAAAACTATATTATATAATCCGTGCTAATAGTATCTGCTTGGTAAATGAAGAACGCGACTCGCGTGCCGCGAACACATTGTTTAGATAACGATTAATAAAATAAAATCAAGAAATATATTTTTATAAATAGGTATTGTACAATATCTACAAATATTTGTAGAATATTTTTTTCTTTAGAATATTATTTTGTATGAGTTTCAGATAAATTACTATTTATAAAACTGATTTTTGTTGCATAGAATATCTACAAATTAATTTATTTGATACCTTATGAATAGACAAACATATACACACATATAAATAGAAAATGTATAATTATTTTTATTAAAAAAAATAATTATAACCAAACTTTCCCAAAATAATAAATATTTTACTATAGTTAATAGCACGGTCTTAGAAATAAGATCTTTTAAGACCGTGATTAATAGAATAAAATATGGATGTGTATTTTATTAGATTATATATAGGGATATAGACATAGATTATATATATATATATATATATATTCTTCTGTATATATAAAACAGTAAGCTGATTGACTGCTATCAACGCACAGCTCAAACCATTGGACGGATCTGGCTGAAATTTGGCATACAGATAGCTATTATGATGTAGACGTACGCTAAGAAAGGATTTTTCGAAATTTTGAATTTAAAGGGTTGAAATGATCCGAATGATCTGAATGATCAGAAGATAGATAGCGAACGATTCCGATACTTCGATTTCGATTCAATCAAAAAAAGCTGCGTGCAAAAGATTCTCAAGACAATTGTTAGATATTGGAGATGGGAAAGTTACTACAGATGAAACGGGATGTATAAAATTACCGAACGATTTCTGCACAATCATTTATTCGCAAGATGCTCTCATTGACCAGATATGTCTCAGTGTACACAGTCAAAACACAAATCATGAGTGGCTGGCAGAAAGAGCAATTTTAGTAGCAAAAACTGTGGAGGTCAACGAATTGAATCTCAAGATACAAAATTTGTTACCAGAAAACTTGGTGTCATACAAATCTAGATACAGTTTGCGATGCTACTGAAGTTGTAAATTATCCAACAGAGTTTTTAAACTCATTGGATTTACTAGGCATGCCACCGCATAATTTACAATTGATCATTACAATTTACCATCGATAAAATACCTCCTTCAGAGTCATTTAAAGTTGTAATACATGCAGATAAAAAACCACTAGAAGAACATAGAGGCAGGTATAATGCACCAACGGCAAATGAAGCTGCTTTAGTGTTAGTAGATCTTCACCGTATCAGTGAGATACATCGAGCATACGACGAACTGCAGTATCCTTTAATGTTTTGTTGGGGGGATGATGGGTATGCAATCAATATACCACAACGCGATCCAAAAACCAAGTTACCGCTTAAAAAAACTGTCTCTGCATCAAGTTTTTACTCATATAGAATAATGGTCAGAGAAGGGGAAGACAACTATTTAGTTAATTATCGTTCTCTTTTCAGTCAATATTTGGTAGATGAATACGCCAAAATTGAAACTGAAAGACTAAATTACATCAAAAAAAACCAAGCCAAATTGCGTGCAGATAGTTATATTCATTTAAAAGATGCGATTGGACGACGAGACATAGAAGCTAATCAGTTAGGCCAAATGGTTATACTCCCGTCAACTTTTACTGGTGGGCCAAGGTACATGCACGAAAGAACACAAGATGCTATGACCTACGTTAGACATTACGGTCGTCCTGACCTTTTTATTACTTTTACATGTAATCCTCGCTGGGACGAGATAAAAGAGCTCTTACTTCCCGGTCAAAGATCATATGATCGACATGTTATAATTGCAAGAGTGTTTCGGTTAAAAGTCAAAAAGACCATGAACTTATTGACAAAAGGTAAAATATTCGGAGGAGTGAGATGCTATATGTATTCAACAGAATACCAAACTGTAGAGAGGTTCAGGTAGTTGTAAGCTATAACTTATCGAATAGGTTATGATAATAATTAATTAAATTAATATGTATAAAATATTATTTCAAAAATCTTAATTAATTTAAATTTCAATAGATTTAACAAAATTTAATCTTGGCAGGTTACATACATTTATATACTTAAACCTGGCAACAACGTGTAATTCAGCTAGCTATATGTTATATATAATAATACTAATCATGTAATAATTTACAAAACCATAAATAATTGATAAATTTAATACATTTGAAGCGGTTTTATGATTATCTATTGAAAATACCAAAGTATGCTTCACTATTTGAAATTAAAAATGAATGAAAATTTATTAAAAAAAATAAATAAAATAAATAAATTAATGATTTTATTATTTATTATCATATATTATTATTTAAAAAATGCTATCACATATGATTGTATCTTAGAACAAATTTATTCTTATCATTGAGAAATTTAATATTTTTCTATTATTAAAGAACATTTTTTCCTTAAAATAAATCACTGTTATTAACTTGTATTACAAGTTTTTTTTTAATTATATATCATCTAGTTATCTAAGTGTAAAACAACTTTATTATACAATCAATATTTATTAATTAATACAGATATAAAATTAAACTTATATTAAGTATTTAATCACAATCAGAAGTTAAATTAATCATAATTAATTACATGTTCTATACCAATGTAAATAACAAATTTCAATGTGTAATATTAAGTTCAAATATATTTTAATTTAATTTAAATGTGAAAGTAAATTTATTAAAAACTGTACATTTTGGTTTGTTTAACTGAAATAAAATATATTTTAAATATGTGTAGTTGAATGTTACACGTTTACAATATTTAACTGAATTATTATAAATAATTATTGAGTATACAATGATTTTAGTAATACAATTTATAACATAAAATATAAAATTATACTTGACTAAAGTAACAATAAATAATTATTTATTGAGTTAAGTATGATAGATATATAATATTTTCATTTTTAAAAGAATAAAATGTTGTCAATCTGAAACATCAACATGTTTAATTATGTTGATAGATTTTTAATAGCAATTATTACAAGATATTTTTATTATTTATAAGTAAACATTTTCTGAATATATAGCTGAACACAAATAAATTTAAAATGTATTCAATTAAAATTGTATGAAAATATTTAGTCCGGTTGGACAGTTAATATTATAAAACTGTATATTAACCTTATAACAGTAAATTTATTATAGCCAAATATAATTTTATACTAATTTTGTGGCTTATATTTTTAGAGCTATATTATTTATAAAGATATTAATATCAGTTGATAATCATTTATGAAATTTATCATATATTTAAATTTGTTGAATAGTTACGATAAATCTGTATACTTTTTATTTGTTAGGTACATAAGAATGATGATAATTTCTAACATTTTTTTAAATCTTAAGTAACAATTTATATCAAATTTTTAATTTTAATGTTTATGTAAACTATTAAATATATATAATAAAAATTAAAAACTTAGTTTGAATCATAATTTAATAAGATAATTACAAAATTAATTAAAAAAACAATCAAATACTGACAATTATTAGCATTATTTTAATAAAAACCAAGAAATTTAGATTAATATAAATGATTTAAAAATATTCTATAGTTTAATATAACAATAAGCTCTAAAAATCAGGAACTTTATTATAAGCCACAAAACTCAAAATAAAAAAGTTAAATTTAATTAAATAAAAAAAATAGGAATTGTTAAAAATAAGTTTGGGGCTGCATTAAATTGTATTTGTAGTTTTTAACCCAAAAACAGCTTTCATTTTAATGATGCATCTTAACAGTCTTTTTAAATTTACACTTTAATAATAACTACTAAAAATATATTTTTAAGGCAATAAACAATTTAAAAATATTAGTTAAGAAGACAATATAGATTATAATGTTACAAAATAAATAAATACATAAAATAAAAACAAATAAGTTACTGCATTAAGGGTCATCTGAAAAAAAAAGGATTAAGTTATTTTATAATTGAATGAACAATTTAAAGTATATACAATGAAATTTATTTCATGTATAATATGTAATATATTTACTTTCAGTTATATTAAGTTTGTCTGTTTGTTGAAATGTGTTTATTAAAAATAAATAAGACATAAAATATTTTTAAGTTGTAACTATTGATTATATAGAATAAAAAATGAGTATAATGTTTTAAATGTATTATAATATCTTAGATATTAAGTTTAAAATTATTTTATGCAACTAAACAAACAATAATATTTTTATTGAAAAGGTTAATTCTCCAATTTGAGTACTTAATAAAGTAACATTACAAATGAATATATTTTAAAGTTAAACCTATTGGGTAGCTCCTCAAAAAATTAATAAAATAAAATAAATATCTTTATTATTTTTTTTTTTTTTAGAAAATTATTCAACAAAAAAATCATGTAATAAAGCTAAGGTGCTAACCTGAATCATCCAACGGTGATTGATTATTGGTAGGATCTATTGCTTCTTTAATTTGATTACTGGCCCCTTTTGGATCTAGGTCGGTTGCTCTGTTAAAGTTCATTAATGCCAGATGAATATTGCCTAATTTTTTATGTACCTAAAAACAACGTTATTTACATCTTATTTAATAGAAATCTCTAATTACATGATCATACTTTGCCAGTTAAAAAATAGACTAGAGATTCCTTTGGCACAATTTCTTTCAATTCTTCTAGTTCATAAAGTGCTTCTGGTAATTTACCAAGTTTAGAATATATTTGTGCCCGTTGGTACTTACACATTGGATGTTTAGGTTCTAATGTTAATGCTATATGTAAAGTATGTAATGCTTGGTCTGGTTTATCCATACTATTTTGTACCTAATAACAATATTTGTTTGTATTGTAAAATATTTATAAATTTGACAAATATAATTATAATTTAAACTAATTGTATAGGTAAATATTCAATTTCTTATACTTACAACAGCAATATGACACATAATTAAAGCACTACTATGATTTATTCTAAGAGCTCGCTTATAATGCATTTCAGCTAATTCATATCGTTCTTGTTTTTGATAAATAGCACCAATCCCATACCTTATAAAAATGTAAATTAATTAATGAAACAAGAATAACATTATAGCAGTGTTAGTGTGCTTCAATGTGTCTGGATTTAAATGACTTAATAATAATAAAATTTATTCATATCTACATAATAATTAGAGATAAATATTCTCAAAAAATAAAAACCATTTGATAAGTTATATTAAATATTTCTATTACCAAGATTTGTAATGTCTAGGATCTAATTTAACAGCTTTCTGGAAACAAGTTATAGCTTTTTCTAATTCTTCAGTGACTAAATACTCATTACCTAAAAGCGCATAAGCATATGGGAAGTCTGGATTAACCTAATAAAATAAGAAAATTTAATTAATTTTATACTATAAAATGAAAAATTTAAAAATTCAATTAACGTTGTACAATAATATTTATTCACTTGTATTGCTCTTTGAAAATATTTAATCGCAGTTTGGTGTTCCTTTTGTAGAGAAAAACAATTACCAACAACACACCAGGTAGATGAAGAATTTCTATCTAAAGCAGTCATATCTTGGGCTAAAGCTGACAAAGCTATCTCTTTTTGTTGATGCCACAAAGACGTACTATAAAGCTCCATTAGAGTATCCCTGTATGGTTCCAATTCCCGGACTTCGCTAAAATATCTAAGAAATATGATTTTAAATATATATGAATATAGAATAAAATACTATTAACTGAAATAAATGAATAATAAATCAAATATTCATAATAATAAATAAAGACATTACTTAATCGATTGTTGATAATCAGATTGTTCACAATATGCTTTGCCAATCATTGACAAAATAAAACCAGTCTTATACTGTCGCGGGGGTAAACTTTGAAATAATTGGATTGATTTTCTACAATTAAATTTTGATAACTGAAGATAAGCTATTCCAATATCTCTTAATAATGATAACAGTCCTTCTAATAAATCATAATAAACAAGTGATGGATAAATAATTATAAAAAAACAAGATAAATGATAATAATAACAAAAAGTACCAGTCGTCTTTTTTTGTAAATTTAAAGCTTGTTGAGCAAGTGTCATTGTTTCTACTTCCATAACTCCACGCTCTTTTGGATTCCGTTCTGTTATATCTGCAAAAACTGATTTCTTTGGAATCAAGCCACTTTTTATTTTTCGTGTAGCTGATTTTGGGCTAACAAATTTTTTACTAGGACTTTTGGTATTTTCCTACAATAAAAAAAAAAATTATAATATTATTAACATTTTAATTGATTTGATGATTAAAATTACTTTAACAGAACAATTGTTGGTGATTATTCGACTACTACGTCTTACAACATGAGACATTGGACTTGAAGGCATTGTTATTTGTTGTGTACCCAAGTTATTAATGTTACTCGTATTTCCTGACTGGCTAAATACTGGTTTAGAACTCTATTTAAAATAGATATATGTGTGTTTAGTTAAGTAGTGTATAAAATAAATATTTATTAAACTTACTCTTTTAGATATAAATTTCTGATCATTAGTTTCATTTAATGCAGTAGAAGGAACTAAAACCATTGCTTGAGATGAACAAATAGATAAATTATCAGAATTTTCCAAAGGAAATACTCCAAAGCTATTTAAAAAGTAAATAAATATATATTATAACATTTATTATTATACATAATCATAAGTTTGGTCTATATTTTTATTATTATTATTATATATAAAATAAATATATTAATTGTTAAATCAATAGGAAGCTTTAACTGTACTATATAAAGTTATGGTACTATTTGTCAATAGACAGTATACAATTATAACTTATAAGTTATCATTATTTAATTTACCTTGGTGTCAATGGACTATATGCATTTTCATTTATCACTTTTACTTTCCTTCCTATAGGTCGGACAAATATTGTTTTAGCATTATTCATATCAGGTGTGAATGGTTGTATACCACTAGAAATGGAACTGTTACTACTTGGTACTGACATATTAACCATTTTTTGAGCCGGAGTACTACTAGAATTTAGTAACAATATATTATTAAGATAAATATAATAAAAGTTTTAAATAATTATAATGTTACCTATTAAAAGTATTTATTGATTCATATGAAAGATTATATGTCGATAAAGGTGTTGAATTGACATTAGAATTTGACCCCAAACATTTATTAAAGTTGTCTAAATTGTCAACCTAAGAATAATAAATAAATTGGTCAACGTTTACTCTTTGTAATAATTAAAATTATTTACTTTAAATATTTTGGTGGGTTCAGGATCAGGTTTGACCCCTCTGTCACATAGATCTTGGAATGATTTCCACAAAAAAGGATTTAAATATAGAGCTTTTCGACAAGCTTCAGCAGCTAAATGTGATCTTTCTGAACGCCACCATATGTGGCTAATAAGTTGTAATGCAAATGGAGCACTATCGCCATAATCAGAAATTATTGATTCAATAAATGACATGCATGTTGATGTTGATATCAAATCACCAACATTGCCAGTCAACACAGTTTCTGCTTCAGATAATCTAATTTCATGAATAAAATTATTAGTAAAAATATATATTTATATATATATATAATTAATAAACCTAAAAGATACTAAAATATAATAACACTACAAAATAAGAACAAAATAATAAAATAAAATATTAAATCAATGTAATTGATAAATATAAAAAAAATATAAGTACTTGCTTATTTTATGAAATGAAACTAAAACAAAAGTTATGAATTTAATATAATTTAAAACCATATAAATACATACTTGTGAAGATCAACACAGCAACGAGCTAATAAAAATTTACATTTTTCCGATACTATTTTTTTTCCATTAAGAATTGAATAAGCTTGAGATGGTTTACCAGATCGATAATAACAGGTAGCAAGTAGGTATATACTTTCATCAGAGTCAACTGAAAAATAAAATAAGAAATAATTAATTATTAAAATAAATGAATTTAAGTATATTGTTTATATGATTACACATTTCAAAGGTAATTAGTATAAAAGTTTTTTTAATCATTTATTTATAAGATAGAACAGTATAAATTTGAAATATGGTCTTTTTAAAATAGGTTTATTACTATTGATATTATGTAATAGAAAAATAATTAATTTTAATTTTTAATTTAAAAAAAATGTATTGAATCATCATATTAGTTTTAATATCTATAAATACCTACATAATCCTAAAATAATAAGAAAATATTAAATGGCAGATAAAATAACAAAAGTGTATGCATTAGTCATAATATAAACATGTAATAAGCTATATTAAGTTTAAGTATATGACCAGTGGTATAAAACTTTAATTAGTTTAATTGAATATTACAGTTTATAACTATATAAATTCATCATAAAGAATAATAATTAAAATAAATCAATTAATTTATTAAACAAATTATAATTCAATTTTAAAATAATAAATATTTATAAAAAAATTTATTTTACATAATAATGTTAACTAATTATTTCATAGTAAATAAATATTTTGAGATAGAACTAGATGAGTTTAATTCCAATCACAATACACAAGTATAAATATAATAAATAATCTCCCAAATTAAGCTAGTAAATTAAAAATTAAGTTGTAACCTGGAAACTTTCATTGAAGATAAAATAAAGAAGTATAACACAAATAAATAAATAACAGAAATTTATCTAAATTTTTTATTAATTTTAACCCTGTTACTAATACAATACGACAAATGTAAAAATATATATTAAGAAAAAATGCAAATATATAATTAGATACAATTTAATTTAAAATATAAATATGTATGTATTTATTTTCAAAAGACCAAAATGTTTGACAAAAATATCTTTAATCTTTTTAAATAATAAGTCTCATAGGAATAAAATATATATTAAAAATATTACATTCAGCACACAATCGTTCTGCAAGGAATATTGCATCTGAATAAGCATAATGATTTAAACAATGCCAAATCGCGGCCTGAAAAAAAATACAAATTAGATAATTCATAAATAATATTAATATAAATTCTATATTTTATAAAATAACATGTAAACAGGTAAAATTAAATTAATTTTGTATAAGAATACATAATATATTAGTGTTTAAATTACATATTCAACTTTTATTATTGACTTGATGATTGTATATTTAAAATGTATTTAAATAAAACAAATATTTTTAATTTGAACTAAGAATAAGAATGAACATTTTACTAAAAACATCTACAATGAAATATATATAAATATTAGTTAAATAGAATTTAGTATTGTATTATGAATATAAAATAATGATATTCATGATATAAGAACTACGTAAATTATAATATTTTGATAATCTTTTAAAATAAAGATTATGAGCCCTATTCAAATAAATATTATGTTCAAAAATATTTAAATAGACATAAATAATAAATCTAGTATAAAAATTAAAATAAATAATAATTAAGCGACTAATTTATACAATTAATTATATTTTAACACAAAAAATAATACAAGTAACACTATACAGTAGTTGTTTAAATTTTTTTAGTATATTTCAACATACTATTAAATGGTTAATTTAAATATATTAGCAAAAACAAAGAAATCATTTCCGAAAAAATTTTTTATAACATTAAACAATAATAATTATAAACAACATTTATTTACTTTTTAGGTACTTCCAAAATATTAAACCATCGACAGTTTTATCTGAGAAAACTACTTACTTGGATTGGTTCTTGAATTATCATTGCAAACAAATATATTTTTGTATATATACACTTTAATAATGGTTATTAAAATTACCTAAAACACAACCACAATTCAACAAAAATTAAAATTAAAAGTAGGAAATTAATGAAAAATAATTTTTTTGAGTTATGATATTATCATGTAGCAGTGAAATGAAAGAAGCCAACGTGATAAGAACAACAATTGTACCAACATACTTTCATAGTGTACATTGATTTTCTTAAATAACAGTTCAAGATGAGTTCTTATGTGTTTAAGTATTTATATTATTATAATTATTTATTCATATACGAACACTTAACTGTAGTAGTTTTAAGATTATAATCAATGAGAAAAAAAAAAGATATTGTAATAAAAGGGATAACTTTGTTGTAATAACCTGAAACATTCCTTTATTAATATTTTGCACTTTTTAATGACAAATAACGGTTATTTTCGTTTTTTTAAATTACATTACGTAAATTATATGTGTAACCATATTCTTGAATTATGAATTGTGTTAAGTTTTCTGATAATTTGTTAGGTTTTGACATGTAGATAGTTCCACGAACTTAAGGAAGAACAGTACCTAACTCTTAAAAAAAAAATTAAATTTATTACGGTTCGTGTAAGAAACTAGGATAATAATTTAGAAAAATAGATAACGGAAAACAAAGAAAAAATTAGATAAATTTTTATATTTTAAAAGATAATTTAATAATATATAATATAATGAAAATGAATCGATATGAATAAATAAATTTTCAAGCTTTTTAAAATATACAAACCAAATGAATCATGAATTTCGAACGTGAATGGTCAACATTTATAAAAATTTTATAAATTATAAATGTTGGAAATACTAAATTTTTAAGTATTTTATGGAATTTCTAAGACCTTACATTATTTCTTTTTGGATAACCATATTATAAAGTCTATAATATAACAATAATATCTCCAAAACTTTGAAATGTTTTTTCAATTATATCATTGATTAATTAATATTATAAGATAATTTTAATATCATAAAAGTTTTAGAAGTATGCTTTTGTTTAGTTTGGAAGAATAAGCAAAATTTAGGAATTGTAGGTGTACAATTAATTTAAAAATGTTGTCATTAAAAATTCAAATTTAAATTGTCAACTTGCATAATTTAGAAGAAACATTTAACTTAAGTTTCCACACTAGACAAAATCGGCGAAAACAAAAACTCTTATATTCAGTGTCTATAACAAATATTATGGAAGATTAATATTTAAATGGTTGTATCATCTCTCTGCAAGGATCCACTTGTACGTGATAGGTGGGCTTATATTCCTCAATAGTTCTGAGAGCTATGCCAACGATAGTTCCAATAAGCTCCTAGTAACCGACAATGTATCCCATGTTGTATAGGTCGACGTAATTGGGGCAGATAAAAGTGGTTCTCATAAAGGCTAGGGTGAGCTCTTCAGCCTTGGGTGACAGCCGTTCAAAGGGAAGGAAAGCCCCCAGGCACTTGAATCAAGATGCAGAAATGAGGAAATCAACCTAAAAAAAACCCAATATAATTTGTCCTACGCCTAATATTGTTACCATTTCATGGGTTTTAAAACTGCAGATGAAAAACAGCAGTGGGTAGTTTCGGTTTAAAAACCGGTTTCAATATAGAGGGCTGACTACAGTCATCATCTTGCAACTACGAAGGTTTAGCAATGGCCGACCAGACCTTCATTACTTTACCCCCTTTTAGTATGAGAACAAGACAACAGGTCAGACCTTGGTTGGTTGTATCAGATACCTTTGATACAACAACAAGGTGAATTGTGCATATCCTTTGGAAACGGGCGTAACACGTTTCCACCAAAAGTAGACCTTTCCCTTTTCCACCAAAAGCGTATCTTTCCCTTTTCCACCAAATGAGATAGAATACATTTACTTTTTCATGAGTTTTTCGGATTAATGTAAAATAATATATAAATATACACACAATGTAATCAATGTATATTGTACGTTTATTGTATTTAATTGTATGTTAAACCGTTATCGTACTTATGTATGTACTTTTATTTAGATTAACCATAATAATATCTAAATAATCAAATATTTTTTGAACAAGTTAAAAGATGGCACAGTTTAAATAATGCATTACAACTGCCTGTGTATTAAAATAAAATGTCCATTTTAAAAATTATAATTCTATGATGGTTAAAGTTATCGAAAGTAAAGGTGGAAACAAAACACTAGTACTAAACAACTTTAAATTTTTTATTGAATCAGTTAACAAATATCAACTAATTTTGTATATAGTTACAATAATTGTAACTATATATAAAATAAATGTAAATTATTTACATAACTAAGGTATCGTATACCATAATATATCATATTTTTCACATTTTTATATCTGACTATTTTTTTAAAAAAAATTCAAAATTTTCCAACCTATGTTGTATATATTATATAATGCCTTTACATTTATTGAATTAATAGTATTTGTTAAATAAAATTATTACTATGCTATAGTTTTTAATTTAAGCGTAGTATACAATTGTTTTGGTAAAAACGTGGTCAATATTTCATTTGGTGGAAATAGCTATTGGTGAAAAAAAGAAAGATACACTTTTGGTGGAAATGGGCATCACCCGCGGAGACAATGGCCAGAAGATCAAAGGCTTTTAAGAAGTGGCCCATTATGTTCCATGACAAGAATAAAAGAAAAACTCCAATCACTACCTAGAAAGCTGATAGTGTAAGGTATAGGTACTAGTGAGAATGGTTGAAGACAAAAAATTAAAACTTCTATTTTCTTAGTTTAGTTATAAATTGTGGACTGATGATGGTAGTCTGAAGGAAGTAATGCTCACGTAGTCCTCACACGCAGGGCCGCAGCTAAGGGGGGGCTAGGGGGGTCTTTTGCCCCGGGCGGCAAATTTTTAGGGGCGGCAAAATATAAAAACATTTTTTTTTCTAACACTTTGAAATGCTACGATAATTATACGCGCGTACCGCCGACTTATTTATACCACAATAACGACGGTCGACGTCGGGTATCCGCAAGCCGCAATTTTTGATATGGCAAAATAACAATACAATTAATATTTGTCACTGTAATTCATTTATTCTGTAGTATAGGTAATAATATAATGTTATCGGAAGTTTTGCAGCTATCGTCGTATTCTGGGAAAAATTAGTACATTAATGTTATCTTTGATCGTGCGGTTGTTTGTGAACATAGATCTATATTCATGAGTTTTGATTATCATTTTATATTTTTAATGTACTAGCGCGATCACACTATAATCATTTATTTTTATGATTCGTGATTCGACGACTGACGTGTAACGTGAAAGTGTACAAAGTGTCTACATATTCAACATCTTAGAGTTGTAAATACGGTAAGAAAATTTTTAATAATTAAAATTTATTTACGGTAAAAAAATTCGTAAGTGTGTTGTAAAACGTGGCTTGAGCCATGCGTTAAACCAACCGTTTATATAGTTACATATCGTGGGCTTGGAATCAAAGAGTTCTATGTGACAATATCTAAATTGTTCAGTAGAGCGTTTTTAAGGTTCAATAATTGAAATATCGTATTTTCGATTTTGAAATATTTGGAATCAAAAAATGCAGATTTGATGCATTGAAAGATGTTAATAGTAAATTTGGTTTTTTGAGTGGTTCTCAAATAAACGAAATAGATTCTACAACTTTACAAGTTAGAGCTAAAACATTAGCTGACAGTTACCCGGATGATCTAAATAAAGAAGAGCTTGTTAGTGAAATAGAAAGTTTTAAATTCCATGCCTTTGAAATTGACAAAAGTCTGAGAAATGCGACAGCGCAGTCTACTTTTAAAGTTATTTATGAGCAACATCTAGAAGAGATCTACCCAAATATTACGATAGCCCTACAAATATTTCTAACACTTCCAGTCTCTGTTGCTTCGGCGGAAAGAAGCTTCAGTAAACTGAAACTTATAAAAAATTATTTAAGGAACACTATGAAACAACAAAGATTAAACAATTTAAGTATAATATCAATTGAACATCAAAGAGCATCATCAATCTCATTTGAAGAAATAATTAAAACATTTGCAGCCAAAAAATCAAGAAAAATCAAATTTTTATAAATATTTAATATACACTTTTAGTTTTTAAGAATAGCTTTGTTATGTATATTTTGCCTGAAATACAAATAAAAGTTTTAGCATGCATTTTTATGTCTTAATTTTTCAGAAAACCTAACTTATCATTCAACAACAGTATAATAGCATATTTGTCACTTAACATCCAAATAAATATTAAATATTTTAGAATTTTCTCAAACTTATATTGTAATAACAACACTGAAATTTATTTGTTAATTATTGGGGCTGAGTGATGGAAAGAGGGGCGGCAAAATTAGAGCTTGCCCTTCCTAGAATAATGTGTGGCTGCGGCCCTGCTCACACGGATACCAATTCAGCAGTGAAAAGTAGAAAATAATAAATGGATCCGTAACTTATGTATCTAGATTTCTAGGGTTCGAAATTTAATTTTTTTAGTTTTTTTAATTTTTATTTCTATTTTTATCGATTCATACAAAATCTGTGCCTTACTAGCACATTTAGAGTATTTGCTAAATAATAAATAACATGAATAAAACTTGATAACAAAGCCACCCAATGATATCACTTTTATTCAAAGATTTTTTTTTTTTAAGATCTTTATTTAGTAATCTTATTATATTTTGTTCTCTTGTTCAGATTAAGATACAAAAAAATCTCTACACCAATTTCGCTTTAAAAGCCTTGAATGATTACCAAGAATAACATTTGTTGAGAGGCCTTTAATTAGGGGATTGGAATGAGAGGCTAGACGATTGTGGTATCTTTTATAAAAAATTGTTGTTTCTTTTACAATTTTAATTTTTAAATCAGTGTAAAGGGTTTGATTTGATACATATTAGCGACAGTTTGTTAATTTCCTTAACGCAATATTTTCAAATGCCTAAATTCAATTTACATTTGATTTTGTATCATTGAACTCATGTTCATAAATTCAAATGAGTTTAATAAGGGACTTATACATAAGTAGTTTTATTTTTAGGTTTGTATTACTATTGTTAATAAGTAAATTTTTACAAAATCGCAGATTTAGTTGAAGTCTTTTTGCACGTGTATGATGGGCCCAAGTGAGTCGTCGATCTAGAGTCTTACAGTCATAGTTATTGGAATTTGAGTATTTTGGAGAGTAACGGGTGGACATTATCTAAGCTTAATAGTGAAGGTGATGAGATTTGATTTATCTTAATTGACCTTTATTCTCCATTTATTATACCAGTCCTTCATAAGAAAGATATGAATTTGCAAGTTATGCAATGCAACCAAAGGCCTTCCATTTTTTTTAGCTTAAATAGAAAATCGTCATGCCAAACTCTGTCAAAAGCTTGTTATATATCAAGAAAAATATAGAAGCAGTACATTTTTTTTCAAGTGCAGTATTTTTTTGACTTGGCAGTATAACTAGTAACTCGTTGATTGTTGTGCGCGAAAACCGAATTGATAGGCATAATTTTATTTACACTAATAAGGAGAAGTATGCGCTTCAATAAAAATGTTTCAGGAACTTTGGCAAAGAAATGAAATAAACTAATTGTATGATGTTTCCAAGTCCAGAGGCTTATTGGGTTTTGGAAAAATGATGATTTTTGAAAACTTCCATAAGAGTGGAAAGTACGACAATCACAATATAGCCTTAAATATACTAGTGAGTTAGTGAGTAGGACAATGGTGCATTTAGGAAGGCATCTAGCTAATTTGACAGTCATTAAGTCATAACCCGAAATTTTTTTAGGAGAATATTTTTGAATCGTATAATTAATATCGCTTGGTCAAAAAGATTTAACTAGAAAAGCATGTGGTAAAGGCATATATTGTTAGAAGTATCTTGTTGAGTTTGTAAAAGATTAAGAGGTGATTTTTAAATGATTCTGCTTTTTTAGAATCTGACGAGGTAAAACTTCCATCAGATTTCTTATAAACGAGTTAATTATTTTGTAGTGGAGTGCTTACTTGGAGGCCTTCTAAAGACTACCATTATTTGTAGATAAATTCATCAGAGTTTTCAAAGGATATATTTTTGTTTTTTGATAAGACTTTTTTAAGAGAGTTGCCTAGTTTATTATATAATATTTTGTGATTGGTTTGTGAGAGCTCGAGCTCTTCTCTTTTCTCCTATGAGGATACGGATATTGGTCGGAAGCGAGTTATTTTTTGCTATATGTATATTGGTTGCTGTGTTTACAAATCAAACTGCTGTTTGGATAATATTCGTTTGGTTGTTTACAGTTAAATCTAAATCATCACTGGTTTTTAATTCAACATTTAATTGAAGATTCCAGTCGACAAGATCATGGAATTTGAATAGGTCAGTAGTGTGATGAAATAATCTTAGTGGTTCGTAATTGATTGGCGGATAGTCATTAATCGTGAAAATGACCGATTAATAATCAAAATTTAAATCCAAAATATTATCAATATTATATGATAAATTAGAAGGGTTTTTTTTTAAGAAAATATCCAGAATATCTGGTTTTTGATGGGATGATGTTGGCTAATAGGTTAGTCCTGGAGGGGCAAATATTTTGAATTTTTTTTCAAAATATTTTAAAATATTACTTATTATTTGAATATTTATTTTTTTTGGGTTGTTCACCCAACAACCCCAGCTTTGATAATTCGCATTATAATCACCGACTAAGATAAAATTATTATTTATTGTGTTAAAATAGTTTAAAAAGTTCGCACAAGTAACATTATATTTAGGAAATGAAATAAATTACTGCAACTGTTATTGGAATATTATTTAAATTAATTTAAACAGTACAAGATTGTAAAAAAAACCCTGTAGGTGGGGGGAAGAATATACCACGGTAGTCCATATCGATCATAAAAGGCGATCGAAATGGATCTGGTCCTCCTGGTAGGGGATTAACAACTTCTCCCGGACAGTAGATTTTTGACAAGGGTGTCGAAAATATATATTTCGAGGTAATCACTCACCTCAACCAGTAAAATTTGAGTTTAGGCATAGTATAACTCTTAATTTTAGGTGTTTTTAGTTTTTTCTTTCTAACAAAGATACTAAAAAATAAACGAAAAAAATTGGTAGTTAATGTTTATTGACTTTGTGGAGAACATTAGTAACATTACTTAGGTACCTCAAAAAGTTTTAGTTCGGATTTGATTAGACTGGTGGGAGTTGATGGGTGTAGATTTCTGATCACTACACGAGTTGGCTTGTTTTGCTGGAGTTGATATGAATGAAACTCCCCTTTTTCTTGCTAAAGGAAGTGTATTAGAATTGCTAGTTTGAATTTTTATTCGATCCGAGGAGCACTTACAAATAACATTTTCAACACCGAGCATCTTAATTAAACTTGTGCATAGTGTAATAAAATCTTGCACACCTTTTATAAAAATAGGTGGGGATTTTATGATATTTTCTGTTGTTATGTTCCATTTTATTAGAAGTGTTTGTGTTTTGAAAATCAACAACATGGTCAAATTGATTTAAAGCTTCAAATCGGTTTGTAGTTTCAAATAATGATTTTTTTTTTTTTAAATTGATTGAATTGGTGATTTATGTGAATTTTGAGAATCAGATGTCAAAGAGCTTGAGAGATTTCTTTTATTTTTCTGAACTACCCATGCCTTGTTTGATGCTGTGCTAATAACATTGGATTGAGATGATGTAATGGATACATTTTTGTTGATATAGGTCTGTTATCATTATTGTTTTAATTTTTGTTATTTTAATTTTCATAGCCACTCATTATGACGAGTGTAATTATATAATGTAGTTTACCCAATGTGATAATGCATGCTATAGTAAAGAGGCGCGGTAGCAACACTAAGTATAATATTAAGGCCGCCATGGCAACAGCCACAGTGAATATTTGATGAAGTTTAATCTGAAATTTAATTTATGCATTTAATGATATATTTATGCATATCATATGAGAAAACGTACATATTTGTATATAAAGTTAATGAATTGAAAAATCAATCAAAATGTTTATCACATATACATATTTTCTCCACTTATTGCAAATAATGAAATCTACATCAGTGTTACATAGGTAAATATAAAATAAAAACATAATTAATATTAAAGTAGAAAAATATTATATAACAAAATTTATTTTATAGTTTTCAATTAAATTATATATTAGAATTCATAAAGAAATATAGTATACATATTAATTAAATTTATAATATATATTTAAATTATATTGATATATTACAATAATTTTAAAATATTGTTTTATATTAATAAAACAAAAATTGTATAGTAAACAAAATCTATTAAAGATGTTCTGATAAAACAAATAATATTAAAACTACAATTAATTTCATAATTACACCTACACTTTAAATAATAGAAATTCATAACCAAGAAAAATGTACAATTATATATAATAAAAAAATTAATTCAAATATTATTCTGGTCACATTTTGAAAAAATATTCATTGAGTAGATGTTTTGGGTAAGTTTTAACTAGATCATTAAGTGATTTTTATAAAATTAAAATTATCAAGTTTGTATACCACAAATAGAAGTAAAAGAAAATGTTGACATCGAAGAATTTATTTAATACAAAATAACATTAACAATATTATTATGGGAAAAACATAAAAGATTGTAACATATGTTGCATAACATTATTCATCATTCAAAAAACATTCCAAGTTCTCATCCTCAGATTTTGAACTATTGGTCTTTTTTTTATTCTTATTTAGATTGCTTTTTTTTTCTCTTATCTAGAAATTTTATTGAAGTATTTCATTACATTTATTATAACTAAAAAAAAGTAAAATATTTACTTTTGTTATAATAATATGACATAATAATTATAAACTAAGACCTATTACTAACCATGTAGAATAGAATATTAATTAATTATTTTACTTTACCTTTTTACTACCAGTACTACTTAATCCATCAACATGCGATTTTGATTCTTCACCTTCTTCACCTTCTGGCCTTGGTCTAGTAGTATTATGAATTGAAGACCAATTATCATGGTCAGTTGATTCCATATTGTTCTTTACAATCTAAAAAATAATCAAATTACTTAAAAGTTTTTTTTTTACGTTTAACTGTTATTTTTAACCTTCAGATTAGCAGGAAGTGGAGTAAAATCATCAGGATCAACATCAGCTTGATAACCTGCTACCATCGGATTTCCACAGTCATTATCACTAATAAAAAAACATAAAAAAAAATAAACTAGGAAAAACTCAAAAAAAAAATATTTAAGGACAAGTTTTGAAACATAAGTTAGATAAGTAAATGATTAAGTTTGTATAAATATAAGATTCATTAAAATTCAATCCTTCAAAGTATAAATCCAAAACTGAATACTGTATGTAAACAAAACAATTTTTATATTTAAAGTCAGAATAAGTTTCTTGTAAAATGTTCCTTAAACTGAGAGTTAAAATCCACATCAGTTTACGACCCCCTAGGTAGAGTATTTAAACCATATAACATAATATTTTACCAATAAATAGTAAATAAATTCATAAAATTAATAAATTTCTCACAGTAAAAAATAAATGCACTTAGATTTGAATTACTTACCTTTCATCTGAATCCATTTCAGTTTCTTTTGATGATCTAACAATAATATCACCATGACCTGCATCTTCCAAGAATGAGTTATCTAATACATCATCAGGTACAAAATCATCTAAATGATTAATATTCCCTATTGAAGACAATTTTGTAACAGGTTCTTCTTTAAATGTTTCCACTTCTTTATCTAATAATAATTAATATATTAAATGAATATACTATATTTATATTATCCAAAGAATTTTAAACTTATTTCCCTAATATATATTATAAGTAAGGACCTTACTTGATTCATTTTGTACTATATAAGATTTCTTTGTAGGAAACATTTTTTGGGCAATATCTTGGGTTTTCGAATCTATTGATTTTTGATTTTGGCTTTCAACTGTAAGTTTTAATTCTTTTGCATTAGGTGATGGTTTATTTAACAACGGTAATGGCAATGTAGGAGTAGCTGATTTGTTTTCTGCATCAACTCGACGCTGTTTTGATAACCTTGATAAAAATCTAAAATTTAAATAATTAATGGATGATTATTATATTTATTTTTAGTATAACTTATAAATTAAATATTATTAGAATTTCTAAATAGCTCACATATCATAATTTGCTTCATCACTTTTTTGATAAACATCTAACTCCATTGTCATAATTTTGGTTTCTCTTCCATTAGTTTCTAAATGGTTCATTATATTTTCACGCTGAAGTTGTAAAAATGAAATACCTATCCATTTGTAAATAAGTCGTAAGCCAAATCCATTAGACATTGAAACTTCAGCATAACGAATAGGTGCACACCTAAAATATTTAAATAATTAACTTACATAATTTAATTTCAATTTCTTATAATAAATACCTTCCTAAAGTCTTCAAATAATAAATAACTTCATCTCCATTAACACTACGATGATGGTTCATATCACAATGATTTCCTAATATTAAAATTGGAATATTATCTGGAATTTTCGGTAATTCTTTATATACATAATCCAATGTCCTAAAAATAATTTAATAAATTAAAGATTGATTAAAGACAATTTAAAAAAGATGTTTAAATTAGAGATTAAGAAAATAGTTCTGTACACATAGAAGTTACATATAAGACATCGCTTCTTTAATCAAAGAATTTATGAAATTAGACTTCAAAATAAATCTTTAAAATCATACTTAAGCCAGTTAAATTTAACTGAAAAAGTAAAACTAAATTGAAAAATAGATTGATATATTTTTAAGTACTGTATTAATATTTATTTACTTAATCATTACTCATCAAATTATAATAATATGAACATAAATAATTAAGATTATTCTGTATTATAATAATTTTAATAGATAGCTAAAATAAAATAGTTTTAATACCATCTTTTAGTAATATCCAACACAAGTAATACACCATTTGTATATCTGTAAACATCAACTAGTTCGGCATCTAAAACTGGAGTATCTTCCAATGGTATAGGAGATAATTTTACTTTATTATGTTCAGTTTTTAGAACATCACATGATTTCGAGGACGACAAAGGTTGTCTTTTTCCTTTGTCAACTACATCCCATACTTCAACTTTTACTACATCTTCAGTGTTCTTATAGTTCCATTGAATATGAGCAACCTTAAATAAATAATTTATAGTAAAAGTTCACTTATATTATATATGCCCATACTTGAATTTCATTGGTCTCTTCATAATTTGCTATAAATGGTTTTCCTTGAAGCCGGCTCCATAAACAAGTTTTTCCTACATTTCTATCTCCTTTAATGACTAATTTCACTGAAAAAATGGTAACACATTACAAGTTACTTTTAGTAAAATTAAATTACAGTTCAAATAAAATATGAATAATACAGTTGTATTGAATTCCTTTAGAAAAAGATCGCTGTAAATCCTGAGATAACACTTTTGGATGAGTAGTAGTTGTAATAGTAGTATCTTTGTCTGAAGTTTTGTTTGTTAAACGTTTTAGTGTAGAAAACATAATAATTTGACTTATGACAAATATTAAGAACTTAAATTTTTTATACTTAATAATTTAATAAACATTTTCCATAATAAAAAAACCTTATTTATAGTAACTAAGGATAAACCAATTAATCTTGAGTGACTTTAAAAATATTATATTTAATAAATATATTAAGGCAGATTTATAGTAAAAAGCTAACCATAATACTTAATGTTTACATTTTTGCTCGTGGCAAAACTTTGAAATATGATAAGGAATAATATGATAAGACTGAATAATACAAACATGTGATGCTTACATCGGGGGGGGGGGGGGATCTGCCACCACAGGTTATTTTAAACTTTAATTTTCTAGGACTCTAGTCCCTGTAACTATTAAATCCTAGTAATGCTCATGAATTTAGTATTCATTATTATAGCTAGATTTCCTTACATTTTAATAATATAATAAAATCTACAACTTATACTTCTTAGCTCAAACAAGGGCGTATTTGAGGGCATTCCCCCTCATGGCTCGTATTTTTTTTGAATATAATACATTGATTTATTTAAAAAATGTAATGTATAAATATTTAGGAATATAAATTACTAGTCTATTATTATAGTATGATAATAAATTCAATAATATTGGAATTTGATCACGAGTATCAATTTTTTGTTTATCTTCATATTTCAGAGTTGGGCGTTATTCGAATAAAATTTTATTTAGATGATTATTTAGATAACATTTTATTCGAATAAATTATTATTCGACTAATTTTCAAACACATTATCGCGGACTTGCGCATAGAAGAACTAACGCGGCAAATACGACACAAGTAATCATAAGATAATCTACATTTGATAAAATCACGTCTTCGATGTTTAGATATCATAAATTCAAACAGATAATTTTTATAGCTACATGCCCATATCTATCTAGTATCTTTATAATTTTGTGTAGAGCTCTATATATTTGAACTTATAAATATGAAATACAACATTGAACATACATAGTTAGTACATAGTACCAAAATATCTGAGACTATATAATATAGTACAGAAACTGGACTAAACTAGATATAATAATAACATCTTCAATATTGATAATTAATTACTATTAAGGTACATAATAAATACATGTAGACAAACTAGAAGAATTATAATCATTATTTCATGATACATATTTAGTAATTAGTACTAACTACTACTATATATACTAGGATAGGATAATTATGTTTAAAAATTATTCAAATAATATTATGATCACAAATTATTCGAATACATTTTTATTCGATTAATATTGTTTCTAAATTAGTCAAATAAATTTTTATTCGAATAATATTGTTTCTAAATTAGTCGAATAATTTTTTATTGGAAGAATTGTAAATTAATCATTAGAATAATTTTTTATCCGATTACTTATTTATTCGAATAATTATCTAGATAAAATTTTGCCCAACTCTGTCATATATCATAACATTTTTGGTTGTGGAACGAATAGTGATATTATCTTCTACGAATATTGCTACGGTTATAGACATTTACAACCATAGCCAGTGGCGTAAATAGGTTTTCATTTCGGAGGGGGCTGATTATGTATTTGATTTTTGGGTGGAAAGGAAGGAGGAAGCACACTATTACGAAAAAAATTACATTAATACTATAAGACTTCTTGACAGTCTTTACACCATTAGAAAAATAAGAAACTCAATTTTTTTAATGATTTATTATTTTTTAAAAGTATAAAAACTTCATTGTAATAAACAAATTTTTTATTAGAGTCACTCAAAATTCCCCACATATTTGCTTAAAAGAATAAACATATTTTATAAATATACAATTTTAAATTATCGTATAAGCAACATTCTCAGTGTCGCGACAAATTTTCGTAAACCCCCAGCATTAAGTCATATCCATGTTAAAAATAACAATCTTTAACAATGGTGTTTTTCATTTCGGAGGGGGCCCGGGCCCCCTCCCCCCCCATAAATACGCCCCTGACCATAGCCGAGGTATTTATCAAATAATATAAAGTAATTTAAAATAACACTTTTTTTACAATATATTTACTGGTTAGTCATTTTTTGGTTCATTTATGCATATTGTATTTTTTTGTATTTAATAGAGCTATATGAGTCCTTAATAATTTTACTCGCCTATTTTTTTTTTTTTTTACAACGCAATATCTAGTACTTTTTGTTGTGCATAGGTATTTAGTCTTTTTTTGTGCACAAATGTATGCATATTTGTGTATTTTATAGAGCTAGAAGTCCCTAACCCAAATAATAATCATAATAACTGACAATATTTGTTTCCATATCCTTTTACTTGCAAATATTGACCAAAAATATAATTTTGAAAATTGAAAACATGGTTACGATCAATAGGCCAGCATAGACTAACAGGTTTGGCTTTGCTGCGTGTGCATAAAAATATTATTGTATCCATTGATGAAACAATAAACAAATTTACCAAAACTAAAACAAGAAATTTGGAATTTGTTATTTGACTACTTACCAACCTTATGTTTTCTACTTAGATAGTTGTTAAATTAAGTAACCTATCTTAATTGTTTTTTAAAGTTTTTAAAAAATAATTAATAGATAGTATTACTACTATGATAATTTGTTAGATTCAGACTGAAGGTACAAGTTTAATATAAGAACTATTTGTGTTGTTATTATTAATACTTAATGTATATGCAGTAGATTTTAAATAGGTACGAGGAGATGGGATTAGGCAGAGGAGGCGCCCGTCTTAGGGCCTCACTCATTTCAGAGGCCCTGTGAAAACGGAAAACTATTTTTTTTTATATAATAATACCTGTATTTTATTTACAAATTTACAGGATAAAATTCGTTATGAAATATAATATATATTAAATTGTAGGTGTTATATGCAGTAATAATAAAATTATTTTGAAAAAAAATAGAAATAATATAATAATTCATTCATTTTTCTTGCAAATACAAAAATTTAATAAACATGATTTTATTTATTAATATTAGTTGGTTATTATTAAAGCTATTTATTTTAATTATTGGATTGTAATTTTAAAGTTGTATGTAAAAAATGATTTTGTAGGGCCCAACATTTTAATTGCCTAGGGGCTCACAAATGTTTAATTCGGCAGTGTTTAAATATATTTATTAAATAAATATTTAATTCAATTTGGCACTTGTATTTTTATTTATTCACTCAAATGAGCAACAGGAACATAAGCTGTAGGTAATGAACCAGTGGCGTACCCAGGATTTTTTTAGGGGGGAATCAACATTTTTATTTCATCTGGTTTGTAATTATAATTATAGTTTAATTTAATACCAACAAATTACTGTTAATAACTATAGTAATAGTCACAATAGTTATACATATATCACACATATTCTGCACAAAGGTTTACTATAATAGGTAGGTACTATAATTTGAAATCAATTTTTATTTGGTAGTAAAATGTTATAAAAAAATACATTATTTAATTAACAATAATAAATAATATTAAAAAAGCAGTATTAACTAAATATGGTTTATACATTATTGGTATATTATATAATCTATAAACTTTGTATATTGAAAATAATGGGAAATTAAATTACACTACCTATATACTATTTACTATTAAACCATTGAGTATGTATTAATTTCAATGTTTCTCTTCGTCACCTTTGGTTGTGGACCATGTGGCACATGCATATGTCAGTACTGGTGTTATGTATCTTATATAAAGTTTTTCTTTGACTTTTTTTGATAGCGTTTTTGATTTAAAGAGAGTCTCCATTGCGAAATAACATCGATTTGCTTTATTCATTCTCACATTTACTTTTTCATGCATAATATTTTTGTTGTTAAGAGTTACTCCTAGGTACTTAAATTCATTAACTTGTTTGAATTCATTATTTCTTACTTTAAGGTTGGAGCTATCTTCTGGCCCTCTTGTTACTACCATATATTTTGTCTTTTCTGCATTTACTGCTAGACCCATAATTTTACTTGCCTTTATTAATTTCTTCAGATTTATTTGAAATTTCTGTTCGAGTGTTTCCAGTAATTATAATATCATCTGTGTACACAAGTAGCATTCTTCCATCAGGTGACCAGGCTTCTCTGTTTGACATCTCTCAGACTACACTTTCTAATGCCACGTTAAAAAGTATGGGTAACCCTTGTCGTAGTCCACTTTTAATTTTAAAAGCCATAGATAGTTCATTCCCAAATTTTATTCTGCTATACGTTTTACTGTTGCATAATTTTACCATTTTGATAATTTTCATAGGAATGCCAAATGCCCTGAGCGCCTCCCATGGCCTTCCCCAGTCTACACTATCATAATCCTGTTTATAATCCACGAAAACTATATGCAAGTCCTTTGTGTATTCATAGTGTTTTTCCATTAGTTGTTTCACTACAAATATATGGTCTGTTGTTGATCTTCCTTTCCTGAATCCACATTGATATTCTCCCACGGCTTCTTCAGCGTATTTTTCTAATCTTTTTAATATTATTAATGATAGTACCTTGTATCCTGTATTTAATAGGGTTATCCCCCTGTAGTTTTTTATTTTTCTTCGGTCTCCTTTTTTGAATATTGGGCAGATAAGTGTTTCATTCCAACTCTCTGGAAGCCTTTCTTCTTCCCATATTTGTAGAATTGCTGAATGAAATTCCCTTTCTACTTCTAGACCTCCTATCCTCCAAAATGCTGAGTTAATCCTGTTAATCCTCACCTGATGCCTTATTATTTTTCAGAGTGTGTATTGCAGTTTTTGTTTCATCTAAACTAGGGGCTAGAACTTCCTGGTCTACTGTATAATAAGCTCTAGTTTCTTGGTCATTACTGTCATTATCCGGCATTTTATTTAATGATTCTCTGAAATATTCTCTGAACTCGTTAGCTATCATTTCTGGACCAGATATCAGTGCACCATTATCATCTACTAGGGATAATATATGCGGAAAAAAAGCCAGATTTAATTGCCTTGCACCTCTTAAAAGATTCTCTTGGATTGTATTTATACCTTTCGATATCTTCGATCCTTGCTTTTTCTGACATTCTTTTTTCTTTTCTTATAACTAATATATTAGTTTTGTCACTTCTTTCCTTTTAATCTCGAATTCTCTTATGTTTTCAGGTGTAGGTAACTGGATTGTTTTAATCCTAGCATTATTACGTTTTATTCCTTTCCTACAGCGTTCGTTGAATCATTTATTTATTTCTGGCTTTTGTTTGAAAATTTATATAATGTATATTTAATAAACTAAATTATTTCACTATAATCTTGTTAATTAATTTATGTTTTTTATTTAAAAATAATATCGTGCCTAATTTCTACACTAGAGTGGAGCTTTTTTACATTTAGATAATATTTTAGGAACATATTATTTTAGATTACATATTTAACTTTTACCTTTAACATTTTAGTCATATTATATCAAGGTATAGTTTAAATAATAGATAGCAGTAAGGCGGAGAAATTATTTTTATTTTAAAAAGGGGCCTTTGGTGCCATACTTTATCAAAGGCCTGAGCCATATCTAAAAAAACACCTAAGCATATTAATTTTTTTCTAATGAGTACCTATAATATTTTTTCAACTAATTGGTAGACTTGGTGAATGGTACTGTGATTCATGTGGAAACCGAATTGGTAATTTGGAGTATTTGACTCAATGACTGAAATATGACGTTTCAAAATAAATTAGTGAATTCGGAAAAAATAAGCATTTCCTGCAGGTGTTTAGTGGAGATAAGGAAGTAAGATTAAGTTAGGTTTATGAGTAAAATATTTAAATTACAAATTAAAATGTTTAACTTCTATTCCATATTGTGATACCACAAAAAAAGTATTATACAACCAACTATCGAGAAATCGTAGAGCAAGGTTATTATGTTTTAAAGTTGATCGGAACGTTACAAAACGTTCCATATCGTCATGCTATTATTGTTAGCTACGAATAATATTAATTCAGTTATGAATTTCATACCAATCAGCTGTTTCGCGTGATCAAGATAAACCATTTTTTTCCTACGTAAAATTTGTTTTATTTGTTGAAGATTATATTTAAATTATAATAATATTGTAAATATTTATAACGATAAAGATAATTGTAATTTCCTAGGATTAGATTTTGAAAACATATCTAACACTTCTTCAGGTTTTACATCAATTTGTTTATGGATATTAAGCAAAGCTAACCCGTTTAAACGGTTTTCCCCCATTGTTGTTCTCAAGTATGTTTTTATACGTTTTAGCATTGAGAAAGACCTCTCACTTGTCGATGTTGTTACTGGTAATATTGCTAAAATTAGTAAAAGTTGACGAATGTTTGGAAAATACCCATCTTCAGTTTCTTTGAATGCGTCTATTGCTGTATTTATTTTTTCCTTTTTTACTGGTGGTTGAGTCCAATGCAGCTGCCACAATGCAATCACCTGTAAATAATTGTAATAATGCATTTATAATTTATTTCAAAAATGTAATACCTAGTGATTTATTATAATAATTATTGTTTTTACCTTTTAATTCGTCTATGGATCCAGGCAAATCTGCTTCATAAAAAGTGGCACCTTCTATAATATGTTCTTCAGATTTATTATGTAAACAATAAGGTATCAGTTGTTGGATTTTAAATAATATTGGATTTTGGTTGTCAAAAAACATGAATTGAATAGATGTTATGAAATTGTCCAAAACTGTGAAGTATACCGTAATTTTAAAATATTCTTCAGGACTTGAAGTAATGTTGTTTGATCGATTTATTTGTTGTTTGCATATTCGTGGTGTTTTAACTTCAATATTTAAATTTTCGGCTTTTGATACGGCTCGATTAAAAATGTTGTTAAATGTTACATTTTGTCTTTTGTTTTTAAGAACATCTAATACAGTCTGTATGATTTCAATACATTTAGTCAAATCCAAACCAGGGTCTTGTAATTTACGTGATATTGGCAAAGTCAAAGACAATATTTCTACTGCTACTTCTAAGGCCAAAATAAATTCAAAAGTCAATATTGAATGAAGAAGTCCGTTACATTTGGAAAGTATATTTCCATCCGTATTAACTGTCATGTCTTCCAAAAATTGTACAATAGGTATAAGCATATCGGAAAACCGAATAATCACCTCGTGGGATTCTACCCATCTAGTTTCACACAACTTTACTAGCAAAACTGATTTAGATGAAGGCAAAATTTCATTTATTTTTTTTTTAAATAAATCAACTCTTTTGGGAGAATCACGCACAAAGTTAGATACTTCTTTGACTGTAGAAAATAATTTTTTTATAGATAATACATTACATGCTTTTATTAAAGTTAGATTTAGGCGGTGCGATGCACAATGAGTGTATGTTGCCTTTGGTTACAAATTTAAGATTCTAGCTTAAACTCCGCGGTATTTACCAGACATATTTGCTCCACCATCATATCCCTGCCCTAGTAAAAATTCCAAACTTAAACCAATTTCTTTTAATTTTTGGACGATTGTATTTGCTAAATTTTCACCAGTACATTCATTAACCGGAAAAAAGCAAATAAAATTTTCTTTTATCAAGCATGATTTTAAATCAACATATCTAATCGATAAACTTATTTGCTCAATGTGTGATAAATCAGAAGTTTCATCACATAAAATTGAAAAAAATTTACATTCATTCACCTCTTTTATTAATTTGTCTGTGATAATCAAGCCACATATATCGATCAAATTATTTTGAATAGTTTTACTAACAAATGTTGCATTTTTTTGAAGCCGATTCTAAGTGATTGCGAAGATCTACATCGCCCGCGTCTATTCTGAACATCAACAATTCTTTGAATATTCCAATATTAAAATTATTTTTTGCTTGGTCATTTGAAATCAGATTTGATAAATTAACATCGTCTCTATGCCCCCTTATAGATATATTATGACGACCACAGAAAATAATTGGTTTAATTATAGGAATTAACTTCTTTTTATTTTGTTTGACAGTTTCATTTAGTTGGTCATCAAGTTGATTTCTATTGTTTTTGGTTTGCCTTTAAAACATTTTATAAATTCTAAAGATCGCACAATTGCTGTTTTATGATATTCTCTTTCCATATGTATCTTAAAATCGTGTAAAGCATCTTTGTATTTTATCATAGGAATTTCTTTTAAAACCCCAAGCCTTTGTCCTCCAATCCCACCAAACTTTGGTCCAAAAAGTACACATACTTTACAAAACGCTTCTTCTCTATTACGACTAGAAGCTAATCAGTTGTGCTTATTTAGCCATTCAATTTGAAAGCTTCTTTTATGACCTTTTTTATTCATACTTACAGGGAAAATATAATTTTGTTTAGGTGACCACGTTTCTTTTAAATATTTGTAGAGCATATTTGGATCGTTTCGAATTTTTAGATTTGTATTTTCTTCAATAGCAAATGCGATATCATATTGACTGTTAGAATCGACTTCACACGAATCAGAAAATGTAGCTGGCTCTGACTCTGTTGGTAACACGCTTACATTTTCTATACCTTCACTTGGAGATGGATTATTTTCGTCACTTGTTTTCAACTTTTTAAAAAAAAAGTTTATTTCACTTTGTCGTTTTTGTGACATTTTAAAACAGAATAATTGAATACGAAACTACAAACGAAAACACTACGGACAACAGCAGTACAGGCGAGTACAGCACGAAATACGAATTACACACGAGTGACACGACGACTGTAAAATTACTAACATTTTAAAACGATAATAGCAATATAGAAATGGATTAGTGAGAATCGTCTTACAAATAAAATAAGATAAGATGGAGATGGCCAGTAGGAACGATACATGGCAAAAATAGCCGGTCTGCCGTCTGCGTTAAGGCGAAATGCCTTTATACCCGCATAATAAACGTAATAGTAATATGTTTGGGAAAATTTCTTATATAATGATAATATAATAATAATATAAAATATATGTAATAATAATATTTCTTAATTTATAATATAATGTGTTTGAGCGAAACAATATAAAAGATAAAATTATAAAAATAATAAAAAATAATAAAACCTAACTTATACCAATGGGGTGGGGGGGCCGAGGCCCCCCTTAAATCCGCCACTGAATACTCACAAATGAAATGATACGTTGCCTGTATTATCTTTAGAGGATAGATGACAAACAATGCAAGTACGAACCATAGCTTGAAGACAAATGATAATTCGTACAGAATCGGGAATACTTCAATTTGTAAAAATGTTAAATAATTTTAAAATAAAATGCGTTAACAATAAAAATATTTGTTATCATCATAGATATCTTCTATTATCATTATGAAATAAAACCCCTTGCTAAAGTGAGTGCACTATATAAAAGCAGTCTATCTCTCATCCACATTCCGGACCGCGACCCCTTGTATTGTTAATATATGATTGGCCTATCCATTCTTCTATTATCTATGGATCCGACCCATAGAGTAATATTACTCTATGATCCGACCTTATCTTTTAAGACCGTGCTCTATGGTATGATTAGCAAAATTCATAGATAATAGAAGTCCATTATCTATGGAAAAATGATTTATTTAAAAAAAGTAATTATCAACATTTCAAACTATGAAAGATCTGAATTTGAATTTCAATAATTTAATTTTTTTTATAACTTGAATTATTGTATACTTTTATTTAAACTGTGATACTATCTCGTGATTTTGATTTTATGATAAAAAGTACTATTTTAAGATTTTTATAATATTTATGTTATTATGAGTTCTACATCATCAATAGTCAGTGTAAAAGAAAAGATTCGTTATGATATAAATGTTCACCGTGAGCAAAATAAACAAATTCTTTTGAATTCTAGACGTGGAGTAATAGTATATGAAGAAGATATAGATAATGTATTTACTATTGAAGACATGAAAAACTTAGCTTTAGAAATTAAACACAGAAGAAAAGTTACTATCAAACATTTAAAAGTTTTAAAACATGCTTTGCTGAATGGTCAAGAATTTATTTTATCATTTTATCAAATTCAAGGGGCTGTTGATTCTTTACTTCATTTTATGTCAAGTAAATTTTTACCATATCACTATAAAATAAGACATATTTAATATGTTCCATTTAATAATTTATCTTATTAAAATATTTCTGCTTATTCAATTTGAATAATGATTTATTATACATACCTTTATTTTTTTTCATTTTAGGTAAAAACGAAGGTGTACAATTAGCTGCTATTGAATGTATTTGTAATATGGCATTGGGTGATAAAAAAACATGTATCAAATTAACAAAAATAATAACTCCATACTTGATGATTTATATTAATAGTTGGAATTTTAACTTATCAGTAAGTTTTTAACTATTTTATATTAAATACTTTCACATTTAGGTAACTCTTTATTCTATTTTTGCTATTCAATTTTTTTTTTAATAAATTTATCTAGATGTATTATATATATGTGTAAATTATCTTGAAAAATTAATTTTATGGTGGTACCGAAAATTGTCAATCAATTATTAATTGCCTGAATTATAATATATTCTTAATCCAAATATTGCAATTAATATAAATTCCCAAACAAGAGCATAACATTATAGAAAGTTAAAATAGGTTTTTATATACTTATATAACATACAAGGTCGGATTAAGCACCTATTGAACCCTGGGGCTGAAATTTTAAATGGGCCCTTTTGACAAAACATGTTTTACAAAGCTGCTCGCTACGCTCGCAAAACGATACATTTTTTTAACTATTTCACAAATTGTCAATTGCATTATAAAATTATAAAATTAAAAGGTATATAAAATTTATGTCTATAAAACTACTAATTTTAGTATGATAAAAAATGTGTATCGGCTTAAAATTGTTTAGGCCCTTTTCACTTGGGTACTCTAGAGGGCCCGGGGCTACTGCCCTGGCTAGACCCCCCTTATAATCCAGCCTTGATGATATATTATAGTCGGGGTTTGCTGTGATTTATCTCAGAAAATCCGCAGCCATGTAATGTTTGTGGTAGTTATTATAATGACTGGATTAATATTTTAAATACTGTACAAAGAAATATCATATATGGAAATATATAATGGATTAATATAGTATTTGTTATAATAAATGTAATTAATATACAATTAAAAGAATTCATGATTAAGTTATCTTCTAGGAAAGTACTACTCCTAGGATTATAGTGTTGATACTTAAGCGTTAGTTGTTATATTAATGTTTAAAGTTATATTTTTGCTGTACTTTATATATATATATATATTTTATAATTATTTATAAAGAATTTTTTTATTATTTTTAGTGCATGTCTATTTGGACTCTTGGCAATTTGTGTGACTCTAATGAGGAGTCTTGTAAACTGCTTCAAAATCAAAATTTCTTTTGTACCTTAATCGAATCCTTAAAAAATTCAACTTGTGATGAAGTCATTTTAAATACCTTTTATGCCTTAAAACTTTTTCTTAAGACTTATATTTACCAATTAGAGTAAGTTAAAAATTATTTAATGATTTATAAAAAAATGTGTATATATATAACCAATTCAATTTTTGTCATTAGGATTGAAGAACTCAATAAATTACTTCTTGTATGTTTTGAACGCTTAAATTTTTGGAAAGAATCATTTTGGATTGTGTACCAAATTTCTTGTCGTCATGACTGTGATTTATTAAATGCAAATTTAATAAAACAGTTATTTTTCAGTGTTCAAGATGAAGATATTATTGATATAAAATGTTTAGTAGCTATTTTAAGAACAATTGGCAATATTGTAGCTAAAGATAATAGTAGTTATTCAGCTAATGAAATTATAATTGGATTGAAAAACAGTGGACCTTTTATAAGAAATATATTAATAAAAAATAGACAGATAAACTTAAATGATGAATGTGCTTGGGTTTTAGGCAATGTTTTCAATGTATTGCAAATTACTGAGCTTCATAATAATAATTATATAACCGCAGAAGACTTTAATGAAATCTGTAATTACCTTTTTGTTTAAATTGCATTTTAAGAACAATTAATATATTGACTAACTGTATATTGTTGAATTATATATTGTTTTAAATTTTATTATTTATTATTAAATTCATTTGTAAATATTTCAATGCAATAATAAAACATCACATTAATAAATAATTCTGAATAATATTTTGTGTTGATTATATATATACTAGCTGACCTGACAAACGTTGTTTTGTCATATAAATTATTTCTAGAGAATATTTTGCTAGAAAAAAATAACTAATTTCATTTAAGTGTGTAAGGATGTGGTATATGTATAAGTGGAAGAGGTATGGAGTGCTGTGAATGGTGACAAAATATAAAAATGAAAAAAATCAAACATTTATTTTTTTAATAATTTATTAAAACAGATCCTTTAAAATTATATATATCGCTAATTATGACAATATTAGTAAAAAGTTTTTACTAATATTGTCATAATTTTTACTAAAAACCGATATCAATCCCTTAATGCAACAGAGTGTACTATATTTTTGTTATCCCATCTTTCGCCAACACAAACAAACTGGATGGTTCGAGAGCACGCTACGTAAAATTGTCCGTGTGAAAAATATGATGTGCTCAAATCTAAGCCACAGACACAGACATTTTTATGGTTTAATTAAATTTAATTTGATTCCCCAGCCAGCAGAAACTGTACATAGGTCAGTTCACGACACAAGGTCCCTGGGTACTTGTGCGTTATAGCGCCTACCGCCGATTTGTCGCGACTACCTTGATTTCGAACGCATTATTATACGCAACATATTTTTAATAGGTTTATAACAATACAAAACTACCCAAAGCTAAAAGTCAATGTAGTTGGCAAGCTCCACAGATCTAGGGGGGGTTCAGGGGGTCAGCTGACCCACAGTTAATATTTGTTGACAAAATTGGCCTCTTGGAAATTTTTTTCTCTTTTTAGACCTTGATTTGGACAGTTGGCCCATCGGAGTTACTTGAAAAATTAATGTCATGTACCTATATTCAAAATTTTAAATTTTTCAATTCATAATTTATATTTTAAATTATATCATTTTAGTAGAAAGTTAAGTAATATTTTATTTCGTACGTTTGTTGCTCTGATAAAATTAGATTATATTTATTAATCATAAATAAGTCATTATCAGTGCTATCATTAATTCTAAAATGTAGTATAAATATACACTTTTATGAGCATATAGTGTTTTTTTTTTTTTTACAAGGTATTCATTTATAATTCTGTTTCATCCCTAATAAATAGCCTCTTAAAATGGCTTGACCCACAGTTCCCCGACTCTGGATCCGCTCCTGCACAGATCCATTGCCAAATAATCGTAACTGTACAACAAGTTATTGCTACTATAACGTGATTGTGACTAAATGTCTACAAAAGTCCTAAAAGTTAATAGCTAGTCTATAAAATTGCGATAAGTGCGATTGTAACGACACTGGAAAAAATAGAATTAGAAATAGAATCGCGTATAAAACAGCGTTCTATAACCCATAATATGAGGTAGTCGCGATAATGCATATGTGTCGCGCGGTAGGCGCGATTGTTCGATACAGATATTAAATAGAATTGACGAGAGTAGACAACTTTGTCTTACACCCTTCCTAATTATCGCTATCTCCTTTTTGTTCGTTACTTTTTTTGTATCTGATGGGTCTTTGTATAAATTATATATTATCCTCCTATCTCTATAGTCAGCTCCAATTCCTTCTAAAGTTTAGAATAGTTTTTCCTACGGTAACTCAAAAGCCTTTTCAAGATCTATAAATGCTATAAAATGTATCTTTACTAAATTCTATTTGTTTTTATATCAATATTTTCAAGCTCAAGATTGTATCTTTGGTACCTATGTTCATCTGAATCCGAATTGATTATCGCTTAACTCTTTTCTACTATGTTCTTAATTCGAGGCCAGTATCCAGTTTCCATCCATATCTTTTAATATGCTGTTATGTTTCGTTTTCCCTCAGAAAATTTTTTAATTATATTATACGCTTAATCCATCCTATGTTTCCTTAGCAATTGTTCCACTTCTTGGCACTTTTCTTCTAACCATTTCTCTCTTGCAAACTTCGCAGAATAAAGGCAATTCGTGCAAAAAAAAAAAGTTTATGATAATTAATATATTACATTATACTTCGAATACGTAGATAAACATAGATAGGTAATTGTTATTTATTTATTGTGCAATCGATAATAAATTACAGTATTAGGTCAATAAACAATGAATACGAACATTCGAAAATGGTAGCTGAAATAATAATCACAAATAGTATATGTCTTCAAATATAATACTAAAATAAATTAAAAATATCAAATGCCTAAAAGTAATCCAAAAAGAATCAAAAGTACTTTTTAAATTGTGTTATATACAGACATTTATAAAATAAACATTTGGTGAAAATTTAATTTAAATACGGTTATTTTTTAAATTAAACAAAATGAGAAAATCAATCGATGAGAAATTTCAAATTATTAGTTTACGGATCAAATTTGTGATGTTTATAAGCACTTGAATTATTCGGTTTTCTAAAAGTGTAAATACATTTTATTTTTTGTAAAATATTAGAAGAATATGCATAAAATCTAATTCAAATCTATATTTTCTCTTGTATCGTGTAATCGGTGAAATAGAAATATTTTAAAGATAGTTATTGTCGAATCAATATATAACCGAAATAATGTCGATTGTCATTGTTGTACTTTAATTACCAAAAAGATTAAAATATTTGATAAATTTGTATTAACAATTTTGTACAGAAAATAATTATGCATGGTATTTCTCTGCTAAAATTGCTTGGCAAAATTATTCGATGAAAATGCGAATTAATGTTCTGTTTTGGCATAGAAATATTTAAAAATTGTTTCACATTGGCAATTATTAAAATATTTATTCGATTTTGCAATGAGTAGTCTATTTCGTTTTTACATTTATATTGATTATATGGCTAGTTTCCAATCATTTTTATTTTTATAATGATATTTTTTTTTCTTGTATTGAGAATTTAACTATGCATAATGCATTTTTTAACTATGAGCGATAAATTAATCCAACATTTTATCGAAATTAGGTAATTGTATATTAAATCGAAAAATTAGGCAAACAAACTTACTTTGAAAATTGTTTCTTGACATGGTTTTATGAGAGTTAAATTTATTCATTAATAGTTATAATAAATTAACGACATAGATTTATATGGATAACAAATCTTATGTATTTTGACGAATAAATAAAAGAGAATAGCAGACTTAGCAATGTATAAAGGTCGCAAATAATAACGCACTTCTTTCTGGTACGTCAAATGTACCTTAACTATAGACATAGTTGAAACGTTCCCCTCGTAAGGCCAGCGGTATCAGTCGCCATAGGATCTGATTGTAAATCTTAAGTCGTTAACAGTAACAGTCCTTTGTTGAAGATAGGATATGCCATAAGTTTATTTAACAGATGGCGAAAGTGGCGACGCGAAGCGGGTTTTATCGAAGCACTATTAGATGGTTAAGTAGTGTTTTTGTCAGAAAAGTTTGATACATAATTTGCGCATTTGACATAAAATATTATTATTATTAATTATTTTGTTAGAATTCGTTAATTTAATATATTTGCTCTAATTCACAAAACTTCGTACCACCACTGACTTTTAATATCGTTTCTATCTTTTTATAAGTCTCTAGACATAGGCATTAACTGAGGAGGCATTGTCCCTCTCCTAGAATAAATTAGGAGGGGCAATACCCTTTCTGATATTTAACATACCTTGTTTTAAAATAAGTACAAAACAGCTGGTTATAGCTATTACTGAAGCGTGGATTTATATGCATTAAAAACCAATCAAATATGCACTTGAAATTTAGCAAAAAATATTTAATTTTTGAATATTTAATTAAAATAATACATAAAATAACAACATTTAAAATTATGGAACTGTAAATACTTTTTTTTTCTTCTATTATTTAAAGGAATATACTAACTAAAATCATTTTGTAGGTAGTTTTTATCTATAAGGAAAAAAGAAATCAATTAATATCAAAAATATATCCAAAATAAAATTTTCTTTCCTAAATGCATATTGCAATGTATGACAATAATTTTAGTTATATTTTCTAAAACCATTGATTGGCGTGTGTCAGTCAACAAATTTTTATACCTTGAAAATTATTTTTTCGCATCTGCAAAAGTATTAGGTGCGTGTTTGAAATATTTATATCATTTAATTTGGAAATAAAATACCGTCGGTTTGAATTGATTCACGTTCATAATTTAAAAATTTTAATATTTTAGTATGCCGTAGCCTTCATTTTTTGATAATACTTTTCTACATTTTTATTAACAGATTTACCCGTTATATTACAATACCTAGTAAATATTTCAAAAATATTAACAAAAAAAAAGCATTGAAGTATACACTAAGAGATAAAATATGTAATTAAAAACATAAAATAAAAATAAATGGGTTAATATCTAAATATGCAAAAATATGTTCTAAAATTTTGATTGTTTAAATCTTTATGTCATAAAATAAATTATTCACCCATTACTTAAAAAGTAAAAAAATTAGACCCCTTTTTCAAAGTTATTTCTTCATAATTTTTGGTGTACTTTCATGTAACGTAGGTCGGTCACTTCCCCCCCGGAATGCATTGTATACTCATTACTAATTTAATAATTATATTATTCTCTATTTTTCAAAACGATTTTAATAATTTTAATTTTTTGCCTAATAAACTTAGTTTACATTTTATTATCGCTAAATGTTTTACTAAACTTTTACACGTAGCAGATGTTTTGATATGTATAATTATAATATTAACAGAATTAATTTATTACATTTATTTTCACTTGATAAATCTGTTAATGATCTTGGTATGTTTGTTGTAAAGCTCTCAAAAATTGTTCGTCTCTTTAATCACATATCTACTTCATTTAATCTAATGCCTTTACTTGAGTCTCATTACTGTTCGTTTATTGTTAGTGATGTTCCTATCAATTTTGTTGAAAGTATACTACGCTGACGAGTGTTAGAATATGTACATTTTTAGGATTCAGACGGTATTGGTAGTGGTGGAAAAGATATGTAAATATTGACAAAAATTTAAACGTATACATCAGGCACGTAACCAGACATATTTCTATAAGGGGGCCAATATTTTTTGGCCCCTTTCTGTAGTTATGTTTATGAAATGTGCGTTCAATGTCCGTATTTGGAATTCCTAGTTTTCAATTTATTAATACACATACTATTGTCTTATCTCAAATTGTCAAATGACGAATATTTATAAAATAGAATCTCAGAATTTAATTTTTGTTATACGATCGTTAATTATGTGGAATGAGCGCATGTAAACTCCGCCACAAGTACTTTTTTTTACTGTAAACTCCGCCACTAAAAAAAATCAGGTAAAACTGATTACATGTAAACTCCGCCGGTGAAGAAAATCGAGTAGTATCATAAAATTAATATAATATATTATTAAAAGTAATACGTAATAAGTAATAATAAATGAATATTATTATTATAAAATTATATAATATAATACCTCCATTTTATTTCACCAGACACATATTTTATATTTTGGTAATATTTTTAGTTGTTAAATAAAACCAATAAATTGCCTCGTTGACTAGTAATTAATTTTATATTATTACTTTGTTGTGACATATTTAGTTCAATATAAAATATACACGGAGACACACAGACTACGAATGATAATGTTCGTCAAAGTATACTTTACGTATACCTTACCTACTACCGATATCATCATTGGAAATACTAATTTCAGATAATATGGAGACAAAATTATTAATAAATGAATCAATGTGGATATATGTATATCCACCTTGAAATAAATCGAACCATGACAATAATTTTATCAATTTCGACATACATCATCGCAATAGATGTCAACATATTTAAAGTGAGAAGGCACATGCAATGTGAGCACTAAGCAGGTAGGTAAACAAAAAAAAATTAGAGGAATTTACATTTACCCATTACAGGTAAGAAAAAAAACTGGCGGAGTTTACACTGGACCTTTTATTATCTTTTTATCAAACCGATATTCTAACAGAGTTTACAATCGCCCATATGGAATATACATTCAGGATTTAGCCGGTTTGGGACAACTAAACACCATAATATTTAAAAATCAAAATCAAGGGGGCCAGTTCGGGGCCACTGATTTTTCTTAGGGGACCAGGACCACTAAGGCCCCCTTTTTGACGACGTGCCTGGTATATATTTTTAATTTATACAGAAATGTAATTATTAAAATTATTTAAATAAATTCGTTAATACATAGTAATATGTGTGTATAAAGTATATATGTATATGTAGTATAGTATACATATGTATTAACATCGTTAATATATACAGTGGCGTAAAAAGGGTATGGCGAACTGTGCCTAAGCCAGGAGCGCGAATTGCAAAGGAGTGCAAAAGTCGTACTTTTATCCTACCATCAAATCGAATTTTTTCCGTTATATTATAAATATAAATATAAATATAAATTGTATGCTTAAAATAAATTAGTAAAATAAAAGGTTACAAAAATATCATAACATCAAATTTTAATCGGTTAAAAATCCCTTTTTTTCTAACTTTGCTAGGGACGCTAACTAGTCTTTCTATGCTATTGAATACATATTATACTGTCATTACTAACTTCATAGTAAAACACTAATCGTCTTATAAAAAAATATGACACAAGTTTACATTTATGCTTGTATAACTAATTCAACAAAATTCGATAATTATGTAGGTAAGTATTCAATAGTTCAACATTATTTTAAAATTAAATAAATTTTTCATTAATAATTGTAAAAAAAAATCATAAATAAATATTTTGATTTAAAATATTGAAAATTAACAACACAGAATACATACACTATATGTAAATAGTTAGTATACAAATATATATATTTTTTTTTTGGCATTGGACAATTTCAAGGTTTATTCAAGATCACCCAATTTTGAAATTGGCAGCAACTAACACATCTAAATATAATGACAACGTACAAAAATAATGAGAACTTCATATCAGTTTTATTTTGCCACACACCCGCGTCAAGCTCACCGAAAATGACGACTATCTTTTCCCGAATAGTTAAGTTTTCTATTGCTTACCCAGTTACCCGAGGAATGGCTTCATACGCAGTTATATGGCCAACCGGATGTTTAATACAACAAGTAGCATTTGGAGATGATGAATTTGACCTTGCCAGAGCCGCTCGATTTGGACTTTTTGGAGCATTTTATGTGGCTCCAACTTTAAATGCTTGGCTAACTGTTGCACGTTACTTGTATCCAAAGAATGATCTTCGAAGTGCAATTATAAAAGTGAGCTTATACATTTTACACTCACGAATAGTATTTATAATTAAAATTGAAAAATTATTAGGCACTTATAGAACAAGTAACTTATTCACCTTGTGCTATGGTGAGCTTTCATTTCGGAATGTCTTTACTGGAGGGTAAGACGGTCAGTGAAGCGAAAAAAGAAGTAGAAAAAAAGTTCTTGCCTACATACAAGGTAAGTACAATTTTTGTTAATGATAATAAAACACAGTAGGTAGGTAAAAATAATTTTAAAACAAAAAGGTGTAAATTCAAAGTTATTATTTATAGACTTGCTAGATCATTAATATGAATATTACTTAAAATCATCAAATAGTTAAAAAAAAAAGTTTCTTTATTTGCTTTTAATTTCACCTTTTAACATTATAAAAATAACAAATAAATTTATACAAATTTAGCAAGGATTGTGGAGTTCGTATCATATCAATCACATTTTTTTTTATTTGGTTAGACTTTTCAACAATCACTTTTATTGAAGGAATTAAGAAAAATGAGTAATTAATATTAGAAAACCAACAACAGCAATGACTATTATAAATTAATATTAGTCTTTTTTAAAACTAAATTTTATTTGCCTTTCAAATATTTTTAAATTATAGTAGATCTTAATTATAATAAATTATATGATAAATAAATTATTAAATTATAAGATTAACTTATACAATTACCAAATTCTACAAGCAATAACATTACACCTGAGCTATTAATATTTACATATACATACACATAGAAATATATAAATAAATAACTGTATAGTTATTATGTATACTGATAGATTTTTACTGAAGTTCATGCTAGAGGAAAATACAAAAAATGATTCTTAATAATTTCAAGTTTGTTAAAGAAAGTAAAAAAGTAAAGGAGCCATATCTTGTTAATAGGAGACCCTACTTGAAGTAATCTAAATTTGATTTCAATTTTAATAGGTGGATATAAAATGTTGAAATAATAATGGTTGGGGTAAGTTTGAAGAGCAAAATTATGTTTTCCCTACAATAGTAGGCAGGGTATTTAATGTGTAAGTAAATTAACACATTTTTAATAAAGCATAAATTTCACTTTTAAAATAGATATAGTTTTAAAATAATAATAATTATTAATTTTAATAACATGGTTTGTTATTTTAACTGTAAACAAAGAAAAAAACAAATATTGATAGTTTTAATAATTTAATAGTACTTAGAAAATGGCTATTTTTAAAATTTAAGGCTTTAATATTTTTAACATTATAAAAATAAATAAAATATATTTTCATGTTTTAATCAGCATTGCTTTATTAAAATAAAATAAATTCAAAAAGTATAAGAGATAAAACATAGTCAAATAATTCAAATGTATTGTACTAACAACTTGAAAAAACCTTTATAAGATCTCACTCTATCATATTAATAATAAATTAAAATAATAATCACCATTGGTATATTTTTTTTTTTAGGGATATAAAAAAATAATTTATAGATTTGACAGGTATTAAATATATTATTGGTGGTCAATTAATAGTCTAATTTATATTTTCAACATCTATAAATGAAACATATTTATTAAATTTTACGTTCAAAAATTTAAATATTATAAGCTTTAATATAGTTTAAACAAATTTACCATTTACAATTGATTAACAAAAATACCATTACAATATGGAAATATATATATACTGTTTTTAAAGATAGTATAAATGTTTTATTGTATTTACGAAACATTATGTACTACATAAAAATGGTATATTTTAAATGGTATATAATTAACATCATAATTTAAATAATATACAATTAAAATATTGATGTCATGTACATGTTCACAGGTGGGTATAATTGTTTGGCCTATATTACAAGTGTTCAATTATACAATGATTTCAGAAAAAAATAGAATTCCATTTGTTAGTCTATGTAGTCTAGCCTGGAGTTCATTTCTAGCATACATGAACCATAATAACAAAAAAAAGGATAAAATTTTAGTCACTAAATGATGAAAAAGAATCATTCCAACAAAAAAATAAAAAACAATATAATTATTAATTTATTGTATATAAATATGTATATTCTGTAAATTTTAAAAAAATATTGTTATAAGTTGATACTGAATTATTGTTTAATTATTTTCATATTTATACACTTATGGTTCTAAAAACATTAAAACCAGTTTGTGCAGTACTTATGAGAACTCCAGTAATTTGAGGATGCCAATGAAGTTCTTTTATATGTTCTTGTCCTTGATGAACAAACAAAAGTTGTGGTGGGATTTCCTATAAGAAATAAGAATATTATGAATATATTATATGCAATATCAATTACATAAATATGAAATTTCGTAAATATTTCGGATTACTAAAAATTGCATACTTTTATGTCATCTACATCATGTGTTGTATCTCTTTCAACGGCTAAGTCCCAAATAGCTATTTGATCATCATCACCACCAGAAGCAAACACAGAACTATCATCTGGACTCCATTCAACTGTTGTTATAGCACTAGTATGATGTTTGAATACAGCTAGTTCATTACCTTTCTATTTTAATGATAGAATAATAATTAGAAACACATTTTATATTGTAAAAAACATATATATATACTTTAAATTGTCTTAGATCCCAAATCATTAATTTACCATCATCACCACCAGAAACTATTAATGGTTCTTTTTTGTTCCAATTTATAACATTAACATCATTATCATGAGCATTAGCTATTGTTAACATATTTGCTTTGTTAGGTGCTAACCGTGTGTCCCATATTCTAAGACTGAACAGAATATAGAACATATTAAAAGTTAAAGAAATATTTGAAAGATAAAATAAAATATTAATTAAATATTTTGATTACGATCTGTCTACAGAACAAGACGCCAACACATTAACTTCAGTTGGAGACCATTGTAAATCTTCAACAGACTCTTTATGTCCATCCAATGACTGTAAATTAACAACCCAACCATTTTCACAAGGTTTCCATATGTGAATGTTTCCTTTGCAATCACCACTAGCTAAAAATCCTAATAAAAAAACAAAAAATAAGCATCATGTTACTTTTAAATAAATTTCAATAGTTATTACCAGGAGACTTGGTAGACCAATCTAAAGCGAAACCCTCATCTCTATGCCCAGAGAATGAATGTAATGGTTTATGTTCAGATATAATCCTTTTGGGAGTAGGTTTAACAAATTTTTTTTTTTTTTCTACACTTCCAATTTTACGATTTCGTTTGGCTTTTTCGACTTCTTTTAACTTGCTGTTTAAATCAAAAATATTAACTATTCCTTTTTCCGACCAAACAGCTCCAAACACTTTGTTATCAACCATAGTATTCTATAAATAATTAATTGTATACATATAAATATTTATTAGTTATTTTATCATGGGTAACTGATTATACACATTGTACTATCCTAGGGAATGTTTTGTCTGTATCAATAAAACAATAGCTTATGAACTAAAGGGGCTAAAAATGAATAAATAAAATGTTTATTTGATACTAGGGTTTTTTCACAAGATTTCAAAATTTACCAAAGAGGAATAACATACTCTAATTCGGTTAATAGTGCCAAAATGAGGAATAGATGATATTTGCAATACAGGTTGGTCTTTAGATTCTTCATCACTACTGTCAGATTCAACATCTGAATCTTCTGATGAAGTGCTATCATCGTTTTTCATGGCTTTTAAATTGGATAACTAAAATAGGTTATAATTTTATAAAAATAATTCCCATTTATAATTTTTATTATTTCCATTTGAAAAATGTACACAATTCATACTTTCATAACAATAACACAGTTATCTTTTGGTTTCTCTGCTTGACTTCCAGCAACCAAATACATTGAATGGGGAAAGTCACTACGATTATATCCCAAGTCATCAACAATAACATCAAAACTCAAACATGGTAAACCTTATAATTATAAAAATAATATTAAGTAAAAATGTACAAGTAAATTATAGTGAAAAAATAAAATACTGAAGTATACCAGAATCAATATCGTGTAACATGTGGTAAGCAGATGGGTCGAATACTAAAGATTCGTCCTCTTTCATCTGATTACCAGGTAAGTACACTTGACGCGGTTCTTTTTTGGTGAAATTAGAAGATTCTCCACCTTCGTCATCAAGCTCTTGGTCATCTTGATCATTTTCGTCATTTTCACCATCTACGATCATTTCATCAAAACTTTCATGTTCAGAGTCTGACATTTTTTAGAAGGAAAATTATTTTATTACTTAAAACAAACACAGATTGAGAAAAATACTGTTATAAAACCACTTAATAGTGTAAACTAAAAACACGTGGTGATGGCAATACAAGTAAATTAGAACCATTGAACTATATGATAACTATATCATATAGTTCAATGATTAGAACAAATAATTATTAGATAACAAGTTAAAATAGATAAGAATATTTTATGATTATTCCGGAGTGATAAGGATAAATGATAACAACAGTGATAAAGGCGCGCTTACACGGTGACAGTCTAGGTTTTTTTTTTACCTTGGATGACAGTAAACCTTGACAGTCACAGTCACAGCAGTTATTGCCATGCAATTGCCATGGTGTAAATCATTCGGTAGTAGTTGTTATGACAGTATGATAATATCTAGCTGTGCTAGATAGTTGACAGTACTACCGCGGTTATATGACAGCAGCTTCCAATCCATTTTCTCATCCATTTTCTTTTACCTTATTTGGTTTGTTTTTGTTTCAAAACAATCATCTCACCAACAGCTCTAATCATAGCACTTAAAACTGCTTCAGCCTTTATTTTAGATGGGATAATTAAAAATTAAGTTATTTAAATATTATTAATTAAAATAAATGTGATGTTAGTTTCAAAATTTCAAAATTTAAACACTTGAATACTTAAATACAAACATAACCACTCTTCCAGTTTAGAATAAATGTTATAGTAACTGTCATATAATCTCATATGAAAGTATTGTTTTCGTGTAAACAGTATTCTTTGCGTGACAGTTTTACTATCGTATAATTATACGATAGTACTGTCATGACAATACTGTCAACGCGCCTTAAGTCATAGATATTTATATCTGTGTGACAAGTACAAGATAATCTATACCACTATAAATAACAGAAAAAAGCAAGGGAATAAGGAATAGAAAAAACATTTTATCCCTGGCATTTAAAAATATTTTGAAATTTTTTTTTTTTTTTATTTTTTTTTTATTTTACACTTTTAAATACACAATCTGTACAATGTAGCAAAATAAGTATATATGATATTATAATATTAACATGAGTATTTTGAATTAAGAAGTCACCTATTGGTGACACTTGGCTGGGGATTAACGCTGTCTAGAGTCTAGAACTTCGTTGTTTTTTTTTTTTTTATATAACAAGTCACGGCACCATTTCCTTTTTAGACGACGCCCGGGGTTTCCCGGTATATTTTGAGTGTAGAGGCTCTTTATCAATGGATTTTGGTGGGTTTGTAGGCGATTATGAAAGCGTTTGTAGAAATTTACAGCTTCTTCTGTCACGGTTTTCATTGTGAGGTCTTTATGTAAAGTATAATTGGACACAAAAGGTGGAGCATTTGTAATTTTTCTGAGAGCAATATTCTGGAACTGTTGGATTTTTTTGGTATTAGATACTTTAGCAGTACCCCACAATTGAAGACCATAAGTCCACATTGGTTTTAGTAGTGCTTTATACATGAGAACTTTAACTTTTAGTTTTGATTGTTTATTATTTGTAAGCAAGGGACGTAGACTGCGGAGTCGGGCATTTAAGGCAAGTCTTTTGATACGGATGTGGGCGTTCCAAGTAAGGCGTTTATCTAAATTGAGTCCTAGGTATCTGACTGTGTTAGACGTTGGAATAGGAACATTATTTAAAGAGACATTTGGACAGATGGAGTGACATAAAGTGAATGTTGTATGTACTGACTTATTTGGATTTGGTTTAATTCGCCATTTCAAGTACCATTCTGACATTAAATTGAGATGAATTTGAAGGTTCGAAGATGCAATTTGGGGGTTTTTGTCAATTGAGATTATGACTTTGTCATCCGCGTAATCGGCTACTATATTATTTTGAGAGACAGGCTGGTCTGATGTATAAATATTGAATAAAAGGGGTGAGAGGATCCCACCCTGAGGGACACCAGCGAAAATTTTTTCAATTTCCGATACAGAAGATCCAACCCTGATTTGGAAATGGCGGTTTGTTAAATAAGACTTAAGCAGTAAGTATAAGGAGGGGGAAAGAAATTTTTTTAATTTGAACAGAAGGCCTTCATACCAAACTCTATCAAACGCTTGGCTTATATCGAGAAATGCACAGGTGCAGTAATATTTTTTTCTAGGGAAAACGAAATTGCGTCGACCAACCTGTGCACTTGATGTATTGTGCTATGCGCCGAGCGAAAGCCAAATTGAGAGTCTGGTAAGATCTTATTCTTATCGAGGTAGGGTAAAAGTCTTTTAAGTATTAGTCTTTCTAATACTTTTGCTAGAAATGGCAATAGGCTTATTGGCCTGTATGATGAAGGTAAGTCTAGTGGTTTGTCAGGTTTGGGAATTAAAATTATATTGGAGAATTTCCATAGGAGTGGAAAGTATGAGAGACGTAAGATTGAGTTAAATAAATGGGTTAGGAATAGAATAGCTTTTTTTGGTAGCGACTTCGGCGGTAATTAAGTCGAAGCCGGGTGATTTTTTAAGGGTATACTTCTGTATTGTAGATTTAATTTCGTTTGGTGTAAAACTTTTTTCGGGAAGATAAAGAGGCAAGGGAGAGTCAAGATACTGAGTTATTTCTGCGCTGAGAGTCGGGTTAAATATATCAGGATGTGGCTTAAATATTTCAGAAAGGTGTTGACGGAAAACTTCGGCTTTATCTTCATCAGTTACAGCAAGAGTAGTATCATTTTTTGTTAAGGGTGAAAAATTTAAAATTAAATATAAATTCTACTAAAAATTAAGAGTGTAAATAAAATGATCATGTATAAAAAAAAGGAACAACATTAAATATTAAAATCATAGAAAAGACTATAGAGCTAATTTATTTCACCTTTTATTATAAATAATGATTATTATTAACTTGCCCTACACTTCTTACTTAGTATAATATACTTATGAAATCTACCTTAATCTATCTAAGGCTACGGTTACTATGTATGCGAGTTCTGACGAATTTGTCGTCAGAACAAAGCAGTTACACTATGCGCGGTTTTTGACATTCTGATGGTCAGTATGTTTCTGCCACCCAGGCAAAGATGGACGAACTTGATAAATTGTATTTTTTTGAAAGTCCGTTATTGAAATTATTGTTGTTAAATGGTAGAAAAACAGAGCATGTCAACGAGTTATTTTCTAGAAGAGACGACAAAGGAGAGTTTGAAATGTTATTTCAAGAATTGTGGGATCAACCGGAAAAGTTTTTCGAGTATTTCAGGATGAAACCAGAAACATTTAAATACATACTGGAGAAAATAGAAGAAAGTATTACAAAGTTCACTCATGTCCCTCAAACACCTATTCTCATACACGAGACTGATTAATTTATCGGGATCCATGGTTCAAATAAATAAATAAATTGTAATAATAATTATATAATAATCAAATCTCGTCAAAACATTCACATTTCGGACGAAAAAATCAAACTTATTTGAACGCTCAACTGTTTCTGACGACGTCGTGTATGTTGTGACGACTCAACGCTACCAGTGTAAACGATCTCATTGAAAAACAGGCGTTTGTTTGTTTTGACGAATACGTCAGAACTCGTCAGAACAATTATTCGTCAGAACTCGCATACATAGTAACCATAGCCTAACCTTGATATTAGTTTTTGGTACGAATGTATTATTTAAAAAAGGAAATTATTTAATGATTAATATTACAAGCTAAAATAAAGATGTAAGGTGAAGAAGAAAAAAAATAAATAAAAATGTGCCATATTGTATAATAGTAAAATGTATTGATGTAAATGGTCATTTTTAAAGAATGAAAATAAATAAAAACAATACCATAGCCATTTAAAGTTATTTTAATATAATAATTAACCATCAAAAGAAATTACAAGATTTATTATTTATAAGAGTACATTAAGAATTTTATTCACTTATAAATGTTTTATTAATTCTACAATAAATTAATTAAAAATAAAATATTCTAGCATGGGATTTGATTTTGATAAAGTTGTAAATAATCATATGCTATTGTTCTAAAGTTAAGGAAAGATTTGTGAATGACACTCATCATATATACTGCAGCTTCACGATCAGTGGATTGAGGTGCAAATCTAGTTCGTAATAATTTGATTGTTTGACCACGGAAACATGGTAATCCAGTATCCAACATTAAAGATACCAATGAAATAATAGCTTCTTTATAAGGTCTAAAATATAATGAAAATAATATTATTATTGGTACATAAATAGTTTGGATATAATCTTCATTACCTGACAGCTAAGTAGGCTTGTACGCATAATTCAGTAAACCAACGAAAAGGGGGTGCATCAATTTTACCTCCCATTACCATTACCATTTCATCAGTAAGTTTAATGTCTGGTTCAAAACCTAAATTACCTCCTGGCGATGACTCAAACATAAATCCAAAATCTGAAGAACAAATATGATAAATAAATATAGCTACAATAAATAAGTTACAATTATCAAAAAAACTAAAATTATTATATTATATACTATATATGTTACCGGCAATATATATAATATGAGCTTTGCCTATAAGGTATTTTGTATAATGCCAAACGTGGGGTAGGCAATATGATGAAAACAAACAAAATTGGGCATCACCTATTACCAAACACTTTACTTATCGTTTATCATGAATGTGAGTGCACAATTTAATGCAATACAGATTAATATTCTTTTATTACTATAATAATAATTCTGAGATACAATATAGAACATACTAATAATTTCATTACAATATCATAATTTTTATCGTCACTTTTGTGTTGCAACATGCATACGATTTATAGGAAGTAAAATGTTTATACCAAACTACAAATTTTTTTTAAAAATTTGGCCCTAATACTAGTTTTTTTATCTAATGAATAGTATAATGAGTTGATAAAAATTCAATCCACAAAAATCAGCCAAGAATTTTTAAAATGTGTTTGTAAGTCTATGTGTCAAAATAAAAAGTGTATTTGCCTTAAAAATAACATTTTGTGCACTTCAAAATGTCACTTTTCTACAACATGTTATGATAAGTAAATAGTAGTTTAAGTAAAATATTTATATAATAGTAATAATATAATAATAGATAAAAATTAAATTTTGTCCGTAATATGAGTAATAATGTATAATAATTATAAGAATTATAATGTAATAAAACATATAATAAAATTTTTTGTATTTAGCCTAAAAAAAAATTGATATTTTGCATAATGCCTAGGTATTTTATAAAATACCTAGGTTATATGTAAAATAATATTGAAAATTATATGTTTTATTTACATTGCCTAAAATGGGTCGGCAATTTGCATAATGCCTAGGCATTTTGCAAAATAGCCAAATTATCCATATTGTTGGTAACATATACATATATATGTTACTTGACTTATAACTATTCAAATTTTTTTTCTTTATGACATTCAGTTGTATTTTTTATCAAATATATTTTATTCTCAAAGACAAAATTTATAACTTAAAATAAAATAACTTACAGTAAAATAACGTTATTGAAAATTATAATATGGTAAATCGCTTAATAACAAGTCACTAACAAAAATTGAGTAAGTATCAATACTCACTTATCATATCATGTTTAATATTTTTAAATACAAACTCAATTAAGAATTAAATTATTATTATACGTAAGTAATTTGAAAAATAATTTTAGTTTTTAGTACAATAATATACATTAGTAAGTTGTTTATTTAAATGCAAAGCTGACTTACCAATATGTATAATATGTCCATCAGTATCCAACATAATGTTTCCATTATGTCTATCTTTAATTTGCAATAAAAATCCAATAACACTATAAGCTGCCATAGATCTAACAAAATTTCTACGGGCGTTCTAAAATGTAATACATTAAATCTTAAATCTTCATATATATTTTTACTTAATAAAAATATAATTCTATAGAGCAAAAGTAATTTCTCTAATAAGATGTACATTTACATTTATTTTGTTAATAAAAGTTTATTAAAATTTATTTTCAAACTAAATAATGTATAATTTTTTTTATTCATGTTTTGAATAAATTGATATTGTTTAAATAATCCTAGACAAGATATTATAGAACAACTCTATATGTACAGTTATAACTATAAACATATAGGTATAGTTTATTAAGTTGTTTAATTAAAAACTAGATTTTTATTAATATTAAATTATAATCAAAACAACATGAATATGTATATTTTTTATTTTTTAGTAAACCACACAAAATGTATATTAAGGTTCATTTTCCTCATTCAAATATATAGTTATTTTTAATTCATGACCAATTGTAATTATATGAATATATATATTTATATACATATTCATATAATTACTATAATAATATTATTATATATATATATAGATGATTATATTTATCAAATACTTTAATTTCAAATTAAGAACAAAGACAGAAGAAAATTACAATTTATTTTAAAAGATTCAAAATTATATAATATTATAGCTTTTGGATAGCAGTTCTAAAAATGTTTACGTATTAGTACCACTTATGAATTAGGAATTTGTTCACATATTACTTGAGTTGGTATACACAAGTTTATTAATTTGATATTCATTATTAATAATAATAAATTTATTTTTTTAATTATAATTTGTTTTGTGTAAAATCATTGAAATTTCCATGTCCACAACTAGTTCTATAAGTATCAATAGTTAAGAACTGCTACTTTAGATAACTTGATAATTTATTGTATAATTTCAAAGTACTGTATTCCAATTAATATTAGATAAATTATAAAAAAATAATGATAAACACAAATTTGTAATAAGATTATACCTGGAATTCTTTTGTATTTTCATCGCCATAAGTTTTGATGAAATATTCATACATGCCATAGTCAGTTTGACGACCTAATTGATCTCTTGATTTAGCATTAGGAACACATTCTATGACACCACACTACAATTTTCAAAGGTTTATTATTATTAAATACTAAGAAATAATTTCTAAATAACGAAAAAAATAATGTATAAGGTTAGGATCTAATAATATAGCATAGAGTTGAGCAATAATGCTTTTATATGTTTAAAGTAAAAAATTTTAAAATTCTGCACACTGTTTACTGTTGTATTATAATAATATTAATAATTTTATACAGTCATTCATTATATACATTTTATATTTAATAAATTATATTAGTGATTATTATAAATGTGTAATTATTTATGTATGTATATATATTTCCAACTATGAACTAATATTAGAACCCATTAAAAAAATATAAAATTAATATGTTTAATAATATTTACCCCTGGTGCAGTAGCAACTACTCGATATGGAAACAAGAATAAATCTAATCCAACTTGTTGGAACACATTTTTAAAAATACTAATAACTTGAAGAGCCAACATATCTTGACGTACGTCATCTCCAACCTTAATGATTTAATATATTAGTTATAAAATAAACACTTTTTTTAATTCAAATATAAAGATTATACTTTGAATATAGCAGCCTGCCATGTATCTAATCCCATCATAGAAGAGGAATCAATACATTTGTCATAATTAACTGATGTTTGTTGATTTGATATAGCCATGGCAGTTTGTTCTAATTCATTTATACCACATTTTCTTACTCGAAACCGAGCTAAATATGGTGCTTTAGCAGCACTAAAATATTACTTGTAAGTTATTTCATTAAATCATTAAAAATACTATAAATCACTACTAAAACATAAACCTTTGCATTGGAGTTCCACTGTTATAGTCAATATCAATAACCATTGCTTCCGGATTTGAAGGCAAATAACATCCTGCTTGAACTTCAATTTTGCTCAGTGCTTCTAAGCATGCACGTTTACGTTCAGGTCCTAGATTTTTTTAAACTATTGTTATGAATTTTACACATAAAGATAAATTTTATAGTATAAAATAAATTTTTTTTCTTACCTTTAGGGAAAGGTCTTATTTTGCCTGATATATCAGTAATTTGAGAAAAAAAGTCAAATTCACGTTCATAAAACTTCTTAGCAGGTCCGGATAAACAATTTACGATTGCATTAGTTAATGAATCTAATGTATCATAAAGAGCCGCTAAAAAATTAAATTATTGAAGAAAATTTGCAATATAAATTATTCAAATAACTTACTGTCTTTGTGCTGCATTTCTTCGTCCAAGTACATATTTGTCTTCATATTCCAAATTAATTGATGAGCAACTACTTGGGACCGCAATGAAATTGATTTAATAAATTCCAAAACATAACCCATCTATTTAAAAAAAAATAATAATAAAAGTATAATAAAATTACATGGTCTTTTAAAAAAAAAGGTTTTTCATACAGTATCATGTCGAAGAGTTTGCACTAATTGTGGAATGTAGAATAACACTGCATCAGCAGGATAACTTGCTAATACACGAACAGCATATTGTGCAGATATAGGATGTGGTGGATATTGTCTAGAAAAATATGACAATGCTTGGATAGGCGTAACCCTTGCCCATGTCAACATGTAAACTAGCTAAAACATTAAAAACAATTGAATAAAATATAAATTATAAAAAAGTGTATAGTTTTCGCATACTTCAGGAGCATCACTTAAAAGAGTTTCAGTTGTCACTAAATATTGTAAAGCTTCAGGTATGTGTGAAACAACCATTGGATTTGCTCTAACCATTCTACATACTTCTTTAACTATACAGTCTGCATTTTTTAATCTTACTGGTAGAAATACACAAAGAGCAGGACTGATTTCCCATGCAAGCCTTGTATTTTCACGTAAGGATTTATCAGGAACATTTTTTGATTTCCAAGAAGCAACCATTTCTTCTCCGGGTACATTAAGTTCAGAAAGACCAGTTGGATTTTGCCACGTACTTAAAAATTCAATTTGAACAGCCTACAAATAAATATTTAGCTATAAAATACAGAATAACATGTTTTAACTTACATAATTAAACTTAACTGTATAACATTATTAAATACATTTTATACATTTAATTAATTTCACTTTAGGAAAGCGAGCATGAAAAAAAGTACTAGTTGATAATAATAATTAAAGCAATATTATTTTCCATAATAATTTAAAAATTATAGTTTTAACTTTTTTATAAAACCATTAAGCTTATAAATATTATTTTATTTTTATTTTAAAAAATTGTTTTATTATTTATTTGGGCAACGATAATATTAGGTATGTCTTTTCAGATACATTCTGTAATACTACTATATACTTAATTATTAAGGTAAAACAAATTGTTATAATATTTCAATTTATAATTAATATTCTTATGTTTTACCAAAAGATCTAATATGAGAATTCGCTTTTTTATGTAATCTTTAACATATAAATCTTGATTAGCATTAACATGTTGGCGTTTCATTCGTAAATTATTGGCTGTACGTTTGTTTAATGTATTTGTAGCAGATGTCGATAATGGTACAGTATTCATCCAGCCTTGAGTAGTACCAGAATTACCAGAAACAGCTCCAATACTTGAAACTGTTAATTCATTTAATGATGAAATTGTTAGTTGATGGTCATAGTTCGAATTTCCAGAAGTTTGTAAACTACCACCTTGAAGATCAAAATCTAAAAAAATAGTAAAAGAAGTAAAATTTATAGAAATATTTATAAATTTATAAATAAATAAACAAATAGTTTATAAATAGAAATACACAAATAAATAAAAGTTTAACCTTCAGTATTATTAAATACAATCATTTTCCTCAATGTATTCAATTCTAAATTTTTTCATATTCAGTCATGATTTTATTGATTTTTTATATACCTGAAGATGAATTTTGAATTCAAAACAGGTCATAAACAAAAATAAATATAATAATACTCCAGATTAAGCTTTTATTTATTTACTTATTTCTATATCAATTTATGAGTATTAACTATTTAATAATTTTTAATATTTATTTAATTTTTAATATTTTATTAAATACTTAGTAATTTTATTTGATATTTTAGTGAATAATTAAGGAAACAGAAAATAGTATGCCAAAATTATAATTTCATTGGCAATAGTTTAGATTTGTAGAATGAAGTAAATTACAACAGTTTTAAATAATTAAGGTTTACCTTAAAATCATAATACTTAATAATGTAAGAAGTACTGGTTAATTGATTTTATCAATAACTTGCCAGTTGGTCTGTATTTAAAATTAGAATAAGCCATGCAGTGTCTATACAATTTAAAATATAATAACTGTATTTTATAATCCCATTTACCTCCAATAACACTAGCCATTAAATATTTCTTATCTGAATGCATTGTTTGCCAAAATTTAGTGAGAGCAAGTATGTCATCTCGTAGTTCTGAGCCACGTTGAGTTGGACATTGAACAGGTGTAGTAAATGTATCAAAGCAAGCACAATACACTCTCTCTCTAAGAATATTTTTTCCTAGTGACTTTGGTAATACTTCTCCTTGCAATAAAGTCAATCCACATTGTAGTAACCTGAAATGTTTTAAATGTTAGAATCAAAATATTTTTAAATTAACTTCATGTGATTGAGTATAAGATTAGTTAGTTTCATTATTAAAAGTTTCAGAAAAATCAAGTTTTTTATTTATATACGTTAAAATAAATTAATTATAGATAAAATACTATAAAAAGTATAATAATTATATATTTCTGGGAGGCAAACTTTCTGTTTATAAAAAATATACATATTTAATGTAAAACTTCTCAAGAATAGTATAAGACATATTTCATTTTTCACAAATATATTTATTTAGATCGAATAGAATATTTATAATACAAATAATTATTTTACATTTTAATATAAATACAATGTTATAAGTATAAAAAAACTATTTAACAGGAGTAAATTCCAAGAAATTAATTATATTCACAAACTAATATTTCATAATTTCGGTAATAAAATGTACTATGATTTTTAATTAATAATATTATCTTTTATAACAATTATAATAACAATAATTAATACAGTCGACTCTCAGTAACTCGAAGTTCAAGAGGAAAAAAAAAAAATTCGACTTACTAAAAATTTCGAGTTATCAAAAACTTTTAAAAAGTATATTTTTATTTTTATATAATATTCACATTAAAGAAATAAAAAAAAAATTTTACATGTTTTCATTTTTAAAGAATTGGTGTAAAGTTAATTGTTTTTGTTTAATTAAACCTATATTGTATTCAATTATATTTTCTAAAATACCGAGTGGCTTAAATAAATCTTCCATACCTTCATTGCCTTCAATATATTTACGTAATGTTTTTAATGCAAGTGTTGCTTCTTTATTTGTAATGGTGGATTGTACTTGTTGGTCTTCGAATTCTTCTTGGTTATCTTCATCCAATATATCGGAGATAATATCGTTCTCAGTCCATTCTCCACAAATATCCAAATTTGCATCGACATTGACATATGATGTAAAGGTTTCATCAATATTCATTTTCTCCATTAATTGATCCATTCATCGTTATTATCATCAGAAGGTTCATAAGGAGTGTTTTCATCGTTCTCAATTGAAGTTTTAAAACCTGATTTTGTAAAACAGTTTACAATCGTTCCTTTTTTTACGTGTCGCCATGCATTATCGAATAGCCGTATAGCATCCAATATGTTTATTATGATTTGATTGTTACCATTTATAGCCGATATAATTTTTTTTAGGCGAAAAATAATCGTCTTGATAAACTATTTTTAGTACTAAATTTGGATAAGAAAATTCGAGATGTCGAAAATTTGTCAAATTAATTTTCGAGTTACCAAGATTATTTAAACATTAAATGTAATTGTTATTTGAAGGAGAATTCTAATTATTCGAGACATCGAGAATTTCGAGTTATCAAGGTTCAAGTTACCGAGAGTCGACTGTATATTAAGTTATGTACATTATAAGTATATTTGATTCAAACCCATAATTTTCTTTAAGCAAAACGCATGTCTTATTATATTATTTAAATATGCAAAATTAGAAAAATATAATATAAGATAAAATAATAAAATTTAAATTAAACATGTATTTTTGAAATAACAATGTTTATATAAATTATCAGTTGATTTAGAATATTAAAATGTTTATAAATAACTATGAAATACAATACTAAATTAATATAAATTTTAAGAAATTAAAAATTTTATTCTCCTTATTACCTAAATCGTGTTCCAATTGCATCTATTTGTCTACTTATGAAAGCATCTGAAGTTCCAACACACATAGGTAATGATCGATGCAGCATCATAGCTAACATTTCTACTTTTTCTTGACTACAAGATTTTACATTGTCAACCACTTCAGATATATACTAAAAATATTTTTAGTAAATTTGTAGATTAAAGTCTTGAGAATATTTTTTTTTTTAAAAAAAAGTTAATCTTACTTGTACCCAAATATCATGAGGTTTAACAAAAGGAGAATTTGGTTCTAAAGTACAACCTTCATAGACTGCAAGTGGACTTACTTGTTCTAAATCTTTAGCAAATAAACCAATACGGCTATCTATTGTAAACTAAAAAAAAAAATAGTAAATCATAAATATTTTTATTTTAGTTTTACATTAAGATCATATTTATAAAATAAAATGTATCATTATTAGTGATGCACAACGATATTTTTTTCATTATCGATATCGGTTTATTAATACCAATATCATATCGCGATATCGAAAAACAATCGATATATCGATATAATTTATTAATTTATAATAATTTATAGACTAAAAAAAAATTGATTGATGATTTTTTTTTTTTTTTTTGGTATTAATATTTCTTACATTCAAAAAGAATAAATAATAAGTATAAAAAAGTTTTCAAATTCTATTATAAAAAAAAGTTAAAAAATTAAAATTGAATTAAAACTACAAGTACATTATTTATTTTTCATCTACTATAGGTACTATAGGTACTCCGAATATTGTATAATTGCTTCCTGAAAATATGCATACATTTAAAATTATTAAGTATTTAGCAATTAATTATTTTATTAGTATATGTCACTACGACCTCAAGATAATGGAGGTAATGGTACTATCTTAATAGAACTGATAATTGTTATTTAATTGTAAATATCAGAGACGATGTACTAACTCAACATAGGCAACAGAAAAAATGACACTAATTGTAAAAATCCAACAGTCACAGTTATATACATCTATTGTAAGGGTTTTATCATATTGCTTATCATTAATGTTACTCGTTCTTTGACATTGATTCATTGTCAAAACTTATATAAATAAAAAATAGAAATTTCAAATTGATACCATTTTTGATATCGATAAAATGTTGCATATTTACTTACAATGTCATATTTCAATATTGATATAGAAATACAACATCATTGTGCATCACTAATAATTATGCAGTATAAATTAATTATACATATACCTGCCAAGCAGCAAACATTTCCTGTAAAAATTGCAATTCTAGATCTGGTCTAGAAGTAGTTAACCATTGCCAACATTCAACTGCAGTTCTCATTGCTTTAGTGGTAAATAATTTAACTTGTGACCATGCAACAACATGCACCAATTTTCTAGTACATCCTTGGTAGAAATATCAAATTTTTATTAAAAATGTATTCGAACAAGAAAAAAATATTAAATATATTACCAGAAATTGATATAAGTAAAGCTGTAGCAGTCCATAGAGCATTATGGTGCATATTATTAATGTCATTGTTACAAGCAGCCCATACTTTGGCAATCACATTGTCTACTAATTGTTCAGGGCTATTCTCAGAAGCTGAAATCATACCAGCTACAATACCTGCAAAATGACTTCTTAGCCCTAAAGTTGTGATGTATAAGGAAGAATCAGTTTTCACACAACGGGGTCTTTTATCCAATGTCGTTTTCTAAATAAAAAAATCATAATTATAACTAAATATTTGTATTATGAATATTAATGTATACTGATAATGGTGCTGCATGAAAATTAAGGCCACTGCTTTGTAAGACGCTTTCAGTTGCTAATGCTAGGCCTGAATGATGCCAATATGAAGAACTGGGTATTTGAGTTAAATAATGTTGTAGATGTGATCTAGTAGCACTTGGAGCCCATTTCATTGCTTCTTGAATAAAACCTAACGATCTTGCAGCAAAGTCATTAGTGGTACTCTGAAAAATATTGAATGTAGTGTTTTTTTTTTTTAATTGGAAGAGTAGGTAAATTCATTACTTCTCTTGCTTCAAGTGTATCCATTAACATGAGTGTAAATGGAGAAGATGGTATTTGAATACTAGGTGTTTCATTATTAGGATTTAATTCTAAAGAATATGATAAAACTTGAAGTATATCACACATAGTCCAAAGTACACGTTGATTCCATAATAAATGTGGAAATCTGCAATGTAAAATTAATCTTATTCAAAATATTTGAATTATTATTAACATAAAATTTTGTAAACCAGACATATAGAAGATAGAACAAAACATAGTTGACTAATTAAGTGATACATTTTAATACATATCGATAATATATATTATTTTAGATAAATAGTAACAGATTACTCTTAAGAGTAGTAAATTCTAAGATTAAATACAATGGAGGGAGCTCTTGTCTATATTATTGCATATACTAATTAGTTGCAGCCTATTTTAACAAGGAGTAATTTGGAGAATATTTCTTACTTATTTATTATATATAATAATCATAAATTGATGTACGCATCAAATATACATATCATGATATTAAACTTGCTCAGCACATAGCACTTACTCTTTTAGTCATCTCAGAAAAAAATACTTAACCCATAGCTATATCCATTGAATAGAATCCATAGAATCTAAAGGTAAACTCTATGATAGGTAAAATTAACATAACAACAATATAAAGCTACTTTCTTTACCCTCCATATATTAGTGACATGGTTCTACCACTATTGAACGTAAAAAACACTAAGCAGCATTAATTATGGATCAAAATAATTGGTCAATTGCTTAATATATTTGTCGCTCATATTGAAACTATTAAAGCAATGAAATTACTAACATTTAAGATCATATCATTATTATCTCCATATCATTACTAAAGTTAACTATTTATATATATGAGTATATATTTAATTACATATTTAATATTTTTATGCACATATATAACTAATTTTGTCATTTATATTAAAATTATTTAAATTTAATATTCTAATTATTATTATGCATAATAGTTTTTATATATAATAAGAACATGAAATTAATTGTACTGGTATGCATTTTCCAGGTTTTAATAATAAATTATTTACATTCATACATTCATACATTCCATACATTAATAATTATTATTTTTATAAAATATTAATACATACTTGCTAACAAGTCCAGAAAGCCATTTGTCAGCAACACATTGAATTAATTTGTGTATATGATTAAAATTAACCAATAATAATTGGGCATGATATTCTAATTTTTTTTCTCTAGTCTCATCTTTTGCTTGTGTAGACATGGCATTTAAAAATAAGGAAAATACTTTATCCCCAACACTGGAAACACAATGCCACAATCCAGTTTTATCCTTCTGTATAGCATAGTCTGATAAATAATCAAAAATTGGCTGTAGACTTGGATCATTAGAATTTTGAATTCGCATAGTTTCCAAATAATAAACAGACAACAGATAGGTTGCCTGAGCAAATGATAATTTATTAACAGCTGCTGTTACTTCAGGTGGAGCAGGATTGAGATGTTGGAGTATTTGAGACTTAAGTTCTTGCAACTGATTCTGTAAAAAAATAAAAACTACTGTTAAGGATACACATAATTATAACTAATAATTACTTATTACATAGTACACACATGTAGGAACATTACATTAATAACCAAATGGTAGTTTTAAACATAATATTCCCCGTAACACTACTATATTCTTAATGTATAAAATACATATTGAAACACTGTCAATAATTTCAAAATAGGGAGCTTACCAAAGAAACACTTTCATTTCTAACAGCAGAAGTATATTGAAGCTCACGCATTTGTGATCTTGTTGAAGTTTGTGTAACAAGACATGGGGATTTAATAGCGATTTCCTTAACACCATCATACCATTCACTAGGCCATAATCCTTTAAATGTCAATTAATTATAGTTTAAAATTAAATTAGAAAACATAGTTACAGTTATATTTACCAGAATCATTAGTAAATCCCATAACTACACAATACAACCAAAAATCTCTAAATAACTTATGTAATCTCGGTTTTGGCTGAATAATAGCAGGTAAACGGCGTATGAGTACAGCAATTACTGGAATTAACATTCCTAAATTTCCAGCACTACTAGAAGCCTAAGAAAATACAAAATTAATAGATTATTTTATTGTATGTATTAATATACATATAATCAACTATTCACTTTATTTGCAACTGGTGCTTTTTCTGATGCTCGTTTTCCTTCAAGACCAAGTTGTACAAATAATTCTAATAATCTAACAAGAAGTTCATTCATTTCATTTTCACCTTTAATATTGCCAGCAATATTAGCTAAGGCATTGATAACTGCACCGGAAACATGCCTTAATAACAAATAATTGTATGAATGTTAAGTCTAATAATTAATACTATAATTAAAAATACCTATATTGATTTGATTGATCATGACTGTATAAAGCATTACCTGCTTCTACAGTAATTGTTGAAAACATGCGCATTATTTCTTCATAAACATTCATCTATAAATAATTAAATATTATTATTGATCTAAAATAATTTTAAGTTAAAGAATAAAATAATATCAAAAGCTTACATCGCATTTCGCTATAATCATACATCCAAGCTGATCAACAATAAGTACATCAATAGAACTAGGCACACGGCAGAATCGTTGTTGGAAAAATTGCAAAATAGTATCTGATGTCTTAGCAGTGTCTCTTAAACTAACAGCAATATGGCCTAACATCACTATAGTATTAGCCTGTATTAATGAAGAATCACTAAAAACAATTATTATTTTATTAAAAACATTTTAAAAAATTAGTTAATGTAATGGTTCAAATAAAATATATTACTTTTTAGATTTTTCAGCAGTGTATAAACGATTTGATAAGGATGCTAACAATGCTGGTACACAAAAAGGATCTAATGTATATGCTGCTCTTAATGCAATACAAAGATTTTCAATAGATGAATTTCGAAGTCTTTCAAACTGTGATTCAACATGATCTGATATTGGTTTTATCTCATTAACACCATTAACTAAACAATTTCAATATAATTTGTTATTACATAATAAGCTATTAGTTATATAACTAATAGATTTTATTTATTTTTGTTGATTTTAGAGTATAAAATGCTGTAAAATAATACTGAATTCCAAATTAGTATTATAGACCTTGATATACTTTTACACTAAAGTTTATATGTATATTTTCTAATTCGTTAACTCAATCAGAGTAGTCTATTTGGGTTTAATTTACTTAAATATTAAAAGAAAAAAGATGAATATATCTAATACATTTTAATACTATATACTAAAAGTTGGAAATCTAATATGGAATATTTGAAAAGCAATGAATTAATCAAAATCAAAATAGTTGATTAATAAAAATATAGGTAATAACCTACATACCTGACTTAAAGACAGTTGGTTTATTAGTCAAATTTTACCTAGAAGTTTGATCCTATAGAGAAGCATAAAAAAATACTTAATAGTTTGCTACACAATATCACAGTTTTTTATATTTAAATAAAAAAATAAATCAGTTTTTTTATATATTTATGTATGGAACAAAATAATAATATGATCCTAATAAATTGAATATATTCAAATATATGTCATGGTGAAATAATATTAAAAAAAAAAGCCTTTAGTGTTGAAAAAGTAATAAAACATGGTCTCAAATATGAACTGATACTAATCTATATTTATTCATTTAGTAGGTTATTTTTCCTACCTGTGATTGTTAGTCCTTTGGGTGTTTGTTTTTCAGAATGAAATTTATTCAATTTTGATAAAATTGGGGATGGTTGAACAAGAAAGTCCCGGAGACACTGAATACAGGTACTGGCTATACTTGGAAATTTCTCGGATAATTTACCTAAGCCCTGCAATCAATAAACATATTAAAAATGTGACTTTAACAATTTATAATTAATTAAAATTTAAATAATAATTAATACCTCCATACAAACTAGAATCAATGGCATGTGTGCTAATGCTTGTTTTACATTATTACTGGAGTTTATTTTTTCCATTAAACGTCCACATAAATTATCAGCGCCTAAATAGTATAAGTATACAAAATAATTAATACTTTATGAAATAATGTTAAAAAAAAATAAAAGAAATTAAAATTATATAGATACTATTTTTTTAATTAATTTTTTTTTTTTTTTAATATGTTGTAAAAAATTATTTAAATGTTTTATCATATACCAGCTTCATCCCTTGTAGCCCAAACCAATAAATCCACACATGCAGCATTTGCTAAAACATTAATTTTAAACTTATTTATTGTTGTTAAATGAGATTCTTTTTCTTCCCGGTCAGATGTTTCTTGTAATACACCAGATTGCAACTCAGTTTGACCATTCAAAAATAAATCTTTTATAAACTCTTGAACATCTTTAGTAAATGGCAATGGTAAATCTATAACAAATGCATTTAAAAACAATTAATAGATAAGCATTTAGTATCAAACTTTGAAATAAATACCTTGTTGATATTGAAGTAATTCTCTTAGTAAGGAAGCGATTACCAAATTTAATATTTCACTAAAACTACGATAGCAAAATGTTTTACTCTCACCAGATATATGAAATTCAAGAGCCAAACTATCCACAAATTCCAGTACGTCGGAGGTAAGAATTTTTTTAGCAATAGATAGAACAGTCTAAATACAATTAATTAAGAAAATAACTTGTTTATTAATAATTTGCATTTTTTACTTGTAGATGGCCCAAAGGAAACATTAAAGTAGATGATTTGTGATCAATAGATGAATCAGTAAATCTTGTATATGGAAATTGGTTAAAACTTGATCCGTATTTAAAAAAAAAATAGTTTGACATATTACTTGGTGCTTGAGAACCCAATTTGCACTCGGATTTGTATACCATTCTATTACTATATAAAAAAATAATAAAAATACCATTTTAAAATGTATTTAATGTTCTAATTTTTAATTAGATGATTTACTTGAGGTCATTCATTGGATCGAGTGAACTTAATGTCATTATATCAAGTGAAGCCAAATTCAAATTTAAAGACAATGATCGTGGAATGATTGAACTAAAATAAATTAAACTATGATAGATATTTATCAATAAAATAAATATATTAACAAATATTACCGAAAGTTTGAAAAACTCTTCTTTTTAGCTATGTTAAGATCAGGAATAGGGACTGGAGTTTGTTGAATAGGAGCACTAGGTTTTGGAAACAAACGACATAATAATGGAGGATCACTCAATGTTGCTCGTCCCATTGATCTAGCTAAGCCGATGAAACATGGAATAGTTGCTTTACATAATGTTGCTAAATATTAACACATATTTTAATAATTAATTATACAGAAAAAAATATTAATTATTTTGTTAAAATTGCTTTAAGTTAAGTTTAATTAAAAATATTTTACATTCCGTCACAACCCCTAAATGTACATATCTGTACAGATGTATACATATGTATATGTAGAATGTTTTTAAAATATCTAAAGATTCAAATAAATTTATAACTCATTAAAAGTAATAAAAACATACTTTTAGCTATATCATTTAATTTATCAGATTTAGCCGATCTAATCATATTTGATAATTTACTAAGACATTTTATTTGTGCTTCAATGATTTTTTCTGTAGAAGCTGGATAGCGAGTTGCAACATCTGTCAATAATGTGTTTAAACAAAAACTCATTCTTTCAGAAACTGGTATTCCTTTAATAAAAATAAATTAAAATATTGAATCCATAAAATAAATACTATTTATGAAACAAATATTACTAACTTTCTCTAGGAAAGTACTTAATCTCATCTATCCATTGCATTTTCCCTAAAGCATTCAGCAATTTTAACAAGTATGGTAGTATTTGATCAATGTGCTGAAAATTTGATTCCAGTAAGTAAATTCCTAATGCTATTATTGAATCTTGGCCTCTTTGATCTATTTTGTAAATTCCTTGATGACCTTCTTGAGGACATAGTGAATACAATGTTTGAACCTATTGAATGTGTTAAATAACAAACCATTAATTAAATATCTTTCATGCTTTATTTTTTTAAAGAAAAACTTTCAAATTATTACTTTTTTCCATGGTATGTCCTTTTGTGAAGCTAAAGATCGAGCTAAATGTTGAATGGTTTTTTGAAAGAAATTCTTTTCATCCATAGCCATTGTGTATATTATATACTACACTTTAGGTATTAATCTTAAACGTACATTTTCTAAATAGATTTATAAATTTTAATTATAACAACTAAATAATTATGGAATAAAAATTAATAATTAATTTATTACTAATAATAAAGTAAATTAATCATATATGTACATCATATATGAATCATACATGTAATAATAAAAGTAGTTGACCTCGTATTTGAAATTACCATGTGAAACATATTATTTGTGTCTCATAAAAGGCCAGTTGACTTACTAATATAACTGTAATAGTTTATTTCTCTAATTGTATAACTTAACTATCCCTAATTTAGGCACTCATATCATATCACAGTTTTACGGTCTTAAACCGTGTATCACGTCAAAACTAAAAAGTCAATAGTTAAAATAATAATTTTTCTTATCAAAAAGTATAGATAACAATTGTAAGCTGATTTGTTATAACTGGAAGTAGAATAACTAAATATCCTGATTTATTTACATCGACGATTGATATTCTATATACTCATTAAAGTATAGTTAGCAGTTATCAATATTAAAAATCATAACTACGGATTTACGACGATGAGTTTGAACATGAAGACCAGGATCACTCTGTTTGCTGTATATTCGTTAATTTTCGTCACATCTGTTGTGTCGTACTATGGATTTAAAGGCAGTCAAGATTCATTACATTACCTAATAGTGCATTCGGGTAACATTAATCTTCAAGTGAAAAACGAAGGTTACCATAGGTATAAAATATGTTTCATATTATAATTCACAATATTGGTTTAACATCTATGTTATTTTTTAAAACATTAGTTAAATTTTCATAAATTTCAGAATTCTCCATACAACAGTCACCGCTGACTATGAAACATCAAATCGTAAAGACTGTGCAGTTACATTACGATATGACTTTCCAGCCGATATTTATGTGGACAAATATGAATTAGCTACAATTGCTTTCAATCGAAAAGTTGGTATTTATAATATATATTTTAAATATCATAAACTGTTGCTACTACTTTTTTTTCAGGTGGAGTTTTATGTTGATAACAAATTCATTGATGTAGAAACACCAGCTCATAAATCTGATCCATTTGTTCTATATGTTGTTAACTACACACTTCCAGATACTGCGAATAAATTGATAGAAACTGAATTTCCAATTCATTTAAGATACCAAAAAGCTGCTGAAGATAGTCGTTATAAAGAGGTTCGATTTGGTGATGCTTATTCAGATGTCCAAGTGCTATACTTATGCAAAGGGCCAAGGAATTCTAATTGGAAACAGTTCCCATTAAATACAGGAGAATGGGTTCCTGTAAGTATTTTAAAATCATTAATATAAATCTTTGTTTTTAAATATAAATAATAGGAAAAATTACATAAAATAATCAATTTTAAAATCTATTAATAATTCTTCTTCTTCTTCTGGTTAAAGGCCTTTCAAGACCATCCCATCTAATAAATTAATAATAATAGATTAATAATTAAAGAAATGAATTTATTCATTTTTATAAGTATAATATCTTGTATATTATTATCATTTTAGGCCAGTTATGTTAAAGTTAACAAAGATGTAGTGATGTATGTACCTGTAGGAGATACTAATAACTTACCATGGGTAAGCCTTATTACACATGGCTTTGTACTATTGGGTACTTATTATATTCTTCGCCGTTTAATGGCTACTCCATCACCAGATAATGCTATTATCAAACTTGTTCCTGTTAAATGTTGAATTGATCATATATTTATATTGGTTGCAAACTCATTAGCAGAAAACTGTTTGAAGAGACTACTTTTGAAGACTACCTATTTATTTTATGTTAATTATGTTTTAATTATAAATTATTTTAAAAATCCTATACATATTTAAAAATGTTATGTTATAATATTACTAAATGTGCTAGAAACTTGTAGTTTCCTCAATATTGTAGTTAGAATCAATGTTAAATAATTTAATTTTACTTGAAATTTACAAATAAGTTAATAAATTACATATTATATTATGACAATTTTATATTTACTTAATAATAGGCAAAATAAACTATGTTTATAATATTTACATATATATACATATATACTACATTTGTTTTATAAAAGTTCCTATGATTTAATTAAATTTAAACTTTATCTAATATTATTTAAAGTTGATCACCTTACTGTTCTCTGTTAATTTTACTGACAAATAAATATGTTTTAATTTATCTAATCATTTTTACTTATATCCTGCATACTATGTATTTGTTATTATAAATAGAATATTTACAATAAAATAAAGACTATCAAAAGTTTTAGGAGGTTCATGTTAAATTTAGACATCTTGTACTGATGGGAACATCTTGAACAAGTGCCAAAATTAATTATTGGCCCAATTTAGAGTAGGTACTGTGTAGATACTGGTGTTTAAATGTATTTGCATTAATACATTTAATAATATGGAAGTGCAAAACGAAAAAAATTATAAAACTTTCATAAAACAACAATCAAGTTTGTATATTTATTACTTACCTATATTTCTTTTTAAATTAGTGTGATTGTTGCATGCTCATTATATATAAATGTAAATTATTAACTAATTGTTTAGAAATTAAACTGAAGAATGGTAAAACTACCATTAAATATAAAGGAGATTGGAATAATTTACCAGACTTGTTATTGGAAAATATATTTTCATTTTTAAATATCAAAGAGAAATACAATGCTTCGTCTACATGTCATTCTTGGTACTCAATTTTTCATTTACCATATTCATGGCACACCTTTGTTTTTGATGACACGACCCTTACTCGAAGAAAATTTAACTATTATTCAGGATGGCAGGTAAGCTTGTTGGATTAGTGGTAATTCCTTTACCTATTTAAGAAGTTTTAATAATTTAACTTATTTTATTTATGTAATTGTTTTGAGATAGATTCTTATTATTTTTTTTTATTTAAAAAAATATTTGGTGTGTATACATGTTAATTAAATATTTATGCATACATTTTAATAAATAAATAAATAAATAAATAAATAATACATTTGTACACTAACATTTTAAAAGGTTTGATTTGTTTTTTTTTTTAAATTAAATTTAAAAGTAATTTACTTATTAAAACACAAAACTTAAACCTCGATTTATCATTTTCCTCAATAACTTACATTTTAAATCTTATCAGACATATTTTATTGAATAATTATTTTTTTTAAAAACTTAAAGTATTAATAATTTAAATTATTTTCTGTACCTATAGATTTTTTTTAATTTTTTTTTTTTTTGTTGCCCTTTTTAATAAAACTACACAGCTATACAATTAAATCAGATTTGTATTAATTTGACTGTATTATTTATTTGCTTAAATAACAATTAGGTAGAATAATTAATAACAAAATAAAAAAAAATATATTTTCATCGAATTACCTATGTAATTTATAAATAAGAATTCTAGAATTAATAGCCGATTCTCTAATTATTGAACGATCTTTCCCAACTATTACGATTTAAATAATTATAATTATATTAATTAAAAACACGTTTGAATATCCTATATAGTACATGTTAGATCATCTACGAGTTCAATTGTGTCTTCAATCCATTGGTACTTACATTAAAGTTTTGGTATTTAAACCAATAACAAATTTTTATAACTTATACGAATTCATGAATATGATATCATTCTACGCGGAACACGGCCGAGAAATTGGATCTAGAGTAAACACTCTGCAATATACATTCCCGTGTAACATGGCAACATCACGTATCGATGAATCCGTTCTGTACGGTACAGGAGGTTTGTATTCACGAACTTAAAGGCATATAGAATTCATTATTCATTATTTCTTAAGTCTTAACACACGAATACACGTTTTATAAATATACTCAGGTAAGCTATTGGAAGCGCTTAAAAGGTTGATGGGTAATTTACCGTCACTCCGGAGATTAGAATTGATAGATTTGATGTTGGATAATGAAGACGCGCAAACATTGTTGGATCAAGTTTGCTTTTGCTGTTGCACTACATTAAAAACCCTAATATTAGTTAACACCACTAAAAATGTATGTCAATTGCTTCATCCTGGAGTTTTTATAAATTTGCAGGTAAGGATTTAGGAAGATTGATCAATATTTCTTACATACTAATGATTATTATACAATTGTATCTACCATGGTTTACCTACTGATAATATTTATATACACTAATGCTTTTTATTAATTATTACATATATTATTTATACAGGTATTAGTAATTAGTCCTCAAAATCTAGGAAGTGATTTATTGTATATGTTGAGCCAAATGAGACTCTTGCACTTGCATATTCTTCAAAATCGCTACACGCCTATTGACATAGAATCTGTACATTCTTCTGACTGGAAACATTGCACTAAAATAAATTCTATACTTAAAGTACACCTTCGAATAGAATCCATCAGGGAAAGACAAATTCTATGGCAACCCGGTGCTCCTGTTTCCAGCATAATATATAAGTCGCCAAATATACGGGTTAGCTAAACAAAATATATTTGCGTAAGTAAAAATTTCAGCAAAAGTGTATTTTTAATAATAGATGAGTGCTGACATCTCAAATAAAATTATGGAACTATACTCAGATCAGTTGCTTACATTTGGATACCTGGATTTGCCAAAATTCTATCAACCATCGTCATTTAAGGATCGTATTGACACATGTTTGGTAAACTTAATCCAAATTTGTCCTAAATTGGATACATTGGTGAGAGTATTTTATAATATATTTATTCAATATATTTATTATTTATTTCTCATACAGATGATAAGAGAAAAAATATCAACATGTACATTATTATTAATTTCATATTATGGTCATTCGTTAACATCTTTATACGTACGTCGCAATGCTGTTATTCTACGATGTGATTGGCCTCGTCAAAATGATTGGTCTGATGAATTTTACCAATGGTTAAAAAAATCTAGTACATCATATGAAATAGTAGAAGAAGAAATCGCGTTGTCTTTGGGTTTGGAAAATTGGAAAATGCTTAGTGATCAAGACTTCAAACGCATATCTCCTCAACTTTATTCATCATTCTATAGATAAATATAATACCTGTACTATTTTTTTTAAAAAATTACTGATTGTTGTTTTTAAATAAGTAAATTATATAGGTAAAAATGATTGATATTTATCTTACTAGCTGACTCGACACGGCGTTGCCCGTGAGTTAGTTTATTTTATGACATTTTCGTAGGCCGTGTGTCAGTGTTTAATTAAATTGTATTGATAGTGTTAATATTCAGGGGCGTGTCCTGGGTAAACATTCAAAATGGGCTTGGTTATAAACAGGGCTCATAACTTTTAGCATTTGTATATTTTTTTTGAGAGGTCTTAGAGGTACCTATGTGAGCTATAAATTTGTTTCAGATAACCAAGAAGCTAAATACAAAATTTTATATTGCATATCTTTGCATATTTCGGAGTATAAGTGCTATTTTTCTTTTTTTGCATGATTTTTATCGTTGATTTTTTTTAAATATTTTTTAGTAGCCTAAAACATTTTTTCTTAAAAATAACAAGTAATTATAGTCATATTAATTGTTCATATTAGTAATTAATTCGTGTTAATTAATTTTTCTTCTTATATAACTTATATAATATTAGATAAACTAGATACCTATACGAGTTTAAGCGACGCACGACGTAGTGAGAGTGTACGTCCAAACTTCGTAATCCCATCAATAAGGAAACCATTATAATTGTAGCTTGTACTGTAGTATTTTATTTTTAAAGTTTCTAGGTATTCGGGTATTCCGATATCATTATCTAGATATTCCGATATCATCATTCTCAGATTATTTACAGATTATTTTTCATTAACATTTTGCTGTCGTTTCCGATTTTTCGTACTATATGCATGCTAGTTCGTTTCGTAAATTTAGTATCTAAATTTTTTTTTTTTTAAAAATAAAAGCTAAAATAATAAAATAATATAATAAATAATAATAATAAAATAATAGTTTTTGTATACAAACGTTTTTTTTTTTTTTTTGCATTTTTTAGTATTTTTAGTTCATATTTAAGCGTTTATATGAATACTTTTTAGAGCATATTTAAGCGCTTATAACAACTTTTTTTAGAGCTATAAATTATGAGCCCTGGTTATAAGAATAATTTGTATAAGATACACGATTTTTTTTTTACGAGAAACTTTAATTTATTTTTAAGGTGTACTTACTACTTTGTAGTCATATGTACTCGTAGTATATATATATTTATGAAATATCTTTTTATAATATTTATTTAAATTAAATTGTATATTAAATTCTCCTGTTTTTCATTTTGGCAAACTCGTCAATAATCTTCGTAGCATCTCGCAATAACTCCAAACTAAACTATCTTTCAATTTATATCAATGCCAAATTATGAAGACGCACAGTTGTCAGATATCGAATATGTCTTGATTCTTGACCAATAGGAGGCCAACAATAGTGTAGCAACGTAAACGCCGACATCCGAACAAACCATCGATAGCGGTGGTCCATTCGGTTATCTGAATTATCGATCATTGAGGGGGGGCATGGTAGAAACTTTTTTTTTATTAGTATCCAATTATTTATCTTTCATGAATAAACTTGAATCAACTTTACACCTATCAACACTAATAATATTATTTTCTATATGAACCACTTGGTCAATCCAAACTCATTTTGGATACTAATCAGAGGCGCAATTTCAATGAAAAAACTGAGGGTGCTGAATCCCTTCTATCTTTTTCATGTTCCTTAATGGTTATACCCGCAACCCGTACAATTCAACAGTTACTAAAATATATGATAAATATTTGAATATTTCTAAAATTAAATTGTCCGTTTTGATTTTATATTTTTACTGCGCATATAACGGAATTACCCATCTGTAAACTCAAATGTTTCATCACATGATCACTTATAGATTCTGACTGAATCGAAGAATATTATGGTTTTATAATGATGTTTGTATTTTATTTTTTTAAACATTTTCGTATAGAAATACTGGTCCAAAAGTTTTTTCTGGGAACTTTTTAGATTTTAAATTGACATGCGGTGGTACTTTAGATAGATAATTTTTTTTAAATCTTAATAGTTTTTCTAGGCGTGAGGAAAAAACTGTCCTGAAACGGTAAAAATACGCTGTAAATAAGACTTTTACTTTTCAGATTTTAGTTATTTAGTCATAATTCCAAAAGTCTTGTAGTTAGAAACTTGAAACTTTTACCCTGTAGCAAAAATATTTTTTTTCATATTTGATAAAATTTTCAAATACCGATTTTGATTTAAACATAGAACTTTAAAAGTACCTATTTTTTTCTTAAAGTCTTTATGTAATAACATTTTTATTTTTATTTTTATTTTTTGTGAAATGTAATATCACCTTACTCATATACGAGTACCTACTTATTTACCGATACTAAAAAAAATTTAAAAATCGTTAGTCTAAAATTTATTTCATAAGCAATTAAGTAAATTTTTATACCTACAATTTTTACGGATTATACTGTTTTTACATCAATTTTCAACATTAAATGTTTATTAAAAAATTGGTCCACCCAATCACAATGAAACATTGAGTACAGATAAATATTTGGTTAAAAAAAAAATTTCTTCATCAAACAATAAAATGTTAAACATGTTGATAAAAAAAAAGAACCTACCGATAATCAGACTAAAAAAAGTAAAATATACTTATAAATGGTTGATTTTTATACTGAACCTTTGCTCAGAACTGTTTTGATAAAGAAATGGCTTATAATTTCAGTATAATTCAGTATATTTATTACTAAGTTTGCCACTCGTCTCGGTGTCTTGGCCAATCATTAATTTATCCCGGTCTTAGAAACTGAGAGAAAATAACATTTAATATTATATCATTTAATAACAAAACAAAGAATAATATTGTACATTATATTATTATATTATGGTAATTTAGTTAGTATGGTTACGTACAATAATAATGTATTTTTGTATTAGCTAATAAATATTTAAATTACAAAATTATATACTTGTTTTGTTTTCATATCAAAATAAAAAAAGAGTTATTCAATATGATGGTTTAAGTTTAGGGATTTCAAAATCTACCTATTATTATTATCCAGTTCAAGAACAGAAAAGATGAAGGACGAACTTCCGCTATCATTATTTAAATAATAAATTTATATATTTATACAATAAAAACTCTATTTTTCTGTACATTATGAGTAATTAGTTGGGTTCGGAAGTTGATGACCTTAAAAACATTAAAAAATGAACTATAAAAAGATGTAAATATGATAAAAAAAATGACAAAAAAGACCTAAAAAAATGATAAATATTTGTTTTAAATTAATAAAAACACATTTTTTTTAAATATTTTACTCTATTTTACAGTAAAATTCTATATAAATTTATCAAAACTTACAAATTACTCAAAATATGACATACAAATGACAACAAATGTCCTTGAAATATGAAAAAAAAATTACAAAAATTTGTTTTATAAATTTATCAAAGCTTACAAATTACACAAAAATAAAAGTCATTGCGTTAAATTAGAGCGTATTTCATGTTATCAAAAGTAAATGAACGACGATTATTTGTTTATATATACTTACATTTGGAAAAACTTCTCTCCACATACACTGAAGGGATTGGGAGGCACAGACGAACATTAACCGACTTTTAATTTTCGTCATTTTGAAAATATTAGGTACGAAAAAAATAATAAAATTTAGATATAATACGTATTATTCACTGTCATATGACAACGAGGCGACGACTGTAATCGACGAGATAAATTCGGATACTAATCGAATAATAGGAAAAAATAATAAAATGTAGGTATAATAATATTCACTGCAACACAACTACGAACGTAATCAGCGAAATAAAATCGGACAAATCTTAAGTTATCGGCATAACGGTCGAAAAGAAACAATAACTAGTGAACTAGTGTGAAATCAGTAAAAATGAAAAAAAATTTCAAAAAATGACTTAAAAATCAATAAACACCAAAAAATGCATACATATAAGAACTAAACGAAGCCATACAGATGCTTAATAATAGGAAAGCCTCTGAACTGGATGATATGTGTGTTGAACAAGTTAGAGAATTTGGTTCCAAGACCAAACAATGAATACTAGAGCTGTTTAATGAAATTAGATCTACTAATAAACTACCTAAAATTTGGAGAAAAGCTCACATAATAGCCCTTTTAAAACCAGGTAAAGAACCAACAAGTCCCAAAAATGTCTGGCCTGTATCACTTTTATGTCACTTATACAAAGCCTTCGAAAGAATAGTACACAATCGCATAGTGGAACATATTGACGAAAAATTGATACAGGAACAAGCAGGCTTCAGGAAAAGTAAATCATATACTGGACAGTTACTAAATATGACCCAGTTTATTGAAAACTGTTTCGAAAAGAAATATATTACTGGAGTAGCCCTAATAGACCTGTCAGCAGCCTATGATACGGTCAGCCATAGAATTTTACTCGAGAAAATCTACAACCTAACTAGAGACTAAAATTTTACGCAGATAGAATAGATAGATAGATTTTACTCAAACATAGAAGATACTAAGTGACACTAGGAAGCAAGAAAAGTAGATGGAGAAGGCAAAAAAAAATGGGCTTCCACAAAGCAGTGTCCTGACCCCGATCCTTTTTAATATCTATACGAACGACCAACCGATAACTCCAGGTGCCAGGTATTTCATCTACGCCGATGATACACCGATAGCAGTTCAAGATAATAACTTTGAAGGAGTAGAAACTAAACTGGAGTCTTTACTTAAAACCATGACAACATACTAAAAAAGTATGAAGCTGAAACCTAACCCACTGAAGACTCAAGTATGTGCGTTCCATTTGAAAAATAGGCTAGCATCTAGAAAACTGGATATCACTTGGGAAGGAGTTCAGTTACAAAACACATTTTGAAATAAAATTAATGAAGATAGGTCTGAGAAAAGATAAGATTATAAAGGTATTATGAGACGGTGTGCGATAGAATTATGGAGAGATAATGCCTTTAGCTATTAGTGTGTTTAAAGGGGACCATACACGGAACGATCTATCGTCAAACCAATCGGCCGATCAGTTGTCAAACTTGACGCAGTCCATACACCAAATGATTAGTTTGACGATATCTAACCTAACTTTTTAATTGGTGAAGTTTGTTTTGTTTGTTTATATTGTGATAATGTGAAATGGTTTATATCGCAATTGATAATCGAAATATTATTCGAGTGGTTGCATTTTATAGTTTATGGAATTTTTTCATTTTCGCTTTGTTTATTTTTGCGCACAATGAACAAAATAGATCGAAAGAGAAAATTATTGCTAACAACTGCTCTTATTTTGTCTATGGATGATGATGACGATACACAAAAAAAGAGGAAATGGTCAAAACAGTGGCT